GAATCCCCGGTGTTGTATGTTTTTTGTATTTTTGACCGAGGAGGTCCTGCATTTTTGGCAGTCATTTAATTATCGTAAATGTATGGGGGAATAACAAGGGCTTCATTCAATTGTGGTATCGCAGGAGACGTGACTATTACGGTGCTCGCTGTCAATTGCTCTACGCGGAACCATTTACAGGAAAAGGGTCCAACGCTATGACAAGTACGGGCAGGACGGCGGATACGCAGCGCAAAGGGGTGATCAGAAAAGAGCTACAGACAGGTTCACTGGTTGGCAGAAGGGCGGAGGGATACGATACTTTGGCGGCGCTGTGTGTTGGTTACGATGGGAAAATGGACGAGCATTGCCAGCGAGCGACGTGATGGATAACTGTTCTTCTTGGCAGCTCATCCGCCATGGATTGTAGACAGATACAGACACATCGTAGAGCATTGAATGTCTTTGTTCGAACCGCTTCTTCTTTTGATGAGCTTGGAGGTATTGGGGGCACCAACAGTCACGGTCGGCTTCACGGGAGGAACGGAGTATGTGCCATTCAGTCGCAGAATGCAAAAGCATCGCAGTATCGCATCGCAGTATCAGGGTCATCCGTAACGTTCCGAGGGCTTCGCGATTCTTCGTAGGAGCGTTGATTGACGGAGTCCGCCACGAATGGCTTCACGTAGGCGAATGATGGGACATGCACCAACACGACTGCAAGATCGAGGCGCGTTCCCGACAGTTTGGTTCTAGACATCAGATGATCTCGGCGCTCGTGTCATTGAATCGCATGCCTCTGCTTTCCAAAGACACCAAGTTGTGGACATATGCGACCGAGAGGTAGAGCTGGGCCGTCTCGAGTGCTTGTTTCGATCAGACGCAGCACGCGTTACCAATGAGGCACGAGCAAGCTTCGTCCTATTCAGCATTTGCAATTGTCTCTTGTTTTTGGGAGTGGTCGGTCGTGGTCTGGAAGGAGGCAGTCGGGCGCGCGCAGCGGAGGACAGAGGATGGTGTTCGCGGGTTCAGTCTAAGATCGTACTCGTTTTGGGAGCTCTCGAAGAGGACGCGTATGTTGGTTTGCATCATTTATGATCGAATGGTTGGTTCACTATAGCGAGCCAGATGAGTCGCCGCCACCTTGAACGATTGCGACCGCTCGTAGGGCCATTTGCGATCGGTCGCGTTTGGAGGGCAATTGTGTGTTTTTGCTAAATCGATGATACATCAGAGCCAATGACGCTGTGGAACATTGTCGGCAAAACTATCCCCACTTTCTGTGCTGTCTGTCATTGGAAAGGACTGTGTATCATCCGTTACAAGCTTGGACAGTTTCAGAGGCAAGAAACTCGAACTGATAAAGAACATGATTAATGGTCATTTTCACTGCGTCCAGCATTCTAAGCATAGATTCTCATAGTTCTAATCCAAGTAAAATAACAGATGTCATCTCGTATCCTGGTTTTCTTCCAGATTTAGTATTTTATTGTAAATTATTCTCATTAATTGTTCTGTCGTCTCCTTCTCCAGGGTAGTGACCATCCTCAGATAACCTTATCTTTAGCTCGTGACCCACCATCCTTATCGCGCGTCACTGACCTCGTCTTCTATTGGCCAGGAGCTTCTGCCCCGCCGAGTCACACAGATCGCACGCGTCGCTCGGACCAATAACGTCATCATTTTCTCAGTCAAAGATTCACATCACGATTCTCGATTTCGCCTGCAAAATGCTATTTTATCTCTTCCAACCTCCCAAATTTCGCATTGTCGCATCAAAAAATCAAGCTAAACGTCGTTGTGATGGATTTCTCTTGTCATGTCAGCATAAGCAACGAGTCAGACCAGGATCTTCTTCTTGACGACTCTGGTCTCGAGAGTGGAAACTGGCCGTTACGTCAGCCGCTGAATGTCATTGAGGCGGGTACGCAGCAGACCATTTACCTCGCTCAGCCAAGTATGTCGATCTCCCATTCCCCAGATTTTAACTCATTGCTAATGCGTTTCAGGTTGGGGAGGTTCCAAAGCTTGGGTTACGTATATCGCTAGATATGGTCAAGGATGGAGGGACTTTACCCTCGAGTTCGAGTGTCCTGCTCTACCGTTCTCCAAGAACCATGTCAAGGTGAAGGATTGTTCAAAGGTCTTTCAGATTGATGTGACACATGTTCAAGAACGGGGGAGCCCATTAACTGGTAAGTCTGACATTAAATCTCAAAGATGATAGCTAACGCGATCAGCAAATGTGACTATTCGCATGGACCCGAATGCCTACACGACGACGAACGATGAAGTCCGCGCAAACTACGACATTGGCGTTGGCGTATCCTTCCCGACAAAAATGGATATCAAGTTCCCCGTCCACGAAAGCATCGTCGTCGCAGCCTTCATCAATTCCGACATGATCTTCCCCCGAGGCACAGTTTACAACAACATCAACGACAAGCAATGGGAATTTTTCCGGGGCGTAGTCTGGAACGACGACCCTTCATGTCTACTGTTCGAAGATATTACAACGGATAACAGGATGTTCAGCCTGGGTATTGAGTGGTTGAATGCCTTCAAGTTTGGCGAGGAGAAGTGCATGACCAAGAGATCGCATATGGGGAATCTTCAGTTCTTCCATGGTATGGGCTCAGTGCTGGGTGAGAAGCCGGAGAAGACGAGGAAGAATATTCTTACGTGGATCGAGGTTATGTACAAGCTCGCATGTGGCAACCAGGGCATTTCGGAGACGGATGAACTCAAGGATGTGCTCCCTGGATACTTTGGCAAGGAAACCGTCCCCTCGAAAACTGATACCCTCCGCGATCTTCTCCTCGCCACGACACCAAAGTACAAAGATGCCGACATCCAAAAACGAGCCTTTGGCGTTTGTCTACACATGATATCCGACTCCTACGCCCTAGGCCATACCCAACGCCGTCTCAAGAATCCCTCCGATATGATCGAGCGCGATACAGCAGGCTACATTCGCTTCCAGCCTGATACATACGGCGACTGGGGTTCTATCGTTTGCTTCCACACGTACAACGACCAGGATGGCGATCGACATGGACACTACGATGACAAGGATGGTGAAGTTGACCCCACACCGAGGGACGTCACGACATTTAACGAAACGATCGGCGCGAGAAACGCTATCGACGCGTGTACGAACATGATTAATATGTTCATCAAGAAGACCGAGTGGGATGATGGAGTCAGGCAGTTCTTGGAAGATGAGATTTTCGTACTGGATCGCTGCGCGAGACCGTCTGATTGTTTTACTGATGAGTCTGTTGTCTCGGATGTCTATACGTACGAGGAGGATATTAAGAAGACGGAGGAGTTCGACTATGAGGCTGGACTGCAGCGAAAGCTTGCTTCTCTGGAGGCGGGCACTAGCGCACCGACAAAGTGTGATTTGAGGAGAAGATATAGGGTTTCGGGATTAGCGATGATGTGTGTTTTCATGAGTGCTTTTATGCTCACGTTTGTTACGCTGAGGATTCATGGGCATATGTACTGAGGTAATAAGATTGGACAAGGATTCGAGGGGATAATTGAGGATAGGATGGACTGGATTGGCGTTTGCCTTTTGTATCTACGGTTGGGTAGCGTTGTACTTACTATACCACTCTTCAAATTGTTTTCAATTGCACTATTGCCTCCATGCATCTTGTGAATCTCGGGCTAGGGTGAACGTCAAGAGGGTCGACGCGCTTGTCAATGACTAACTGTGTTCGTTTAGTTGCGCCAGGGAATTTGGAATTAACCGATAATAAATATTTCAAGCAAAAAGAAACAAACAGAGACAAATGACAGGCAACATGAAGAAGACGATGTCGTTTTTGTAGCAAAAAGCAAAAGAGAGGGCTCAACCGGGGATTGAACCCGGGACCTCCTGCAAGCTGAGCGAACCCAAAGCAGGAATCATACCGCTAGACCATTGAGCCGATATCCGACGTGGATACTACTAACCACAAAAGACATGTACATATAGACGAATGTAAAAAACCACAGCGCAATACCTTCAGGCTGCACCAATGTCAACGAAATGGACCTCTCTCTCCCATTGACATTTCACGACATTCATCTCGTCCCTTCTCGGCCCGACGATAACAGATTAAGTTTCGATTGCCTGCCGTCCAGTCTTTATCACATCACCAAACTTGCTTTTCCCCTCCACGTGGAAAGTCTATTCAACACCAGATCTTCCGGTTCGGGCCATAAAATTGCCTCCCGACATACGAAAAGCCAAAAATGGACACCCTCTATCCCACTCTGCCCACCTCTGAGTAAAACCCTAGAGTGATATCGGTCCGCCGATCGGGCTCGTATGTCGTTATCACTCAGAGTTAAATTTTCGCTTCAATGTCGCGGATAAGGAGGCAGGATACAACTGACATCCCTGTTAAGGTAGTATCGGTTGCTTCCGCGGGGGGTACCCATTTGTCTAACGAGCCTGTTACTGCAAAAGGACACGCAGCTGTTAAGAAACGCAAAGGAAACATGTATTGGGGATAGTTGTGCTTTAAACCCGTGGGGTTAAACACCACGTGTGAGGCACTTAATGCAAGGCACATTTGTCATTAGATTGAAAGCAAGGCACGAATCTGCAGGTGGCTTCTGTAAGGCCTAACAGATAACGGTTTTAACCATAATCGGTAGGGAGACCTCTCCACGTGTGTATGCAGGGGTTCTAGTCGATGAAACCGGCAGTTCAATAACTGATGCGAGTACGAGTCATAAATCTGCCCAACCGAAGGCGGCAGTGCTGTTTTGTGTTCTGCAGATATTGCCATTGAATCTGGTAAATCGGTTTGATATACGTTTGATCGCTCTGTGACCTGAGCCACAAACGAACTCTGAAGTTCCAATCGCTGTGCTCCTCCTAAGCCATCATCACAACTAAAGTAGGGGTCTTCATACGAATTTAAAGCTGTCCCCCAGGGTGTTCTTCGGATAAAGGCACACTATACATGCCAAGACTGGTCTGGACCTCAAGGTTTCGCTTAGCGGAAAGCCCGTTCGTGAAGCTATCCAAAGTTTACAAGGGTGTTAAGTTCCGTCGGTGTCTTTAACAGCAGAATCTTTAACATGTGTTCATGAGATCAGTAAAGACTCGTCATTTTCGTGATCAGTCGTTTACCTAGTGAAACGTATCTAAAGTTCGAGACCCCTGGAAAACCGTTGTTAAGCGAATAATATTTAGACGCATGCGATAGTTACATTGGTTTTCTGCATGAAGTTCCGGCGATCCGGACTTAACACGGCAGGTACTTAAGAACAGCAATCTTGGCGTAGGTAATTGAATTCAGTTGCGAGCGCATACAACTGACTACCTCGGCAACTCCTGGCTATCATGTCCGAAGTTGTATATCTAAGTTTCAGGAAGCAAGGTATATGACATTTTCTCAGAATAGATTTACGGTGACACCGAGTGGGAGTAATTCCCGATCAACTACTCCAACCGAGTCTCAAGAAAGTAAATTATCACTATAATTGACGGCATAAGCTGCTGAATAAGTCAGCTTCTAGTGTTGATTACTCCGATCCCTTCCTATTCTCAACAACTACCGTAGAACCCCAGACCCATAATCGGCTGAAGTAATCCTCCCAGAGAGAATCAGGGCAAACGCGGAAAGAGAACCGGGATAAGGGACCCTGGGAAGTTCACCTAGACCCCGCCTGTTTCGAGTGTGTTACTGCCCAAGTGATATACCCGCAATAAACTGGAGAACTTGGCTTCCGAAAACGAACAGCCGCAGCTGCACAGATGATCTTAAGTGAATACCCAGAAGGATAACAGTTCGTAATGGTCCCAGTACAAAGTCCACCCATGCCTTCCTTCGCTTGGACCAGCAACGTCTCCTCTCAAGTCCACAATGAATATCGACCCGTTTGTGTTTGCAGCCTTTGGGCCGCCGCCCAGAGACATAGATTTGTCTGCTAACAGTGAGGCTCAAAATGCGAGTGTTGTTCTCACGTTGTTGTGTATCTCGGCTATATTTTTGGCTGGCAGGATAGCTATGAGAACGATGCAGGTTTATGGGTTAAGTGTGGATGACTATGCTATTCTTGTGTCGTTTTTGTTTGTGACGCTTACAGCTGCTATGGTTGTCGTTGGTAAGTCCTCTGACCAGGGAGGTTGGTGTAAAGCTGACGTCGATAGGTGGATATTCTGGTGTTGGAAAACATGTCTGGGCTCTTACGATTAATCAGCTCGAGCAAGTGATAAAGGTTCGTTGGACCTGTTGATCGAAGATGATTGATGCTAACTGTGATAGCTCACATATGTCTACAGCTTCATGTTCGTTGGAGCCGTGTTCACTACAAAAGTTTCGATCCTCCTCTTCTACCGACGAATCTTTAGCCGCGGCGGACTTCACTTCCAGGTCGCATTCTGGTTCGGCGCTATCCTCGTGGGCGCATACCCGATCATCTTTGTGTTCACGATGGGCTTTTGTTGTACGCCTGTCTCACACTACTGGACGCAAGTCAAGGGTACTGAGGGGAAGTGCATCGATGTTGGGCATTTCTTTGTCATCTTGGCCATCATCAATCTAATCACCAATATCATCGTGCTGGTGATTCCTGTTCCAGAAGTGCTTAAGCTGCAGATGAGTAGAGGGAAGAAGGCAGCTGTCTTTGGGATCTTGGCACTTGGAGGATTGTGAGTGACCACAAAAGCTCTAACAAAATTGACGACTAACCGTTCCCCAGAGTCTGCATCGCCAGCGCTGTCCGAATCCACTACCTAAACGTCTTCGCCAACGCCGTCGATACAACATGGCACATGGGCCCAGTAGCCATCTGGTCCTCCGTCGAACCCTCCATGGGCATCGTATCAGCCTGTCTACCGAGCTTCAAGTCACTACTACGTCACCTTCGAGGGAAGAGTGCGGCCCGAGCATCTACCCAGATTACAAATAGTGGCGGTGGGAAAGGAAACAGCAAGCCGAGATTCGATGACGAAATCGCTTTGAGGAGCCAGATTGTTGGGGGCGAGGGGAGCTTACGGAGCGGACAGTCACAGGGAAGTGAGATGGATAGACACATTTTTGTCAAGACCAGCGTTGAGCAGACTTTTCATGAGCTTCCTTAGATGGGGTTGAGTAGACGAGATATTATGATACCACTTACTTTCGTTTGGAGAGGGTCAGTTATTAATGGGATAATGTCATTGGCATCAGAGCTCCCGCATCTTGTTTGCCTAATGTTGGGACTGAACTGTCCTTAAACCCACAAACCCATGACCGAGGGATTTTCCTGTTGCTAGCCCTCAGAACCTAGATGGAATGGGGTCTTCATACACCCATATCGTGATAGACCATCAGAGGCAGCATCAAGGACACCGATTGAAGTCAAAAGAGAAATATAGCGCTCGCTTGCAAGATGACAAGAAAATCAGTTCTAATGACAAAGCCTGCTACGTAAATACAAATCTTTGACCACTGCTATTTGAGAAATACAGTACCAGGTATAACATCAACGTCCTATTACAGCACCTTAAGCTGTAGCCGGCTTCCGCCCCGTGATGAAGCGATAGCTGGTGATCAATCTCAAATCTCGAAGTCGAAATTCTCTCTTCACACCTTCCATCAACACCATGACCTGGTCCTGCGAATAATTCCACACTCGCGTGAAAAGAGCCGGTGTATGTGACTCGACAGACATTTGCATGTGTGTGAGTTCGAACTTTCCTAATTCTTTCAGCTTCTCATCCTTTGCCCAGGGTCCGATCGGTATCTGTTGTTATTAGTAAGATGGTTAGGACAGGTCGATGTGATGACATACTCGATGGATTCGCTCCTGAACATCTTCAAACCCAGCATCAATCATCCACTGCTTATGATACTTCGCAATATTAATCTGCTTTCCAAACATCTTGCTCGCATCATCAAGCTTGGCAACCCACTCCATCGTCCAAGGCGCCCGATCACAACTATCGTCATCGCTGAATATCCAGGCATCGTACTCCTGCATCTCAACATACCCACCCGGCTTCAGATTCTCAAGAACTCTGCTGTAAAAGAGAGGCCAATTCGCTGATGTACCGCATAATGCTCGACCATGGATGTAGTCGAACTTTTCATGATCGCGATACGTCCACTCATCTTCATAATCGTCGACGTGAAACAGGCAATTGCCTGGCACCCAGTCAGGTTGGATGGGGGAAAGATCGACGCCGGATACGGTTGCATTTGGATATTCATCAGCCATTTCGATAGCCCAAATTCCAGTGCCGCAGCCTAGGTCCAGGATGCGGTAGTCATTTTGCTGATCTGATGGCGGTAAAGGTGCTGCGTGGAGTGCTCCGCCTAGAAGTAATCGCCAGATATGATGCTGAAGATCTAAACGCTGTTGTTCCTGGTCATCATTGGGAAGAACATATTGTCCTTCTCTGTAGGCGTGGTAGCGACGACCATTTTCGTACTGGTAGTCGAAGATGGATGAGGTTACGGATGCGGTGTAGGATGAATCTCTGTCGGACCCATACGTAGAGTCTGCGTCATCACCAGGCAATTCCTCCTCCTAAAAAGCATTATAAGAATATGACGAGTCATTTAGAGAGTTTAAAAAAGGCTTACATCGACTTGTAGCGGCGCATGATCCTCTTCCTGCCGATCTTGGTTCTGGTTGTCGACAGGGCTCTTTGGCGATTGGCTCATTTCGAGGTTCCGAGGAGAAGTCTGACCCGACAGATTGGTAACGGGTGGAGGAGATGACGATTCCCGGTCAAGGCCCATGTTTGGCGAATCCCTCACTAAGAAAATAGGTGGTAGACCAGTGTTTCTGATGGTACGGTGAGAGGAGAAAAAAGAGGGAGAAAGATAAGATGACTCTTGCCACGTGGAAAAACAACAGAAATGAGCCGGAATGGCCGCGCCTGTTCTTGATTCGATAGAACGCGAGGCAAGGACCAAAGCGGAAAAGCCGCCGCCTCTTCTCCCTCAAGCCACAAGAACTAAACTAGCCAGTCATTCGATTCCCACTGTTTTAGGTCCATTTACGTAGTAGATTCTTGGCCTGTGGCCTGTCTAGCTAGGCCTGTGCAGGTTCTAGAAGAGGGTCTACTGCTCTACGCGAGACAATTTATCCGCTTTGACTTCCCCTCTTTTTTTTTCACTGAAGATTGAACAGATTGTGAAGAGTTAATATATTGTATGCAAAAATGGTCAACGACAAGCTCATCTGTGTCATTGGTGCGACTGGTAACCAAGGCGGTTCCGTCGCCCGTCGTTTCCTTCTTGCAGGTTACAAAGTCCGAGGTCTTTGCCGCGATACCTCCTCCGCCTCCGCCCAAAAACTCACCGCAGCTGGTGCCGAAGTTGTGTCTGTCGATTTGAACGATGTCGAAACCCTCAAGGAAGCCTTCAAAGGCGCCAACGCCATTTTCAGCGTGACAAACTACTGGGAGCCCTTCTTCCGACCTGATTGCCGACTCCAGGCCGCTGAAAAGGGTATCTCATGTCGTGAGTTTGCGTACAACGTTGAGGTCCAACAGGGAAAGAATATTGTTGATGCTGCTGCTACTGTAGCTGGGGGACTTGACGAGAATGGCTTTTTGGTCTCGACTTTGAGTCAGGCTGAGAAGTGTAGTGGTGGAAAGTTTAAGGATTTGTATCATTTTGATGGAAAGGCAGATGTCTTCCCTCCTTATATCGAGGAGAAGTATCCTGAGCTTGCGGCAAAGGTGTCGTGTATTCATACGGGATTCTTTTATACGAGCTTCAACATTCTTCCCGACTCTTATTTCCAGAAGGTGAGTTGCCAGATGAAAGAGATATGCTAGCATTAGCTGACAGAGTAAAGCAATCCGACGGAAGCTTCGAAATGGCCTTCCCTACTACCCCCGAAGCCATGGTCCCTCACCTGGATCCTGTAGGCGACCTCGGAAACTTCATCTACGCCGTATCACAAATGCCTCCAGGAAAGGCATATATGGCTGCCGGTACTTTCTGCACTTGGCCTGAGTGGATCGAGACATGGGGCCGCATTAACAATATCTCCGTCAAGTATCGACAGTGTACTGTTGATGAGATGATTGAGGCTACGCCTGATAGGGATGCTGGTATCGAGACGTCGTTGATGTTTGATTATGCTTCGGATCCTGGTTATGGTGGTGGTATGGATCTGCTGACTGCTAAGGATATCGAAAAGGTATGTAATCGTTTTATTGTGACGTTGATGAGATGCTTACTGTGCGTGATAGGCCGGCATTGAGTGCCCCATGACTACTTGGGAGGAATGGGCGAAGAAGTACGACTGGTCTCATATTCTCAATCAATAGATGACATATTAAATTATGTGCTGGTATCATCATAGAAGTGCAGGCAGCATGATTTATAGATTAGATAAAAATTAATCTCCATAGAAAGAGCCCGACTTATAAGAGAGAACCGTGAAAGCTGATAGGCCAATACATGTTGCACGACCAACACAACACGAACCAACAGCCATACCCTGGCCCTAGTCCAGTGCATCCAACAGCTAATTGTCCAACTGCCACCTCGCAACACCCTTGGCATGCAACTCGACCGTATCAAAAAGCGGCCCATCAACATCTCCCGGCTTCAGAATCATCTGTAGCTCTGTACAGCCCAGAATAACACCTTCGGCACCCCGTGCAAAAAGCTCCTTGACCGCATCCATGTAAAACTGCTTCGACTCCAACGTGACATTATCCACCGACAATTCCTTGAAGATGATATCATTCATTCGAACCCTTGTCTCCTCCTGCCCCGGAACGAGGACCTCAACACCATATTTCTTCTCCAGTCTTCCCTTCAGAAAGTCCTGCTCCATAGCAAACTTCGTTCCCAAAAGCGCAATTTTCTTCAGTGCCGCTTTCACGATCGCTTCGCCTGTGAAATCAATGATATGCAGCAGTGGAAGACCTGTTGCGGCTTCGATGTCTTCTGCCCAGCGATGATTGGTGTTGACGCAGAGAACGATGGCTTCTGCGCCGATGGACTTGAGGTTCTTGGCAGCGGTACAGAGTTGGTTGCTCACTTCGGCGTAGTCGCCTGCTTGGAAGGTAGCGACCAAGTCGGCGTAGTCGAAGGAATGGAGGACTAGTTTGGAGGAGTGACCACCGCCAAGAGTCTTCTGGACATGGTCGTTTATGAGTTTGTAGTAGATGAGGGTTGCGTGGTAGGTTGTTCCACCTAGGAGGCCGAGAACGCGCATTTTGGTGATTGATTGGAGGTGGTTTGGTGGTGAGAATAAGTAGGGTTCGAATGCTAACGACTGAACTGAATGAGGAGTGATGGAGATAAGGTTTTAGAGTTGGCCAACGGTGATATTTTATACCTTTCTCAAAGGTGAAATCGCTCGTGGTGGTTTGGTCGTTGTTAGTGCGGTACCTGAAGGGCGTCGATGTCGAAGATTATGGATCTCGCCAGTTATTCTTAGTGCTATCGGGCCTCTTCAATTGGTCGACTGAGCCCTGCCGTAAGCACTATTTGCGGTGGCTCTCACATCTTGGACCCACTCAGATGTACTGTCTTAGCATTCGACATCTAGAACACATGTTAACCAGAATAAACAGCTGGGTATGCTTGTCCAGAAAGCCAAAAATAGCAGGTCGAGTCTGGGTGGATTTCAAATGATACGAGGAGGGTTAGAGATTGGTAGATCCGAGTTGTCAACTTCAGAGATAAGGGCTCGGTAAGGTTGCTGTAACATTGACTGCGTGTTACAGGCATTCTAGACTACCCTCGTTGACTAGAGTGACCAGCGGAAGTAGCTTCAGCAACTACGTCCCTTACAAGACACGATAGATCTTGAAATTCAAGAGGGTAACTTCTGTTTGGTTCAGAAGTGGAACGACTCGGAGGTGTTTCCACGGCACTTTCCGACCCCCACGGTGATCTGACATAATCTCCGCGGGAATGATGGATGTCTCCGCGGTGTTGGATCGGTATATAACGTCGCTTTTCTGCTGCTCCAAAATGCTACTCATCTTCACAGACAAGACTCATCCGAGTGTTAAGCTATCATTTGTACATTCAGAACCCCCTCAACATCTACAAAAATGACCCCTTCTACCAACTGGACTTCTTCCCGCGAAACTCTCGAGAGAGGACTAGAGAGCGTCCTCGTCGGCGACCCAACCACCACAAGATCTGACCTCGAGAAATACTTCACACCCACCTACACATCCCTCGTTGATGGCAAGTCTGTCAACTTTGAAGAATTCGTCCAGCATATGGAACATCTCCGCAAAATCACTACTGCCATTAGTGTAAAGTCTTCACATTACCTACGCGACGGGAATCAACTCGCAGAACGACATATTGCGACAGTCGAATTCGCGAATAAGCCGACAGCCAAGTTTGAAGTCTTTATGATTGCGACGGTGAATGAGGATGGAAGGATTGAGAATTTGGTGGAGACTTTGAGACAGTTTGAGGGGTTGGAGGAGGATAAGGACCTGGGCAGTGCGAGGGCTTGAGGATGATCGTCACATGTGTAGCTGCATCCATCTTATGTAGCCGACAGTCAAAGGGTCAATTCTAAGTGTATTAAGTCTCCAAGGGTATAATGCTATCTAAGCCACGCATCTAAACAAAGGAAAGGGAAGAATCAAGTATCCTTGACAGCCTCAATCAACCTCCACTCCCAGACAGTCTGTAACCGCATACATTCCGCCAAGATATCAGGTTCATCCCACCACCACCGGTCCGCAATAATATATTCTCTCCAAACTTCCATCCACAGCATTCTCCCCACAGTATTACGTAGTTCCTGCCTTAAACCTTCCTCCGACTCGTGGCCATCTCGGACGTACTGTAATTGACTGTTGTCTAACGGAATGGAGAAAAACTGAGTCGTCTCAACGAAATTTGAATCAACGCGTAAAGAAGCGTTCTTGAGCCAGACTGGTAGAAGCTTGCTGGGATTCGTACACCGGAAGCTTGATTCGAGATTGAAGAGGAGATGGTCCTCGATCCATGTTCGTAGTAATGGGCCAAGTGTATTTGTTATTGGCAACGGATCGATGATAGTGAGATGAAGCGAGCCGCCTGGCTCGAGACAACGGTGGATGTTTCGTAGTAAAGCGGGGATATCTTGTGATGGCATAGCGAGAGGAAGTCGTAAAGAGTGGACGGCTTCAATGCTTGATGGCGCGACCGGAAATGCTGAAGGCGATCGCACTGGTGAAAGGACTGGACGGATATTCGGAAATATCTCAGGCGATAAAGGCGCTGCTGAGAGGTGGTAAACTTGTTTGTTGTGGTTGACTGCGGCTATATACGATGCCACAGCTGAGACATGTCAGTTGCTGCTCACCATGGAGATATGACTCAGCTTACCTGGTGTTTCATAAAGAGCAAGAACCTTCTTCGGTGGATCCGAAGGCTCACAGCTCATATCCTCTTCCCTAACATCTGGATAAATCGGTCCATCTAGATTATACATGGCTGATAACATCCACTGCATCTTCTCGACTTCCAAATCCCGCGACGAGCTTGGCGGTCCAGCAACATCATGCGCTTCAGTCAACCGCAACAGCCTGACCAAATTGCTCTCTCTTGCTAAGTATTTCACATCGAGTTGAATCGGCGTGAGCTCCTTCGGAATGTCGGGTTCTGGCGATGGAGTTGGTCGTGAGGGGAATGATGGTTCGGTGGGTGTGCAGCCCCATGCGTTGGGTGGTTTCCATGTATCGGAGCTGGGTTCAGCGCGCAGTGGTGTGCTGGATGATGCCATGCGACGGATTGCTTTTGGTTTGGGGACGTAGGAGCGGCTACTTTGGGGACGAGGAGGGAGAGGTTCAATTGCAGGCGGTGTTCTGTTGATATTAGCACAAGAAAAGTGATCAAAGATGATGGTTACTGACTGGTTGCTTGTCGATCGCCCTCGGAGTTTGGACTTGATGGTCGAAGGTTCAACAGTCGGAGCCGTGATTGTCACGCCGCAGTTGATGAGATATGGCGCATCGGATGACGATCGTGGTGTTGTTGTCGCTTCGGTACTTCTTTTGACGAAAGAGTCTGAACTCAGTGTTTGAAGCAAAGGCCAAGGCCGTAATACCACGCTTTCGAGAGTTTCGGTATCCCACGGTGTAGAAGACGTCGTCAATGTCGGCGAGGGTGGATCATCGGGTGGGCTATTGCGGACGTATAGATCTACGGTTGTTAGCATTTGCGACGCACCTCTAGCGATGTACATACCTGTGGATGGTCGGGTGGTGTCGATCAATTGACCATTCCTTCTATTCCTTAAGTCTACAATCTTTGGGACATGAACAGTCGTCTGTTCACTACCTATCGAGAATGTCGAGATTGAGTCCGACTCATCATTGTAACTTGTCGCAGAAGTCTTTGCGGAAGAAGAGACCGACACAGTAGGCGATATCGTTTCGACATTTCTCCTCTTACAGAAAGGCGGCACTTCAATCGATGATGAAGATCCGCGACTAAACAATGATCTCGATTTCGGTGTCGCATTGCCTTTTGGTGTAGCAGTCGCTTTATTCTCGCGATGTTCCTTCCTCGACTCCTTGGGAGCCACCCAACTGACTTCCCACATATTGAATCGATACCGATCAAGATCCGATATTCTCAAAGCGAGATTTGATGCTGGTTTTCGAAGGATGGAGTAGATACGTCCTCCTCTTGACGAAGGCGCTGCCTCGGGCTGTGTTAACGGTGTCATCCTGCATGCATGTAACGTACGATGGTGACAAAAGAAAAGATGAGCAGGGGGGGAGGGATGGGGGCTTGCATACATAGACTACAGTACCTACATAAAAATAAAATATTGGTCTTTTCTCGGTTTGGTATGGTTGAACTTGGCTTACCACATGGCGATAGACTGGCGAATGCAGGGCTGAACTTTATGGTCTTTGGATATTCGAGGCCTACGAGAATGGGAAAAGCGTGGCTTAAAAGATGGAGAGACCAAAATTCCCGGGACTTGGTAATGTTAGATGCGATTACGCCTCGAAACGCTATCTCATTTACCACATGTACAACGGATTACGTATCGTTGTCCCTTGCAGCCGAGATAGCAACAAAGACCGCTGAGAGGTCTGGATGCAGCCGTGGCTTGCGGCTATGGAACGCCTTTTTCTCGCTGGCTGGCATTGTTAGCTGCGTGGTCCTTTTTTATTGTTTGCTTGCATGACTGCGTTTCGTAATTCTTGCGAGGTTATTGTTATATGTATGATTGCATTTTCTATTTCGCGATTTTGACTTGGATCTACATGATTGCTGGATCTCAAACACAGCTTTGGACATTTCTGGGCATGTGCACTTGGGGTCGGCCCGGACAGTAAGAGGAAGGGGAGGCGGAAATAAACAAGGGAGGAAGCTAACAGATCAAATACCTCTCAGATCATCGCCAGTATCTGGTCGTGGCTTGCGATTCTAGACCATTTGCGGGGCGCCATTGCATCCAACAATACAACACCATTCTCAGTAGAGTTAGTTAGTTACAGCCCTGGCAGGTCTAAATGAACTTTATCGCATGGCACCGAATTCCTGGGACGCGAAAGAATTCGGTCACAATCTGAGATGTTTATTCACTCAATGCACAGTCCAGCCTTCTGAGATACTGGCTTCCAACAGTCTCACAGGTGGTAGATATCGCCGAGAGAAACGTGTTGGTGGCTTAGCAAACACACCAGGGATTCGTGCGACTATCAGACCATGTTTATTTCCCGACCTGCAGCCAACTGTTTCACAAGCGGGTTATTCGGGAACTGGCTCATGACCCAACCGCCCGTACAAGTAATCTCATCGTGTATTGAACGTTGAACGATCTAGATTCACGTGGAAAAAGCAAATAAACACACATCAGACGATTAACTTTACAACAAGTAGGCTATTGACTGTACCTTACAGCTTAGTCCATCTATTGGACGCCTCTAGCGAGAAGAGGCTGTGCCTATCGGGGAGAAACTGTACCTCAGCTAGCCTCTTCTCGTTCGTGTCACCTCCGGGGAACGGGTATTCATTCTTTTCCGCGTCGGTGCACCCGCTTCCGAACTTGGTGTGGCATAAGCCTTGATCCTCGTGTGATCTTTACGTGTTGATTGTCAATACCTTGCGTGGCTTGCGTATGAGCTGCAGTTTGTTATCTCAATGTCCAACGTTGAGTCCAACAACTTGCCTCCCAAGTTGGAACCGAATTTCCTCCTCTTTCTCTTCTATATACCACCTCTTCTCGAAAAGAGATTTGTTATGCCATCTCACATCCATGATTTACTAACTCGACTCAAACGCCTTCCTTGGACCTAGAAGCACAATGGAATCCCACAGCCGCATTGCAAGGTTCAACCATCGCGTCGCGACGTCTTTCATTGGTCGATACTTCAGGCTAGAAGGCAGTAGTCACGTAAGACATTCCAGTCCTCAACACCCAACAATACTCATTCTTTTAGGACAAGGAAATCACGGGGTCGACTTTTTTGAATGAGCTTCGGGCGACGACTTTTGCGGCTATGACGTATATCATTGCTGTTAATGTGAGTATACCTGACTATGGCTGCGAGATTGGTGATGTTGACAAGGTTTTAGGCTTCTATCCTTTCGCAGACGGGTGGACCGTGTTTTTGTGATGAGGTTAATAGAAATGATTGTGATAAGATTCCCAGTTATGCGATATGCAAGGAAGGCAAGTGAATACAACTCTAATTTAAATGGAAGAAGCTGACTTGAAACAGAGGTTAGAAGCGATATGATCATGGCGACATCAGCTCTTGCTGCCCTGTCAAGCTTCATGTTCGGCCTCGTCACCAACCTCCCCATAGCCCTCGCGTAAGCAGCCTCACATCACATCCAAGCCCTTCTAACACCAAACAGCCCAGGCATGGGTCTCAACGCCTACTTCGCCTTCCAAGTAGTCGGCTACAACGGCTCAGGCAGCATCCCCTACGGCGTTGCCCTAACAGCAGTATTCATCGAAGGTCTCGTCTTTATCTTCCTTGCACTAACAGGTATGCGACAATGGCTCGTCAAACTGATACCGTCAACGATCAAAACAGCTACGGGAGCCGGTATTGGTTTATTCTTGACCGAGATTGGACTTTCGTATGGGACGGGAATTGGGGCTATTACTGGAGGGTTTAATGCGACGCCCTTGGCCATTGCGGGTTGTCCTGTTGAGATGATTAATCCGGATACACAGATGTGCGATTCGGGGATCATGTCGAGTCCCAAGGTGAGTAAATTATTGGAAGTGTGAGATGAGACTGACAAGGGTAGATGTCGACTGCTATCTTTGCTGGTGGCATCTTGGTTGTTTATCTCATGGCCTTTCGGGTCAAATATGCCTTCATCTTTGGCATCGCCCTCGTCTCTATTCTTTCATGGCCGTAAGTCCACACCACGTCTTTCACGAGAATCTTTCTCTAAAATATAGCAGTCGTGGAACATCCATAACATACTTCCCCGACACCCCAGAAGGAAACTCCCGTTTCGCTCTCTTCACAAACATAACATCCTTCCAACCCATGAAACACACCCTCAACGCCCTAGACTGGAACATCTCCGCCCACGGTACCCAATTTGTCATCGCCCTCTTCACTTTCCTGTACGTCGACATCATCGACGCCACTACAACACTCTACTCCATGGTCCGTTTCTGCGGCGTAATGGACGACGGAGATGGGGACTTCCCTCGTTCGACTCTGGCGTATTGTTGTGATGCGACAGCTATTTCTATAAGTGCTCTTTTTGGCTGTTCACCTGTTACGGCGTTTATCGAGAGTGGTGCTGGTATTGCGGCTGGAGGCAGGACGGGGATCACGAGTATGACTACAGGATTGCTTTTTGGTGTTGCAGTTATGTTTGGACCGGTTTTTGCGAGTGTACCGCCTTGGGCTACCGGGCCGACACTTATTCTGGTAAGCCATATATGCTTCGACTGAGATTGAGAGGAAAGAGTGCTAATTTCGCGACACAGGTTGGATGTTTGATGGCGAGGCAGATGAATGAGATTAACTGGCGCTACATCGGTGACACCCTCCCTTCATTCGTAGTCATCGCCTTCGTCCCATTCTCGTACAACGTCGCCTATGGTATCATCGCGTAAGCCAATCCGCTACCCTCAATCTAGATCATAAAGCTAATATCCTCAGTGGCATGTTTCTCTACACAACCATCAACATCCTTGTCGCCTTGACAGTACGCATCTCAGGTGGAAGATTAGAGCCAGAGAACTACGACCTCAAAGAGTACTGGACTTGGAAAGCCCCCGGGAAGAAGCCGTGGTATGTTCGCGCTTTCAGAAAATCCACAAGAAAAGCAGATGAGTCGTTCCGGAATAGATCGGATTGTGAGATGATGAGAGTTGGGTCAGATGATGGGAGGAAGGATGAGACGGGTGTTGCGATGCCGCAGAAGACTTTGTCGAGGTTCTCGAGGTAATGTTTTGGCCGAGAAGCAATATTGGGGGACAGAAGTATGCTTATATATACATGCAATAATTAAAATTCACTCTGACAATTACTTATCTACATACTCAATTACCACGCCGGATCAACAACCACCCCTCTGCCCTCCGATCTCTCACTCATCCTTACCCGGACTTACAACCCTTTGGCTCCCACCCTTCAGCCTCAAAAGCCTGCCCACTTGGAACGAATGCTGGCGCAACTATAACATGTTAACTCAATCACCAACTCATCCACATCAATAACTTACCCGTAGTCCCAACCAGCGTCCAATCCCCCAAACTTCTGGCCCTCTGCCACTCATCCGCCCTAACAACAGCCTGCGGCCTCTCCCCAGCAAACAGATTACTTCCCATGACGTGCTCCTCCCCACAAGACCCATTATTCCAAGACACAGACAGAACTAACGGGGCGCCAGCGTAATAGTGCCAGACCTCTGCTGCATCGAGCTTGTGCCAAAGTGAGTCACCTTCGGAGCCTTTAAGAAGATAGTAGATTGCCGTGCTGACGGAGCGGTTTGTACCATGGACAGTTTCAGGATCGATGAAAGTTTGGGTAAAGAAGCCTTTTTCGTCAGAGGGTTCCATCTTAAGAAGATCAATGATGCTTTGGGCTGAGCATTCGTTTATTGGTTTGTCGGTTCTGGGAATGTGGAGGGCTAGGCTGAAAGGTAGCCATGATAGAGCGAGTGAGTACTTCATTGCGAGACGAGTGAGTTGCTGTGTCAGATGAGCTGGGCGTGATCTTGTGTTTATATATTTACAGTCGTTTACGCGCTTACGGGTCGGTAGCTTCGGAATGACGCAGTGACGCTGCTAGTGTCAGATTCAGCTCGAAAGTGAGTAAGATGTTCCACTGATGACGTACAAGCTTGATTCAGATCAATTTATTCGCTCTAGCTATGGTGAGAATCAGTTGAATGATTGACAATTATTGGCTGTGGCTTCCGTAGGTGAAGCCATGATCCATATTGGCTGTGATGGCTTGGCGGTTGGTCTCGCATCAACGTTGTTTCCACAACCAGCGTCCCATAGAATGGGCCAATTATTGACCAATTGGTGTAAAACATTGCTGATAATTGACCAGTAGCTATTTTTCTTTTTCGCGGCATCTTGAAAGGGACATTTGACCTCTTTCAGCTCTTTCGGCCGGCGCCGTCTACCGCTATGGAATATCTTCAGCGGGGTAGCCCGCTCCGATCCTGCTATCAGATAAGAACTCATATTTGAACCGGTCAATTCCTCGATGTGAGTTTAACCCGACTTCACTCCAGGAATACGTCTCATGTCAAATCTCTATCACTGGAAATGACATTTAAAACACCTCAAGAGCTCCTCTCAGCCCTTCTCAAAACCCTTGAGCAGGACATCGTCCCCCTCACAAAAAAGGGTGTCTCTTCAGGCTCCAAAGTTTTCGGCGCTGCAATCCTCTCCTCCCAAACGCTCACCCCTCACACCGTCTCGACCAACAATGAGCGCGCATCCCCTTTGCTACACGGCGAAATAAACTGCATCCAGCAATTCTACACACAAACCTACCCCGATCCCAAGAACAGACCTGATCCAAGAGAAGATTGCGTCTTTTTCGCTACTCATGAGCCGTGTAGTTTATGTCTAAGCGGAATCACCTGGTCTGGCTTCAAGGAGCTGTACTATTTGTTTACGTATGAGGACAGCAGGGATACGTTCGGGATTCCATATGACATTGAGATTTTGGAGGAGGTTTTCCGGGTGAAGGCCGATGGGGAGAGTGATGAGGCGTTGAGGAAGAGGGCATTGTATAATAAGAGAAACAAGTTCTTTATTGCAAAGAGTATTGGAGATCTTGTTGGTGAGATTAAGGATGGTGAGGAGAAGAAGCATTGGGAGCAGGAGGTGGAGAGGGTGAAAGCTTTGTATAATGCTTTGGGTGATGAGTATCAGAAGAATAAGAAGAGTGGGATAGAGACTTCGAGCACTTGGAAGTAGACACAGACTTAGTCGAGTATTGTGAATGAAAACGTCACATCTCATATACACATCTTCAAGCAGTCTCCAAGCAAATGCCTCTCTTCTCAATGAAACAGCAGCCCTGCTCCAACAAGGACTCCAACAACCGCAACGATAGGTCCCAACTTCGCACCTTCCAGCCCGGAAGCAGCATTTTTTTCATCATCAGACCCACTCGACGGAGAATCAGTCTTGCCCGCCTCCGCCGAATCCCCCTCCTTATAAACCATGTGAACGGCATGAAGCTTCTTTTGAACAATGACCTCGTCGGGATCAACGGGCAACATCGGGCTCCCAGTTGTAAACGGCACTGTCATTGCGTAGTCGTCAGGATTATCCCATGTCCGGATGGACCTGATGGGATCTGAGTAGACGCTTGTTCCGACGGTGTAGTAGGTGGCTATCAAGCTTGCTGGAAGTCGTCGTTGGCAGAATTCAGTGTATGTTGCTGATGTCAGGGGCATGATGGAAGATTGACATATGCCCGCGGTACCAGCTGTCCAACCACTGAGATAGTCATTAGGGGTGTAGTGCTTGCTGAGATTGTAGGTCATACCTTGGACAACAGAGTGCAAGCGTTTCGTCAGATGCCAGCACATTGAGCCAAACCTCATCTCCTCTGAAAGGATAAGATGTCGTAGTAGCATCCGTTGTGAAAATACCCTCTCTTGTGATTGTTGAGCCATCACCGTGTGCTAGCTTTCCAGCCGTCGTCCAACCATGAGGACAAATGAGTCCCGGGGAAAAGTAATCGAAAACTGCCATTCCTCCAGTCTTTATGGCTTGACCTCTAATCTTATCGTGTTGAGAGCCCGACGGATGGCATTTTCCCATGGTGGTGATGCTACATGATTCCCAGCCAAACACGAAGGTGGGGGTGCCGGCCTTGGCGAACTCGATGGCGTTTGTTGTTCCTGTTGTGCATGACGGTGGTGGTGAGTATGTTGTTGTCAGAGGTCCGAGGTTGGTGAATTGATAGCCCAAGAATTCTGTTGCGGTTGGCATTTTGGCAGATGACACTAAAATGGGAGGTTGTCAGATTAGATCCTGGGGTAGTGGGGTCAATATTTGTAATAAATAGTGTTTGGAAACAATGGCTGTAGGAATAACACAAAGCTAGTCATGGGCTGAATGCATGAGTCCTTGGTTGTATGCCTTAGGCGGTCAAGTTTCGTGATGTAGTGTGCTGTGCCGCAGAAATGCTACCATACTTATCGAAGAGCCAATCATAACAGTATTTCTTGACGCCTAAAAGGTATGCTTACTCGGACCTTACTGAATCTAATCACTAGGCTGAATCCTTTGATGAGTTAGGATAGACTGGACTGGTCTAGACCGGCCTCGGCTCCGGTCATTTTATAAGACGGTAAAGTAGAAGCCGTGAAACAATCACATTATCAATGGCACGATTCATGTTTCAAGTCATAGAGTAGTATTAAAAATTAATAATACCATGAACTAACTAGTAAGAATTCCTATCCAACATTGCCCATGGTCGATGTGTATCAAGTAATCAATAAATCCATCGTTCAATCCTTCAGTCCAAAATCTACATGAAGACAGCAATGACGGCAGGAACAGCCATCAAGAGGCCGCTGCGGACAATGCTACCACCGCTCACAGCAACGGGAGGGGTAGGGACGGTAGGAGGAGTTCCAGCAGCGGGAGGAGGGTACACAGGCTTGGTGGGAACCGCAGGAGGAGCCTGGGGAGGAGGAGGAACAGCAGAGTGAGGAGGCTGAGCAACGGGAGTCTCGTAGACAGGAGGAGGGACGACCCATGAGCTGGGGGCAACAGGAGGAGGAGTAGGAACAGTTCCGTTACCGGGAGGAGGGTAAGGAACGGTGGCGGCAGGAGGGAGGACGGGCTTGTCGCCAGTGGGCTTCTCAGGAGTGGGAACCTCGTGAGTAGGCTTCTCGGGGGTCTCGTAGGTGGGCTTGGTAGGCTTGCCGGGAGTGGGGACCTCGTGGGTAGGCTTCTGAGGAGCCTCAGTGGTACCAGAAGCGACACCAGTGGTCTTAGGGTTCTCAGGGCAGTAGGTGGTGCTCTCGACAATGGTGACGGTGGGAGCAGGAGGAGGAGTGGTAGGAGGCTGGAAGGTCTTGGTCTTGCGAGTCTTGCAAGGGACGACAGTGGTGAGAGTGTCGGTGATGGTGGTGACAGGCTTGGGGGCAGCGTGGGTGGCGGTGGTCATAGCAGGGACACCAGTCTCGGTAGCAGGGCAGACGTAGGTGCTCTTGATGATGGTGGAGGTGACGACCTTCTGGGTGTAGCGAGCAGGGCAGTTGATGACGGAAGCAGCACAGCTGGTGACGGTGTAGACCTGGGTGGAAGTAAGAGTGCGGGTGACATCGCCGATGGTGCCGTTACCGTGGACGGAGGGAGCAGCGGTAGTGACAGGCTTAGCAGCAGAGCCGTAGACGGGAGAGCCGTTGGTACCAGTGGCAATGGGGAGGTCGTAGGCATCGGTAACGTCAGATCCAGCGCCGGCAGTAGCAAGAGAGATGGTTCGGGTCTCGGACTTGTCAGACTTGTCACCGTCCTTGCCCTCAAGCTCGAGGAAAGCACCAGTCTGGCCACGGTTGGGCATGCAGACCTTGGCCTTGGCAGCAGTAGCGAGCTCAACGGTCAGAGTAGGGGCAAGGCTGAGGTCGAGAATGTCGCCAACCTCGACGTCAAGGTCGACAGCGAGACCGAGAGTAAGAGCAATGACTTCGTCGACGGAAACAGCGCAGTTGTCGGTGGCAATGAGAGCGGCAGTGTACTCGAAGAGAGAAACCCAGACAGCAACCTTGGCACCAGCCTCGATCTCAAGAACGGGGATGTCGAGCTCGGCCTCAAGATCAACCTCAGCACGGAGACGGAGACCAAGCTGGAGGTTGATGTCAGCGGACAGATCAACTTCAGCACCAACACCGAGGGGAAGAGCCTTGGTGACAAGACCCTCAAGAGAAACATCGACGATGTCCTTGGTAAGGAGAGAAACCTCAACGAAAGCCTCAGGGCCGAAAGCAAGGTAGACACCAGCAGACAGGTCAACAGCAGCGTCAACTCCGACAACAAGGTCAAGAGCGACAGCAGCACCGGCCTCAGCCTCAAGAAGACCAGGGATCTCAATGTTAAGAGCAGGAGAAGCGAAAAGCTCGATAGACTCGTGGACAGCAGCAGAGGCAGAAATGTCAACCTCGACGTAGGCCTTCACACCACCGAGGCCAATGCGGACGCGAGGCTCCTGGAGGAAGTCCTTGACGAGGTCGATAGTGGCGTCACCCTCGATCTGAGCCTTGGGGAGGTTGAGGCCGAGCTTGATGGCGGCGCCGTTGGCGGAGGCAGGGGCGGCAACACCGTTGAAGAGGGTGCGGTCTTCCCAGGAGTGGGAGAGGGGGCAGGTAGCGGCGCCCTTGGTCTTGGAGACCTTGTCGTTGGAGCCGAGACCAAGCTTGACATCGGCGTCGACACCGGCAGCACCACCAACATCAGCCTTGACACCGGCCTTGACACCATCGCCGACCTCAGCGTTGACGCCAGCCTTGATGCCATCGCCAACCTTGGCACCGACATCAGCGTTAACACCGTGTCCGACACCAGCGTTAACATCAGCGTCAACACCAGCAGCACCACCGACCTTGGCACCAACGTCAGCGTTCACAGCGTGACCGACATCGACACCGGCGTTAACATCGAGACCCTTTCCGAGGGAAACATCGGCGTCGAGGCCGAGCAGGTGGGGGGAGGCCTGGGCAACAGCCACAAGGCCAAGAAGGCTCTTGAAATGCATTGTGAATTATAAAAAACAACAAAAATGATAAAGTAATGAGTGACTGGAGCGAAGGAAGTGCTACCTGAACTTTGAGTTGTCTAAAAGAGTGACTGGAAAGAGTGCTAAAGACTGAAGAGCAAAAGGTTAATTCTGAGGAGCAGATCAGCTCTGTTTTATGGACTTTCTTTCATATACATAGGGGCTTGGTGTTCATCAGCGGATACTCATCAATCTCGCCTGTCGTAAAGGTCACCTTGACAAATCCATTCCGTCTTTGTCTGTGTGCAGTAAAGCAAAATAGGGCCTGGCGATCGCTATTTCAGACCCCTGATGGTTTGGACGGCTAGCGGGGGTCAGGTGGCGCTGATCAGCGTGAACCCTGCGTTCGGGGATTTAAATTAGGGGAGGAAAACCACGTGAAGTGGCTTTGTTTCGTTTCGTTTTCGAGGTCTGACGTCTTTCTCAGGGCTGCTGTTACATCTGTTATGGACTTCTGGTGCGCAATCTCCATGTCTATCAGTTTCGGAATTCTTATTAATGGACTTGATCGCCCTTCTGTTCATCTGGACTCTTGTCTTTGTCTGTCTCAACTCATGTCGATTTGGCTCAGTGCGCTTTGACTGAACAGTCACCAGAATTGGAGAAAAAGACTATGAAAGTCCCCGCAGACAAAGCAAAGTGCCGACTGAGCTAGTCAAAGCGTTGTTGTCTCACTTGACATGACCCTGAGAACGGCATCTTATCCTATCGATAAGATATAGCCAAGACGACTCAAGGATAGGGACCATTGGCTGTTTAACGACTCTCAGGGCATGGGATTTCACCGCCTGGGCGCAAAAGGCGGCTCGGACGACTGGGGGCTTAGAGTGATGGGCAGGGGAAAGTGGAGCATAGTGCAGATCAGTGCACAAGAGCCAAGCAGCCAAGCTTGTCAAGTCAAGCTAGAAGGGCTACTCGAATCATGGTGTTTTTTTTATTTCCTTGATGATTTTGAGCTAGAAGTGTCAGGCGTTGAACAAGATTAAATCCCTTGTTTGAATGGAGTAGCACTTTACAAGATGATTGGATACGAATATAGTGTGTATCAGAGCGTTGAGAACAGACGTTCAGTTGTTTCCCAAGATAAAGTGTAATTTAAGTCTTGACACGCGAGAAACAAAGTGGACGGTGGTCTGAGTCTTGGTCTTGATGTTGGTCAGTGCGACGAGACTGGATGAACAGACGGAACTTGCCGATCTGCCTTTGACGATGCTGCACTAACAAACTCGCGCCACCGGACAAAGGTCAAAGAACACAACAGAATCGCTCCTACTAAGACAGCTAAGTGTTTTTGCTCCGCTTCAACTGAGCTAACAATGTGCCGCCCGGCAACTTTCGAGACGATCCACTTGTTCCTGCATGCATGTGGTGATGGTGTGCTTGAGGGTTACAGGACATGATGCTACCCTATATGCAGGTTGGATTTACATCTCGATGGTCTTGCAGCGCAACAAGGACAATCAATCTGCCATGAGCATGCAGCTACTTTGTAAAATACAATGGTTAAAAACTGTACTGAATGCATGTATTCAAGTGTTGACCGAGTGTTGTTGATAAGCACCGTGGATTGATGTTTGTTTTGATAGCTGGTGCACCTGAAGCGAGTATCGGTTCCGTGACCAAGTCACATCATATAATAGAGCAATTCTCGGTCGACTCGTGCTGCTACAAGCATTGTTATCAACGCTTATCGGTCGGTTGATCCCTGACAAAGCCTCGAGGAGCTTATCGCAGCTAGCATCGTTTATCCATGCGAGGCTCCGACATCAAAGTCTCGGTAGATTAATACATCACACGGACAAGAAACGAGTCAATTCATTAGGTAAACCTGGGTATAATTAATATTATGCTCGCTATAAATGTCTCAAAAAAGCACTAGTCTATGTAATCGCAAAGATCAAGATGATCACAAGTCCAAATTACGTTCCTCCTCTGCCTCAGGCTCCTCCTTCTCAGGAGCCCCGGCATCGAGCCCCTCAAACAAATCACCCCAGTGCTTAGGGTTCAACAATCTTATCTTCTTATCCTCTTTCTCAATCTCCTTCAACTCTTCTTTGCTAAACTCAACATCCTGCGAACAGAAGTTGTCAGAGATAAAGTCAGGATGAACACTCTTGGTGACAACCACAGTGCCTCTTGCTTGACCCCAAGCCAAGATTGTTTGGGCAACGGTCAAGTTCTTCTTCTCGGCCATGTTGACCCAGAATTTATCTTCGAGGATGGCGGGGTATTGATCGCCGTAGGTCGGGTTCGTGTTTGCGAGGGGTGAGTAGGCGATCACTTTGATGTCTTCCTTCTTGTGGAAGTCGACAAAGGACTGTTGTTGGAGATAAGGATGTGTTTCGAATTGATGCGCGTAAGGTCGGATCGTGGCGATTTTAAGGATCTTCTTAATATCCTTGGGCGAGAAGTTGGAGATGCCGATGTGACGCGTCAGACCAGCGTGGACAAGCCCCTCCATGGCTTTCCATGTGTCCTCCAGAGTGGTCTTATTGTCGATTTCTCTTGTGAGGGGATCGGAGTCGGGGGTCCAAGCGATGGGGTAGTTGACGAGGTAGAGGTCTAGGTACTCGACTCCGAGGTTGGCGATGGAGGTTTCGATGGCTTTTCGGACTAGTTGGGGTCGGTGGTTCTCGTTTTCTAATCTGCTGGTGACCCAGATGTCCTCGCGCTTGATCCCGGATGCCTTGATGCCCTTGCCGACGGGTTCTTCGTTGTGCGACTTGAGAGGGGCGTCGATGTGGCGATATCCTCCTCGGAGAGCATGTTCTACTGCAAGCGCTGCCTAAAACAAGTCAATATCATGATGTAAAGAGTAGTGCGACAAAGAATCTTACCTTTTGGGGTGCCGCAAGCCATGTCCCCAGTCCCAAAGCCGGGATATCTATGACTGTCTCATTCTTCTCGATCTCGGGCATCGGCACCGGATGGAATGACGTGGCTATTGAAAGAATAGTATACGTGACGATACTCACGACCGTGAGGAACGAAAATGCCCTCACGAAGCTCATCGTGATGTTGCGTTGTGTCGGTATTTGGTGGTGATGGTGAAGATGACGTGATTCGGATGATGCAGAAATGTCAGTCAGGGACTTTTTTTTCACGCTCAGCTGACGATGGAAACTGCGGAAGTGGGTGCCTGGCAGGTGGCAGGGATTGTATGATGTCATTACATAAGCGGGCTTGGCAGGTGATGACGCTTGAGGCTGCAAGTCAAAGAACGGCTGGGACGGCAGAGATGTTACCAATTATGAGACAAAGAATTGATTCAGCCTTGTGATGGAAATTAGATGCAGCATCAAGATGATCAGTTTGTCTCATCATAGATATTTATTCTGGTGGCGATAAGTCACTGATGATGATGGTTGAGATGATGGATAGTCTCACTCTGGCATATCCAGTCCGTCACTGTTGACATGGTTCACAGTCCATAATAAAGGGAAATGATTTGAGAAACGAAAAATTGGGTATTTTATTGTTCAATGATGTCTTCCTTTTTATATGTAATCAGTGTACATAGTTATCCATGCATCAGTGTTTGCTGTAACAAAAAGAGACTTTTCTCTATGAATCAGGAACAACACAGCGTATCAAAGTGAACATAATGATTCAAAAGATCAACAAAGGCTTTGAAACAAATTGACTCGAGATTCCAGCCTCAAGCGCTCTCTTCCGAACTATCCGGAGTTTAGTGAGCTCCGCCAGCAGAGTTGGCGTTATCAGCACAAGACCATGGGCTAGTACCACCATCAGCCTTCAACGAGTTGTTGATGCCAACGATGGATCCATAGGTGCCTGCAACGGTCATGAATGTACCGATAACAATAACAAAGACACTCCAACAAACCATAAGATACCACTTGGGAGACTTGCTCTTCTTGCCCTTGTGCCAGTTGTCATAGAGCCACATACATCCGTAAGGCTGGAAACACATCATTGTGCCCAGGAGAGCTCCAATGAGAGACACAAGGCCTCCAAAGACAGGGATAGCGCTAGCAATGATGTACGCGATGACGGTCACGCCGCCTGTGCAGGCCAACCAGGTAGCCCAATGCACGATACCGTTGGAGTTGAGGTGCTTGGTGCCTCGCAACAAACGGATAAAGAGATACTTGGCAGGAATCTTGGACATGTTAGTAAGAATATCACAAGAAAAAAGTAGGGACACTCACGTGAGTCATAAGCATGGCAGTCACGATCAATCCAGGAAGAGCAAAGCCGTAGCACACCTTCTTCATCAGAGCTCCAGCTGAACCAAGAGCAGGCGAAGCAACATAAGAACCGCAGTAATAGTAAACGACGATACCGATGGTGATGTAAGTAATAGTCACGATCGATTGGCAAGTGATCAAGGAGCGGGTGTAGTGCTTAGGCTCACGCATTTCAGCAGCGATTTGGAAGAAGGCGGGTGTGCCGGAGAAGGCGAAGATGTGGGATGAAACTGCTGTGATGCCGTCAACGAAGGAGGGGTGGTTGACGAGTTTCCAGTCGGATTCCCAGTGACCTTCAGTAGGGCTTGGGGCAGCTGCTGGACGGTCTTGGACACCAACTGCGACGGTGACACAGAAGACTGAGGTTGTCAGTTATGTATATATGACGTTGAAGTGAGTGAACTTACTGGCTGTCATGATACAGATCAGTCCGATCCAGGCCAACCAGCCGATCTTGCCCAGTGTGCGGATACTCGCGAATGAGAAACCGAGAACAGCAGCGACAGCTACGAAGACAGCTGTGCAAGCGGCGTGTGAAGAAACAGAGTTGAGTCCGATAGAGATACCCAACATCGCTGAGCCAGCAACGAAGATCCAGTCTAGTCACTCGTTAGTGAAAGTACGAAAGGAAAGAGGCACTTTGCTCACAAAGCATAAAGACAGTTGCGAGAAACTCGCGACCGATTCTGCCAAATATCAAGTATCCAGCATCATCGATACCGTAAACTTGAGGATGACGTTTCTTGAAAACACCAATCATGTAGTCTGACCACGTTGTGATAGTAGCCACGGCAATAAGACATAGAATTCCTGGAATAAGACCAAGAGCATCGAATGTTTGTGGAATTGATAGAACGCCGAGACCGATTTGTGTTTTTGTCATTAATGCGACTGTCGCGATCCATCCGACCTGTTGGACCAACGTTAGTATGGGGCGAGTAACTGGGATGTTGTGGGACACGTACGTTGCGGTAGTTAGGTCCATCTTCTGAGACTTCGCCAAAGACGGCGTCGTCGATGCGTTGTGAAGTTCCTTCTTCTTGGGAGCAATTTGAGTGTGAACGTGATCGTTGGACACCTTCTAGGTCAGAAGGAATCTCATCTTTCTTCGAGGGCGCCATGGTGAAGAGAGACTGCTCGGGTATCGTATGTCTGTGTGTATGGGATCCGTGGGAAAATGGAGAAAGGAGTCTTGGAATCTGGGGAAGATGGAGCCCAAAGGCAAGGGGAGCGTCATCTCCTTATAAAGGTGGTCTTTTTATGACTACAAGAAATTGATTACCCCGGATTATACTCGATCGAGACCCGATTCCTATCTGTTGTACCCACAATGACTCCATAACCCTATCAAGACGGGCAAGGGGACCAATTGTGAGGTGCGTGATATAATATTCCCAGTTTCTGGTAGATTGGAGGCCAACGGAGATAAGCTAAAACGGGGGGCTGTAGACTGTGGAGTGGAATGTGAACGGTTTGCCTGCGAGATAACCAGGTGATCAGGGATCAGAGTGGATAGAAACAGAGTGTTAGTATGTCACTATAAACTCAAAGTTATGATAATGGCTTGGATGAGTGGAGTTTGACGTCGAAAACGGTCCTGCGTTACGGAGTGGACTACAGTGCTGTGGATTACAGACTGGACTGGGCTATGGAGTTGAGACATTTGCAAGTATAGCCGACCCTCGTCTCCCAAACTTCGGACCATCCGTGCTCAGTCATGCTAGGGTCATTGCTACGCCGAAACTTGGTCAGACTGTCGCTCAAGTTGCCATCCTTCCTTACTCATTTTTGCCCTGCAGTACATACTACAAAACCTTGACTACGTAGTGCTATTGAGTGACTCTGCAGGCGGCGTCTTCGGAGAATATTCCAAAGTCTTAGCTACTCCTTCTAAGCTAACATCACTACAGCACCAGTTCTTGCTAGAGCAGCATCACTTGTCCACTGACAGAGGGAGAAAGAGAAAAAGTCAAAGACCCACCACATTCTTTCTCCTTCCTTCCCCTTGTTTATCATTCAGACGCAGATCATCTTCTAGGTTCGGTTTCACGGCATTTATGGCCGATCACGCTAGCGCACACCATCTCCGGTCTCGGCGGTCGGTCTCCCGAGCCGTGGCGTCGCGGGAATCTGATAAAATCTCTTGGAGGGTTGGAACAGCCTTGGCCTTGGGTGAGGCATTATCTTGCCACCAATTGCATTTCTTCCCGTTGCATGTCCCTTCTCTTTCCGTTTTTCTTTTCTGTGCGAGGGTTGCAACGCCGAGCTTTTTCCTTACCCTCGGAGAGGATACTCCCGCACTTTGCATAATTCGTACCATGTACGGAAGGTTTCTAGAAGGGCTCGGCAGCAGCGGACTTCTCTTGTCTCTCTCTCAGTCTTTTGCATTACTGTATGTTGCTCTTTCCAGAAATCTTGTGGATCTTTCTTTGCACTTTTGTTCCGAGTCATGTTTTGGGTAAGACGGCGTTTTATCCCGGGTCCATAACGGACAGCACTTGTATCCGCCGCATTACATAAAAGATATTCTAGGGTGCAGGGTTTCAAAATGGGGCTGTTGAGGTTTTAATACCAGCATGTTCCTTTATGATTGTGAAGCGATTGACGCGTAATTTAATTGCTATCAATTCTCACTGAGCATTGATCGTTACAGCTTATATTGTATGCCTCGTTTTGACTTTGTCATGTCAATGGGAAACTGTAAATATGCATGAGTAAAGTGTTGAACATTGAGTTTGACAGCGGCATTATTGACGCCTTGTTCTGTGGCGTATTTAGACGTAGCGGTTAGGCTAGCCAGGCCCAATGCAAGCCGGCAGGCAGCTGATACCAATGCTACCGTATTGAAAGGTACCCGGCATGGATGGAAACGTTACGGACATCACCGCGCGTTGCCTTGCCTCTGTACCTGTACAATAGCTCGCGGAGCCCCAGGCGTAAGCGGGTCGCTGTAACTCAATAGACTTTAGCAGACCACACTATGACGTACGACTGCTGCGGCTCTCCCTCTTGTCTTTAGCGTGTGTTCCGGGTATACCGAAGGCTTCACGATATCGCCGTTAGAATATCTTATCTCTGGCAGAATCTCGAACAACATGATGTGCGCTTGTATAGATAGGAGCCTCATCGGACACATATTCTGAGACACTGATAAAGACAAGATGATAGGCATCAAGCCGGTACAATCCACCTCCGCACAGACAAGACTCGTTTGCCCCAGATTTCATCGTATCATATCGGATCCACCGTGTCTGCGCGTTGGCAAGTCTAGCCGCAGGCAAGTCTGGAGGACACAGGGCAGCCGGGGTATCAACCCCAGAAACTCGGACAGATATCGGGCCGAGCGTGGTTTGGATTCGTGCACATTTCCCCAGATATAACGTCTGTAAGCGAGGCGATTTGTTATCTCGCAGTGGTGATCTGCAGCTACATCCTTGTTCTTACAGTTACGACATGGAGATGCGTTGACCCTGGCTAATTTCTTGGTCCGATTATCACTGCATGGACGGATTGCAGGGTACACAATCGGGGAAGTTGTCGTGCCGTAATAGTTGGTAGTAATTTGGCGCGATACTGGGTAGAATACGTCATTGCTGCTTGGACTTTTTATCGTCTGTTTGCTCAACGTCGGGAATACTCTCATCTCCTACAGTCAACGTCCAACTTCAGCCCATGCGCTGCATTACACCCGAACGCCATCTCAGGCCACAAAGCACCATTCCAATTGAGTAAGTAAAGAGGAATCAGTCGACTGGTGTTCATATGAACTCAAAAAGGTAGCAACTACGACCGAAGACCTTGAGAAGGACGAATTCGCGCCCGGGTCCTTGCTTCCATAGCTTCTGGAGTGAGCAGAGTGGCCTTTGCATCGGCATGACCCAAAACCAGATCCTGGGACCTTTCACGTATTTCGAAACATTCTTGCATAAGAAATATGACAACAAGGCATGTCTAAGCAGCAGCCAGCCGTTTCGCTCTCCTAGGGTTATTTCCTTTCTATCACGGTTACACCATCGCCTCTGACGGTGTTACCGGTCTCTACCGTGGTCTCATGCCCTCCGTCGCTGTCGAAGCCCGTTGGCGACCCTAGACCTGTGTCTCGCAGATGCGCGAAACTGAATTGATTCCATAACGTTTAAGATAAGATAGAATGAAAGAGACTGCCATCAACCCCTTCCCACTTAGATTGACCGCCGCCCCAAGTTCGCCGACTCGTTTGCGCAAAAGGTCACTGGAAAGCTCCCCAACCGGACCAGAGAGAATGTTAGGCTTTTCACTGATCGCCTACGGGAATTATTGCATGCGAGAAAGTCCGCGGTCTTACGACCCCCGATGTCCAGTACCACGATGACATCCCGGAGTGTTATTCCTCGACCGTCTCGGAGGCAGAGGAAAGAGTCTTAGGTAGCTATAAGGTAGAATGGGTTGAGCCTGCGAGAATGGACGGTTATGCATCCTTCCGATTGGTCCAATGGCGATTAGTGATATCAACTTCTCAAACCTTCTGTCCCGCTGATGGTCAGTTTCTCATGGGTCCAGGTCTGTCGCTAAAGCTCTTCGCATCCAGGGATAAAGACTTTCGCACTTGGCCTTCCATCAACATTGTTCTGACGAATTTGGACCTGTACAAAACTACCGATGAGTATTTAGTCATAAATAAAAACAGGGTTGGAGAGAGGTGATGGGGGTGACTCGGTAGATGAGATTGACAAGAGTAGCAGGTCGATCACGATGCTGGATTATAGATACTGTGACCAGAGAAAAACTGGGATATCAAGATGAGTAAGTCATCTTGATATCAACCGAAGGTATCATACGTTCGACACGATGACGTTAGGACGAGGAAGAACCATTACTATTCAGCTAGCTGCATTACACAGCCTGTGTATAAGTGTGGATATCACGTTGACCTCATACTATTTCATGTCTCCATGCACCACAGGGGTCGCGAGTAGAGACTCAGTGCTGACAAGTGATGTTTTCAAGGGCAATGATTTGCGACCTCGAATATGATAAACTTATCAGCCTGTTATAGGGTGTTAAGGCTATCGAATTGGTATATTCCAGGCCAGTCTGGACCCAGAGCTCTTTACGTCGAGCCCAATGATATATCACGCTTGTAGCTCTGGTGGAACAGGCCTTCATATGATTTTTAGCTTAACTGCGATACGTTTGAAGAAACAAAAACTCTACTGCAGGAACGTAGCACCCTTAGACTATACCTACTACAGTAGGAGGTATATCACGACCCTCACTCTCAGCTGAGGAAGGAGCGCCACTTCAGCCAGGATCGCCCCTGAGGGAAATGAATTCCAGCTGATTGGGACGTCAGCCCGCCATAGTAGAGCCACGCCGTACCAAGAGTAGATTAAAGTGGCTGATTGTGACAACTTATTGTTTTGTCCCAGGACCTTGGAATATAACATAGTGTTCTTTGTAGATGATCCACGGTTGAAGATCATATTACTTTAAGACATCGAGGATTGCCATTTGAGTTGTTCTATCCTACAACCTTGCTTGCTGCCAATTTGTAAATAGATGGGCAATTGAAGAAGATATCAAGAGATATACATCAGGGAGAGGTCTCTGCAAACTGTACTATCTTAAACTGGTTCAAGGATACTGGGTATCAAGAAGCAGTTGGCTGTCTAAAGAACTAACTAGCATATACGGACCACTCTCTGTCTCAATATTTGTTTTCTTGGAACATGGCTAGCTGACTATTAGACTAGTGAATGCTAGCATAAGTAGCTGACCCAGTCTCTGATCATGTCCCGAGCAGCTGGATCTGTGGCTTGATCTAGACCACAGCAGACCACGGTGAGATCCACTACGGGAACCAGGATCATAAACTTCTTGCCAAGAACAAAAGAATAACACCTACTAATTATATACAATAAAATGATTATATCTCGATTGCAGTAAGCTGTACAATAACTACAATTAAACTTACACTTCATTGGTATACCATATGCTAATTTAAATACCTAAGAAGTATGCAAGAAGGGGGAAATACTACTCTGTACGAAATCGCGGTAGCTGGCGTTTTTAAATCAGGCCACTGTAAAACACAGATAGCTAATGAAGTCGGGCTGGCTTGTTCTAAATAGCTGATTCTGGCTTAGACAAGTAACTAGCCTACAGCTGCAGACAGATTATCTCGAAAGCAGAGCGGTGAGTCAAACTACAGCTTTTCAATAGAGGCGCACTATTGCTAAGCTATGGCATGGCTATAGCAATAGGAACGAGATAGCAATAGTCTAGACCCAATAGCTCGGCATGGATTAACATGTGACATTGTTCCCACCAAGGAACCGAGAACAATCTTACATATATAACAGGACTGCCAAGCCCTTCAGTCTTCAATACACATCATCATCTCAACTGCCAATCACTTATCAACATGCATATCAAGTCACTACTTCTCGCCTGTACTCTGTACATTCCTCTTACCTTGGCTGCGCCAGGTCTTAGTCCTGCAATCAACATCCGTGGTGTGTTCGGCCTTGCGAAAAACGGCTGCAACGCCTGCCCTGGTACATACAAGTTTCAACCCAGTGACAAGTCCTGCGATACAAAGACAAACTGCTGTGTTGGCGTGTGCCATGCGACAGACGGAAGAACCTAGCTTACGTATAGTATGTTACCTCTTGTTAGATCGGCACTATGTCGGCTTGCTTCTAGCGTGATATAGTTCAAAAGTCTGGCATCGGATTGAGGAGGGTCTTAATAAGACGAAAGGAGTGGTGAAGGATTGCAATTATATGGAGGCTTAGCTATGGACTGATTATATAGAGTCAGTCTCTCTTTATCGTCAAGCGATCCAATCTGACACCGACTCATTCATAAGCTATATAATAATCTCATTTGACCTTGTTAACTGTCATCCATCTCATCTATCTACATATCAAGGACATGCCCCTTCAGGAGCCACATCCGGCACTCCAGCCCTCCCCATCCCACACCACCAAACCCTCGCCCGAAACTCAACACCTTCCATACCGAATAACCTCTCGTCCGAATACCCATAGTCCACCCCATCATCCGCCTGCAAGTTCTTCAGAAACCTACCCACAAAGCTCCCCAAGAACGGCCTCGAAAAGATCTTTGTGAGAAGCAACCTTTCCTTACTCATAATCCTCTGACCATCGAATGTCTCCGCCATAATAAGATATCGAATTGCGTTTCCGAGGGGGAAGAAGACTGCTACGGCGGTATAGTCGCCTGCCGGTGGTTGGAAGAGGAGATGCATGGCGTGAGCTATGCGGTAGGCGTACGATCTTGCGAGGATCTGGGATGGGCAGGACATTAGGGTGAAGTCTGGGGAGGTTTCGAGTTCGGTGAAGCCTTGTGTTGAGAAGACTAGAAGACATGTCATCCAGTAGTAGCAACTTAGGTAGATTATTGCGAGGTCGTCGTCGTTGCGGGGGCTAGGTAGGGTTTCGCCAACGATTGTGTAGTCGTATGTTTTTAGGATGGGGCCTACTTCCGTTTTCCAGGATGAAAGGGCCATCTCGCATGTGCGACACTTGTCCATGAGCGCGTCATGTAAGTATTCTGCTTGTGTCTGGTTCGAGGCTTGACGGAGTATATCTAAATCTTCTAGAAGACCTGGAACTTCTACCAAGATATCAACAAGTCTGTTGAGTGGCGAATCTGTCACTGAACGCCATAATGGCGATTCTTTCCATTGTTTCCGACTAAAAGGTGACCTTTTCCTCCGGGAGGTATAAGCATTGGTCTACAACTGTTAGCGCACATGCATAGGCATCATTAGTAAGTGCTTACTAAAGCGAGACGTCCATCTGCCAACAGCTGGCGTCCCATTGAAGACCAAGCATCATCGGGTCCACGGCTCAAAATGAGTGCTGTTTCACCATCAATGTGTTTCTTAAACCCCTGGGCTGTCCATTGCGCGTCCGAACTCGTACCAAAGAGTTGCTATTGTCCAATTAGCACTTCAGCACCACAAGAATCGACAAGGTAACGTTACCTCGTAGACGCGCATGAGTTGAATAGCAGCCAACATCCCATCCTTGTCCTGTCTGGACTCCAACGAGATAGCCATCTGCTGCAGCGCCAAGCCATACGCCTGTTGACTCTTCCGCGTAAGCTGCATATCGTTGTTATTCGCCCCGAGAGTGGCCGTGCTCAATGCCATAGCGACATATTGCAAAGCAGGTTCTACCTCACTCAAGTCCTCATAAAGTCTCATACGCTGGAAACTCGTTGTACCAGAAGCTTTTAGTGAGAAACCATTTCCGCCCGACAGATAGTCCATCCAGAACAGCCCTGTGAATTTCTGAGCTCTGGCCGTTCTCGTCAGTGAGTCGTGCTGCACCACCACCAATGTCTCGGACCGATTCACATTCTGTTGTATTTTGCTGTAGAAGGTCTGCTTTGAGCCCTCGCTGTTTAGCCAAATGGGCTGTTTTTCATAGCCCCCACACGAGATATTGAGAGCAATGCATTGACCGCAGAAGGGTTTTTTCTTATCGCACTAGGAAACATTCTTAACCACATGTCTAAAGGATTCGAAATATGTGAAGTGGCTCACTCCTTTTTTGCGTTTGCGACATGTAATGCAACCCTTGGACCGGCCTGGAACGCCTACCATGGTGACGAGTTCAATAAAAAGAGAGGAAACCCGTAGGATATATATAACGCCCCGACGGAGAACTATGTACGGAGTCCGCTCGATCACGATTTTGGGCGAGTCCAACCAATTGAGGTTGGTTGGGTAAAAGAAGACCAACAGCCTTACAGATCAGTCACGAATTTGGATGACGGCATTGACTTTTTTCCGTGGGCGCAGATTGACTCTCGATAAGGTTTAGCGGTGAATCCTTCGCATATGCCCAATCGCATTCGCCTGGACAGACAAGCTTATTTCGCTACTGCTTGTCAGGGTGTCAGAAGAAATGACCGCTAGCGGCACAAGAGACGAAATAGTTTAGTCTATTTATGCCCACCTAGACCACCTCTTGAGCCACTTTATTTTGGCAACCTTGGACTTGGAGGACAATTCTTCCGTTACCCCAACTGCCGCTCTCGCATTCATTGTATCCACTTCCTCTCACAACCAATAGAAGGGATCAGAAGACGGACTTGGCGCTGTTGAGACACGGATATCGATTTACAGGGACATTTCCAATCTTGGATTCAATCTGCGCCAGAGCCTGCACCGTAGGTTTTGAGATCTTGTCTTGCCTGGTGTTTCCTGCCATTGTTGGGACATGCGACATGTATATATATCCTCATGGACGACGCTACGTTAATTCCCATACCATCCCAATCTCAATACCCATCAATTAACTTCAATTCTACCTTCATTTTACACATATCCCAATCTCAAACACAAACAAAATGGTAGCACCAACTCGACCCCCTGCCAATGGCTTCGTCGCCGTAGCCCGTAAAGTTTACAATCCAATTGGCTTTTCCAAAGGCTACAACTTCGTCCTCTGGTTCATCTTCGCCGGCGCCCTCTTCGGCTTTTCTCTCGCCCGCATGATGTTCCTCGACTTCTACGGCGTCTACTGCAATCCCAACAACAATGGTGGCGGCGCTGGTCCTGGCGAATGCTTCTCTTACAAGAGCAAGGATGTCTACAAAATTGGTATCAAGATACATCTCTACACTATCATCCCCGCTGCCTTTCTTGTCTGCTTTCAGTTTGTACCATTCATTCGGCACAAGGCTCTTCTTTTCCATCGCATCAATGGATACATCTGTGTTGTTCTTGCTCTTATCGGAACTGTGGGCGCTATCATGATCGCGCCTGTTTCCTTTGGTGGCTCCCTTAATATCAGAGCATGGATTGGAACCGCTGCGATTATGTTTGTTGGATCTTTGTTTTTGGCAATCTGGAACATCAAGAAGTTGCAGCTCGAGCAGCATCGTGCTTGGATGCTTCGCGCCTGGTTCTACGTAAGTACACATCACATCTCTGTTGCGTCGCAACGACTAACATAATTAGGCTGGTTCCATCATCACTCTTCGACTCATCATGATTCTTTCTGCTATGATCATGTCCAAGAACCCATCCTTCCGCGAACCTATGCAGTGCGACAAGATTGCCACATTCTACGATGACACCGATGCTTTGGTAGCTGTGTACCCGACATGCCAAAGTTTGGATGCTTGGGTAGCAGTCCAGGGCGATATGGGTGGTGACAGTGCCGAGAACATCGCTGCTGCGCTCTCTCTTGGTTTCTCAATGGGCGTCTGGGTAGCCCTCGCCATACATGCTATTGGCATTGAAGTATACGTAAGTTCAACCTGTCCACGCGGCATTGGCCTTCGCTAACGACACGATAGCTTCAATTGACACCTGCTGAGTTTGAGCGTCTTCGCAAGATTTCTTACCAACGACAACTTGAGAGAGGATTCAAGAACCCTGGTAGTGCTGGTCTTACTGTTGACCGTCTCGGGGATTCTGAGAAGTGGTCTCCCGGAAACGAGGTCGCTGCTGCTACTCCTGCTCCCCCTCCTACGAAGCGACATGACAGCGATTCTTCATTCGTGCCTACTCCTTAGATTGTGTATTATAATGGTTTGGAAGATGTAAGGACTGTTTAAGCGTTTCAAATTTTAGATACCTAGAGTTAGCCATGTAAATGTTTTATGTTTATCAATTACCAGCAACAAAAGTGACCGTTCTCTTAGCAGTGAACGATAGCCATCAAGATCATATGCGTCAACGATGAAAGATGGATTGATATGGAAGTACTCAATTAACTTGAAATAATGAAAAAGAAGAGAGATACTAATCGAACACGGTCTATATGAAACGCTTTTGGGCAGACATAGAAAAATGCTAAGAAACTTTTTACCCCCCATAAATCATCAGGTCATCACATAGCATCACCACTTAGAATTGCTCCTTCCTGTCGAGCTTTCCGATCAGCTTTCCTCCATCAAGAATACTTCCAAACATAGCAGCTTCAAACAGATAATTGACCTGCCAAGCATGGTGGTTCGCATGGGCAATCAACCAGACCATCTCCAAGACTTTACCTTTGGAGAAGAGCTTGGCCATCCTTAATCTTGAACCCTCGGCAAGATCAAGCTCAGTCTTCTCAGAGACTTGGCCGCCACGGACGTACTCCAAGGGACCTGTTACAAGATACCACCAAAGTTCCTTGAGAAGAGGTTCGTCGGAGTGGCGGTTAAGATGGTCGTGTACACGATCACATGTATCTTCGCCGTTGCAAGTGTACTTGGCGTCAAGGGGACGACTGAAGCCAGTCAGGTGGAAAGTCTTATCAAACACCTCATCGAAATCACCCTCACTCTGAGGTTGAGCAGGTGTCTTCCTCGCCTTCTGCCATCCCAGAAGAGCACGTCGGAAAAACATGTGTCGGTCATTCTGGATATGCCAAGTGTACAGCGCAGCACACATTCTAGCAACAGGTTCATGCCATCGCTGCGTAAGCATCCTAGCGCCCATAACAGCGTAGGCATCGTAAACCTTTCTCAAAACATCCTCACTGACGATTCCAGTGTCTGTAATGTCGCTGACGTTGAGGAAAGAATTCATCACCTCGGAGTTGACAAGATCGCAGCCAACATCCACGACATCGGTTCCTGGCGAACTGAAGACAAGATCAGCCATGACAGCCCCAGCATCAAAGCCTCGCGCTGTCGCTTCGGCTGCCATGCCAAGAAGACTACTCTCGGACAACGAAACAATCTGCGCGGTCCGTCTGTCCAGCCGAGCGGATCGGTTCAGGAGATGGTCCTTGTGCTTCTTCTCCAGGGCGATCTTACCCTGGATGTATCGCTTACCGATAGCGACAGCATCGCGACGCTGTTGACCACCAGGGGTCTTGAGCGCATGGGGATCATTCAGGCCCTTCTCCAACAAAGGCTCAAGGTTGGGGAAGACGTAGTTGTAACCGTGCTCGTAGTAGAATGCCATGTCGGTAACATAATTGGAGAACATGGTGTTGGAGTCGGCTGCGCCCATGAGGAGACTAGCGATACCACAACCGAACAGGGCATTGGTGGTCTTCAGCGCTTCAGGCCAGTGCTCTGCACCAAGGATGTGAAGGATCTCATCCGACACCGGACTCAGACCAGCGCCCTTGGGAGGAAGAACGTTGCCGATCGCATGCTGGGACGTTTTCCACTCTTCTAGCTCAGGTGAGAGTTTCAGCTGAGTAACCCTTGAACTAGGCACTGAATCCTCGGATGAAGAAGCCCCCGAAAATTCATCAATGTCCTCGAAGACTTCAATCACAAAGGTACTGGCAAGGTGGGACAGACGCTGGAGATCATCCACGGTTCCACGACCGATGAGACCTCTCGCTTCAGCATATCCGATGTGTACAGGGTGTTTATTCTTGGAGGAGAGCAATCTCCCGATGCCACGGGCCCGGAAACCCTTTCCCCAGAAGTAAGGCTCGAGTGAAGTGGAGTTTGAGGGACCGTCAGTGAGAGCGGTGTCTGTCTTTTCGAGTGAAGAAGAGGATGTTTTGACTTTGATCTTGAGCCCATTGAGGTTAAACTCGTCCCAGTAGCTCTGCTGAGGCCAGGGTAGACACCAGGGGAAGGACATTTTGATCGACAATGGGGAAATTAAAGTGCTGGGTATAGTAGATAGTTCACGATGGTGAGAAGTCTGAGCGTAATGATCCTTACTAGGGTGGTTCGCCAGACTCTTCTCTTTTATACAAAAACTTCATCTTTACGTCCCAGGGATGAAATGCCTCAGTGAGAAATGGTTGAAACAATTATAAACTCGCCATCGTATACAGAATTGCTTGAATTGTTGGACAATGAATTCTTTCAACCTCATGAACATGTGTGTTGGTTGACACTTGAACTAGGGTCTAGGTCCAGAAAACAGGGATGAGCCAACGGGAGCTCCATAACCTGTTCCCCCCTCTACGAATTGCAGGGACCGTGTCTTGGATTAAAGCAAACCTGCAGTGAAGATCACTTGTTAGCAGGAACAAGAAGATGGTGGTGGTGGGTGAGACAGAATAGCCTTCGGAACCTCCAGAACTTGGTCTTTGGAGTGGGTGGTGCATTGTTTACAAGTCAATGTCTCAGTATAGCCTCTACGGCAATTCCCGTAAGATTGGTGTTCAAGATCTGAAGGATTTCATCAGTGGGTTCAGATCTGAGAGTTCGAGTGCTTTGACAAAGGGGAGAATGCGATTACCAGGATATCGGAATTCGAGCGGAATAATATGGGGAAGTTACAATCACAGTCGTAATCACCAACATGCAGATTTTAAGTGCATTTGCCAAGAGTAACATCAATTGGCTGGGATAAACCGTTTACCCGGTAGTGATATCGGATCGCGACGCCATTCGGCACTTGGGCTCCACGTTTAATGGGATTCAAGCCATTGTCGTTTCTACACGTGAACATTACTGCACGCTAATTGTGTTTAGATAAAGAGGGAAAACGCCGCATGTTCGTTCTGCAGGTCAATTGATGGGTCTTGCCGAGGCAATTATGCATACAATATGTACGTAGGTAGGCTACTAATTGCAGTAGCTGGCGGTGAGCGAAACATGACTGAGAGCTGAGCTGAACTTGTTCCACAAATACGCGTTCCAAGCTTGGAACCCGAAGTGTAAAGAGTGGCACTGAAAGCATCTAGAAGATTTCTTATGTCTCTCCTTACTAGAAACTGACATATCAGATGTTTGTAAAGAGTCAAGGGTCTGATACCGTCACGCTCTTTGTTTGTCTGTCACTACACCACAATGACGAATATCGCTTCTGCATTCATCATCTTCACCCGACGCCCCCCAATCTGGATCCATCCACCTTAGCTTCCCACTAATTTAGCCTCGACAAGCACGAGCCACTCAAACACACGATCAACGAAAGCCTGATATCGAATCGTCCGGGCCGGGCCTCACTTTTGGTCGCCATGAGCGTTTAAATCATGGCTTTACAGTAAAGTTCGACAAGCATCTTGCTCTCACGGATCAAGTAAGATGCTGAACTCTATACAGCCCCGTAGACTAATCTCGATCCTGAATCTTGGTGAATGAAGCAAAGACCATGATCGTCCAGAGCTGAGATAGCCTACCCTGGCAAACAGGGTCAATCATTGCCAGATTGCTCATTCCTGTCATGTCCAAACCCGGCATCGTAGTGGAACGACCTGTGTTGGGCCACATTCCAAAGTCTTGGCACCACTGGCTTTTTTCTTTTTCTTCTTTTCTTTTTCTTTTTTCTCTTTGCGTACCAGTTTTGTCTTTTGCTCGTTTGCTGAACCTTTTTTTCGGTAAACTTGCGAATAAAACAAGTACGGTGTTTCTCCCTCATCTCCATCTAGCTTCGGTCTTCTCCATTTCTCATACCACGACTCCCCTCCCTGCATAGAACTACTGCAGACTCACAACCAACAACCAACCCTAACGCCAAGACATTGCACAGTCAGGCACTTTAGTCGCCCACTTGCTGCACTGCACTACTCTTTGACCAACCTGATCTGATATTCATCTCTCGATCTGACTAATAGCAATGGCTCCATCCGACGGCCTTTCTTCGATCTCATACCGCCCCGTTGATCTGTCGGCTCGCGAGTTTAGGCTGCTAGAGCTGCAGCCATCTCCCACCAACGACATCAACGACCGTGTAGTCTGTCGCCTCGTCCACGACAAGCTCACTGCATCTCCGGACTACATTGGTCTCTCAGCGCTCTACGGTGACATCACAAATACAGAGACCATCATTCTAAATGGCAACAAAGTGTCTATACCCTCCGACCTTGCAGAGGCGTTACGCTATGTCCGCGATGTCTTTCTTGGAAGACGCATCTCCACAGCCCATTCAACATCAGCCCTCGATCTCGAAACACAAAGAAACAATACTGCCACCTCAGACGACTCGCCACCGCCGTCACCTACAACAAAGCGACCTGGCTGGTTGAGAACGTTCCTCAAGAAGCTCCTCGATCCAGGCCCTGCTAAGACAGACAAGCAACCTCCCCTTCGCGTCTGGGTCGATCTATTATGCATCAACCGACGAGACAAACGCGAGGACGCCGAGCGTCGCGCCTCCATGGCCCGAGCCTTCAAGCAGGCGAGACTGGTAGTAGGATGGTTGGGACCCAAGGATTCAACGTCTGACCTCGCCATCGAGATCATTAGGGCGTGGGATAACTGCATGCCTGCCAACTTTGGAGAGCCTGGTGACCGCGAAGCGCACCCCGAGAACTACGCTCCAATTCTACAATGGATGGGCCCCGTCGCTCATCTCAGCGACATTCCTGAGGGCATCACCGACCCTACTGAAGTACCCAGCTACAGGGCCATCTCCAGTTTTCTGAATCGGCCTTATTTCCGGAATACGTGGATCCTTGATGACATCGCCATGGCGTCTTTTCCCACGTTCATGGTGGGCGATGGCATCGTGTCTTGGATGCAGATATTACGTCTGAATCGCGTCAATGAGGATATCAAGGATCACGGTGCTGAGATGTTCCCTAGTGAGCTAAGGCCTTTACTTGAGTATATGCCTCTTGGAAGTGTCTATACTTTTTTGAAGGAGTTTGATCGGAGGCAGAAGGTGGAGGAGGGTCGACCGCCAATGTGTTCTACGCCTGCGAGTTCTATAAGGAGTTCTGTTTCAATGACGCCCTTGCATCCAAGGCCGCGATCATAGATGGAGTTACTATTATTATATCTTGTCCTGACTGTCATCCTAGTGGGAATCGCTACGGTTTGATACCGGTGCGGGATGGTCATGTTATGATGCTTTCTTTTGTAATTCGTCAAGTAGATATCAATTTAGCGATGTTATTGTTGCCTCAGAATACCAGCCATTCAACTAAATGACGTCTAATTGAACCACATTCCTTCTGGAAGCACTCCAGGATCAACTTAAATGAGTGTCTCGCATGCAAGACCTCGACTCATTAGCCTATCGATGCTACTTGCAGAAATGATCCCCATCAATGTCTAGAATAATCTATAACTGCAACGGTATCCCCAGACTGACCCTGCATAGGCTTTCGAGGCTTCATCAGTCCATCTCGCAGGCCTGGACTTGCGACTTACACACCCTGACTGCCGGCCCGGCAAACAAGCGCCATCTACGCAATGGAATGCACAGATGAATGGCCTGCAGGTTTCAGCCACCCTCCCGTTTTACGCCACTGCATGACTTTTCGACGGTTGCGGTTCAGCCGCCAAACTTTAATTGGATAACGTACGATTTCTTTCGTTCCTTCGTTCTTTCGTTCTGGAAGGCTGGTCACTGGAATGTAACTCATCATTTGTATGTCACTGTGTCTTGCATGCAAAGACGTTCGAGGTTTGGTATTGATCGGTACATATGCGGATTGGACGGATGAGGTCTTGCGCTACATGATTGGTTGGACAAGTTCCTGATTTTTTATGTCGATTTTGGGTTTGCGTCACCGGTGATCTCGGACATGGAATAGAACAAGGGTGCTACGTTCATGGCGATCTAGAATGAAGAATCCTGATTTTCTTCCAGATCCCTTCTATTTGTGAATATTCTATCCAAAAGCAGTATTTTGGAATGAATATCTCCGGTATTCCACGGAGAGGATTGCCGGTGCATTCCCGGCAAGAATGGAGGCGTTCTGGACATGCTTTTTCTGCGTGGAGGGTCTGAAGGTCTTGCATGGAAATTGATCATCGGTTTCTAAATGTCCCTGATTAACATTCGGCACTCGCGCTTACTTCCACCTGCGGCCGTTTTTCGCTGTTGGTGGACATGTTCCTGCGTCGAACTGGAATGTAAACAAAGTAAAATTGGTCTATATGCTATGCTATGCTATGCTAGTAACTAAAATCAACGTTGGCTATAGGCGTTGCTGAATTCGGCGGGTGATGTGAATGTATCGAGTGCTGATCCTCTGCCGAGCTCGTAGTGTTGGAGTTTTGAAGTTCTGTTGGTTGCTCAGTGGTAGACCAGCCAGTATTGCGCATGGCTTGAAAACTCCAGCTGGGGTTAAAACCTGGACTTTCCCAGGCGTGTTGTACGCGCTCGTACATTTCGTCGATTTGCTCTAGTGTCATTCTGCTTGTTTCGTATACCAGGAACCAGACGAAGACGATGGCGAGGATACAGAATGTTCCCCAGATGAAGAATATCTTCAGACCGAAGCCGTCAGCGCCTCGACCCATTATGAATGGGGGAGCGTAGGCCACTGCAAAGTTCAGGAGCCAATTTGCTGTGGTTGATACAGACATGGCCTTTGCGCGGACCTTGAGAGGGAAGATCTCGGAGGTTACGACCCAAGTGACTGGACCCCAGGATGTGGCGTAGAAGAAGACGTTGATGGCGCAGCAGACTATGAGGGCCATGTTGGATGTACTTCTGAGGTTTTGAGATGATGTTTCGTTGGCCGTCGATACAGCGCCGATGATAAACTGACACACAGCCTGACCTAGGGCACCAGCCATGAGAAGCTTCCGTCGTCCCAGTTTCTCAATCACGATGAGGCCAGGGATTGTGCAGACGCAGTTGACGATAATCATAACGAGGTTGATGATGAAAGGATTGCTGACGCCGGATGTGTTGAAGAAAGTCGTTCCGTAGTACATGACGAAGTTGATGCCAGTCAATTGCTGCAACATTTGTAGTCCACAACCTGTCAAAGTCCGACGTCCAAGGTTGGAATTGCTTGTAAACAGATCTCTGTACGAATCATGACCCAACGTGAGCTCATACTGATGATTAGCAATAATTTCCTGCAGCTCATTCTGAAGAGCAGGATGCGTGATATCAAGTCTTCGGAACCGACTTAGGGAAATGCCCGCGTCGTCATTACGTCCTTTCTTCACCAAAAAGCGAGGTGTCTCTGGAAGCATGGCGATGCCGGCGGCGAGGATGACACCGGGGACGAGTTGGAGGCCTAGAGGGATACGGTAGGCGGCTGAACTGTTGATGTTTTGTGTGATGACGTTGATGACGGTTGCGCTGAGGATTCCGACAGTGATGGAGAGCTGGTAAGCGCAGATGATGCTTCCTCGAATCCATTTTGGCGCTGTCTCGGATTGATAGAGAGGAACGAGGACTGATGTTGCTCCTACCGCGACACCTGCCAAAGCCCTTCACATGAGCTGTCAGTACAGAGGACACCATGGAGGTGAGGATAATTGAGCTTACCTTCCAACCAGCAACATCGGTGTCGCTTGAGCACATACTTGAAAGATAGCCCCAATACAAAATGTGACAACAGCAGCAAGTAAAGTCTTGCGACGACCGATAGTATCGCCAAGGGGAGCAGCTAATATTGAGCCAACGACAGCTCCGAGACTAAGAATTCCCACGATGAGGGATGAGTCGGAAGGACATAGATCGATGTGACCATCGTCATCTCTACAGGACCGGTCGGTGGAGAAGTGGTCCTGGAAGACGTCCATCACAAGGACGCCATTGATGACCCTTGTAAGCCATGATTAGTTGACGATCATATGAGATAAAGCATGTGTGTAGTGAGTGAAGCAGTGACGATGATGAGATGAGGTACACGTCGATGACGCGACGCGTCAATGCAGTATAGAGACACTGGAGTAAGGGTCGCGTCACACAAGTTTGTATGATGGTGCATTCACATGCAACCGCGCCGCAAGACCCTTCCCCAAGAAGCAACAAGTTACGAGAGAATAATTCGGAAAAAGGGTTCTCAAACTCACCCCACATCGTAGCCAAACAGCAATCCGCCCGAAGCAACAAACAAACCGACCAGAATAGCGCGTATCGAAGACCCGGCAAAGTTCTCGGGCTTATGCCAACCCATGGCTCGTACCATGATGAGATATCATTGACTGCTGTACGTTGTTAGAGTACAGTATTACAGTATAGAAGGGTTTGACAGTGAGAGAAAAATGCTTTTTTTCAGGAGGTGAACCAATGATATGATTCGGAGAAAGCTAATGGCAAAAAAAGACTCAAGCAGAGCATCTCCAATTAATTGATCCACTAAAGACCCTGGACGGACAGGAATCTCCGTTCAGCTGAAGTGGAGAAACGCGTCATTTGGAGATAAAAGTGATGCGACACAAATTGATTGGGTGAGAGAGTTGGAGACACGGAAAAAAAGGTGGATGGGGCAAAAGGAAGAGGTCCTACCCGGGTTCGAACCGGGGACTTCGGAAGAGTATTTTGATGGGTAATCAAAATCCAACGTCCTAACCACTAGACTATAGGACCTAGGTCTGATTGCTGGCAGTGACTCTTGGAATTAGTATTATATGCTTTAAACTCCGAGCGTACTTAAATATAGGGTAATTCTAAGGTCTATCGTCCACGAGCCCCGCCGCTATGTAAAATCTCCGACTCAATTGTCGTTTATATACATATGAGTTTATTTCACATGTGGTAAATGGTGCTTGCCCTGCGTTAGATTAACCTAATAAGCTGCCGTTCGTGCTCCAACACACACCGCTCCAAATGGTAACATATTCCCACTCTTTCGAAACAGCGCGTTGTATTATTACTGTTGACCTCTCGAACACCGAGTCCTATACCAGGCTTGTTATCTCCCAGCCATTCCACAATACTCAGTATATAAAATTTACCCGCAACCACATCATCATCAAAATTTGGGTCGGCAACATCTAAACAGGCACTGGCGCTGCGATCAATATCCGTGCCCGGAGTCCATATATTCCGAAAGTAACGGCCATCTGGGTTGTCGCAGGACTCAATGCGCGTCAGTGGGCCCTTTATCTCAAGCCAGGCGTTCTTGACTTGCAGAAGCGAGTTTGGCGGTTCATACTCGCACGCGTATGACTCTATCGTTGCAAAAGGTGTCAAATACCCTCGGATCGGCATCCAGAATCTTGTTTCGACAGAGGCCCAGGACCAAGACGGTATGTTGCCAGCCATGTACCCTAAACTGCGTTTAGACTCTTCACCGCACCGCTGCCATATTAGAGCTTTAGGCATATCTTCTAGCCATAGGCCAGCGAGGTAAGTGTAGCCTGTACTCTCCTGGTACAGTCGAGCTATCCCAGCTAGTGCGGGTAATCTGTCGATATCTTTTGAAAGATCTCTCGAGGCATAATGACTTATCATTTCCGACCAATCGTGGTTTTTCCCAGTGGTCAAGAGATCTCTTAGTAGAACTGCGGACCCCATTGACCTTTGCGTAATCTCGTTCGCGTACCCTTCGAAGCAGTCCCACGAGGTCATCTCGTCGATATGCAGTACTTTCGAAGAGAGCATTCATTCCTGGAAGGTCCAAGCCCGTTTCAGCCACGTGCTCACTTGGTAGCCATCATATGCGGATGCCCAAAATCTGCACTCAAGATTCCACATGGAATTCTCTTGATCGTTCATTATGCTGCGAACCCAAATGCGCTTTCTTGGGCGCAAGGTAACGCCGTTGACTTTTAGAAGAATTATTGGTCCTGAGAAGTGGCGGATGTCTTCCCGCCGATCCATGAAACTTTGAACAGAGTCGTCGCAGACTTCAGTCGCTATTGTCAGCGATGACCCGCCGTAAACACTGCACATCTGGGCAGACTCGGTTTCCCAATCCTTGACATCGCCTTGAATGATACATAACGAATCGACCCAAAGGTATTGGTAACCTAGCGCGTGGCAAAGACGAATCGCATCAGCGATGGTGGCTGGTAGCTCGGCAAGGGTAAGCTTCCTAGGAAATTCGGCCGTTGTTGTCATATTCGCCTGTTTGGCAGAACCCCAACAGTACGATAAGCACGCATATTGATGTTTGCCTTCTAAGTGATGTGTTTCGATCACGCTGACTTCCATGACTTTTTCGTAGGTAGAGTTGATCTCAATAACGCGGCTCGGGAGTCTGGCCCGAGAACTATTTCTGACGCACGCCGTATGTTTTGTAAGACACTCTTCTCTCCAGCCACGGATCAACTTTAAGTGTGAATATGACAGGAGGTCTCTGGACGGCCGATGCGTAACCTCAGGGTCAAATTTGTCTTCTATCAGGAGTTTATCAATGCGGGTTACAGGACGCTTGACAGTTAAAACTCACCCGTGAGAACAGTGACCATTAGTTCGTACGATAAGCCCGCAGTTTCGTCAAACTCAATTGGAGTTGAGCACGGAACTCGAACCTGAACTTCAAATGTTATTTCTAACCTGCCTGATGCGACGTCTCCTGCGACGGATGCGCTGGTGTATCTCTCATAATCTTCCGGATCATCATCATCGCGATGCGCTTTCCAACTATCCCCAGTCAGTAATACTACAGGTCCTTCCAATTTACCTTTGTGCAGGTGTTCAACAAAGGACGACCTCCTCCAACCCCTCCCACTGTCAGGGCTGCTCTCTTTCTTATTCTCATATTCGATCTGCTTGACTATCTCTTCCGCGAAGGTTTCGGCCCGGACATCGCTCGGATCACACGGGGCGCGGAGAGATGAATGGCCCGCACGGAACTTCTGCTTGCGTTGTTCATCAAAGAGGACATCGAATTTATCAGATATGCCAAGACTATCCAGCAACAGCTGGCACATTCGACAGCCGTCACTCGCCGAGTCTTTCAGAGTAACAAGATTGGAGTGATGATAATATGCCCAATCATATGTCTGTTTACTCGTTGAGAAATCCGGAAAAACCCAGTTGATCTTGTGTCTTCTCCAAGATGTACCGTTTCGGGAATTCCAGCTCACAAAATCCTCGCAAATTGCGCAAATACCGGCCTCGACCTCTAAAGACGCCATTGTTATAGTATCCCTCTCTAAAGGAACTGATGGGTAGTACGAAGTACTAAAAAAAAAAAGGAATCTCTTCACAAAACTATGACATAACGATGGAGCCAGTGATTGTCACAGCGAGACCTATAGGCTGAGTAGAGTCTGTGGAGATGAGGTAAAACTGTGATAGAAGGCGGGGTACCTCTGATTACTTATGCAGTAACATTGTATTTTCCTTGCTGACATAGCCAAGATCAATTATAATACTAACCAATGAACTGCATATGAAAAGTGTGGGCCTAAAGAGTCCTAATGTCTCGTAGGAAAGACTTTCTGATGAGAAATGATGACACGGGTCTTGACATCTGCTATACTATTCAATTATCTTCATCTTTGTCATGCCAGCCAGGTTAGTAAAACTTGCGGTCATCAAACTCCTCGAACTTCTCGCTGATGATTTTCCTCGTCAACTCCATCAACTGATCTCCAAGCTTCTCATTCTGTGAAAACTCGCTACCTGGTTCAGGCACAGCAGGAGGACAAATGTATTGTCCGGACTTATCAGTGATAGTCGCAGCGTACACAGCGCTAGTAGCGCCCTGGAATTGATCCTTCTTGAAGGGCTCCATGCCAGCTGACATCGCGTATCCAGCGAGAGGGTATCTGCTAATCGTTAGTCGGCTCATACGTGAGAAGTGGGGAGCGATAGATACTTACGCTTCGTGGATATGCTCAGTGCTCTGTCTGGTACTGACAAAACCAGGATGAGAAGCATTCACCACAATCTTAGGCGACCCGGCCTTTGTAACATTGCGGTCAAGGTAGCGAGTGTACAGGATGTTTGCCAGCTTCGATCGCCCATACTGAGGGTTAGGTCCGAGATCCGTGTTGAGTTCATCCAAGCTCTCAAACTTAACGTCGCTTGGAGCACCCTGATGAGCATTCGAGGCTTGGTTCACAATCCTCACAGTGCCATGTTTCTCAGAAGTCTTCTTCAAAAGCTCAAGAAGATAACTCGTCAAGATAACATGACCGAAATGGTTCGTCGCCATGTGCTGATCAACCCCCATCGGCGAGAGCTGATAGGTCTGAATACCACGTCCAGCATTGTTAACCAGAATATCCAACCGATCAGTAGAGTTCTTGATCTTTTCAGCAGCCTTCTTGACTTCAGCCCAGCTGCTGAGATCGCACTGAATCCATTCCGTGCGGTCAGCCTTCTCTTGGCCGAGCTCTTCGGCGACGGACTTTTTGGCGCCCTTGACAACCTCTTCTGAGAGAGAAAGGATGAAGAGCTTGCTAATATCGTGAGTGAGGAGGGTATGGGTTATGCCGTAACCGATTCCTTCGCTGCCGCCTGTTACGACAGCGACTTTACCGGAGAGATTGGGAGTCTCTGAGAGGGAGAACTGGTGGGTGGCGAGTTGTTCGGCGGGACCACCAAAGTTCTCAGCGATAGTGTTCTGAAGAGGTTAGTGATGGGCTAGGAGACTAGATTAATGGAACGCTCACTTTGGCAGAGTCAATTAAAGAAGCCATGGTGTTGATCTGAGTTCTTCTCCAAAAGAGACAACTGTTGTGATGTGTAAAAGGGACTTGGGTCGATGCGGTAGTAGTTCGTGTAGCGTGGTATAATAACCCTGTAGAAATTCTTCTTCCAGCGATAATATTTAAAGTTTTCATTTAATGATATGCGAGAGGGAAAAGAATCCTGCAGTCTTATTTCTCTTACGGTCTTACATATACTGTTTGCTGTGCGTGCTATGAATCACCACTCTCCACCGAGTCGATGACGTATATGTTGCAAGAATGACGACTCTTATGCAGTGAGTTGAGACAAAAACTGTCGGAATTATGCGTCCCCCTCAATCAGTCTTGGCTTTATCTTTTTACTGTTTTGAATTCCACGTGTTGTTTCGCTTTGTGGAGGTTGTTTGGACTACATTTTAGTGCTGTGATAGCTTCAAAACTACAGCAGCACTTTGAGCCGTGCTATTCCGAGGTGTATTGTCTGTATCTGTGATGCTTCCTACATTAAAGTCCAACATAAAAGCAAAAGTCTTCTAAGGCTTAGAGGCACTTAGGAAAAACTCATCTAAATCTTTGGCAAACATCTTCTCAACCGCCTTCCTCATAACATTTCCCTTCGGCGTCCTAGGCAATGTACCCTTCTTCACAACAAAAACAAGACGCACATCAGAAATCCACACATGAGCGTATTTCTGCTTTTGAAACAGCGCAGTCCTGAAAATAATCTCATTTTTGAGTGCCAACAGCTTGTCATCATCCGCCTCAAAAATCGCATCATCCTTTGCCTCAACCACCATTGCCGGCGAAAGACGTCCAGAACCAATAACAGAGACAGCGCTGATTAAATCGCTTTCACAAATCTGCATCACATCGGCCTCGAGAGAACCTGCGTCACAGGGTTGACCGAGCTTCATCTTGATTGTGTCGTCGACTCGGCCTCTATAGACGTATTGATCCTTGCTGATACACTGCAATACATCGCCAGTATGGAACTTGCCATCCGATTTGTTTCTAAGAGAAGGGTGGGGGCAGTCGTCGGCCTCTGCTGGGATGATAAGTTGAAAGAGTTGATCTGATCCAGATAAAGGTTCGCCAAAAGGAATGAATTCGCATCCTGACTCAGCCAAGGGCGAAACATATGGTGAAGTCGGAGTGGACATCATCGAAACACCAATTTCAGTAGAGCCGTAGACGTTAATCAGCTTGAGCCCATTCTCACGGCCCCAAGCTTCCTCTTTGGGCTGAAGGATATGGCCAGCGAAGTTGATCTTCTGGAGGTTCTGCAGCTTCTTGAGAAATGCATCGTCGCGACGGGCCTCAGCGAACATTGGTACAAGGAGACCAGGAAAGATGCTCAATATGGTAAGCCCTCCATTTGTGATCATATCGTCGAGTTGCAAAGGCGAATAAGGAATGGTGGTAGGCAACAGCAAGCAACTTCCAGCCGCCAGGTGTACTGCGAGAACGATAGTGTTGCCAAGATGGGCATGAGAGCCACTGGAAAACGTCAGCCCGAGCTCACAGCTGACGTGAGGAAGACCTTACATAGCGGAAATAACGGAATCGGGACTATCTCTTATATGGTCATGTTGATGTTTCCGAATCAAGCAGTCCAGCCATCGCACTGTCTGGGGGACTAGCTTGGGTATGGACGTAGATCCTGAGGTATGGAAGATGACCAAGACCTGATCACCGTTTGCAGACGTCGTGACAGCGTTCAGATATACATCATCGGGTGTTCTCCCCACAACCCCACTGATAGAGGCTGTAGGCACTGGGCAGTCTCTAACTAGGGGCTCGCAGTCTGGATCATATAGTAAAGCTGTAGCGCCACCCTTTGCTAAAAGCTCGAAGAGAATAGATGGATCTTGCATGCGAAAGGGAAACAACTGTGGGACAAAACCTGCTCTTAGGAGTGAGAGATAGTGCAGCAAGTCCTCATAGGACAATCCTTTCATCCTGAGTGGAATTAGCTATAGCTTATGCAGACCATTATGCTAACTTACCAAAGCCCAACTACAGAGCCTTTAGCAATTCCTGCCTGAGTTAGCTCCGCAGTCCAATTCTTTGCCGCATCGTTAATATTCTGCCAATGCTCCGCATACGAGATCGTCTTATAGCCAGACTCATCCGCATACCGCACAGCAGGGGAATCACCCCGTGACTGCGCAAGGGACTGGATTACAGAAAGTAGTGTATGGAATGTTCGCATCTTGAAAACTGGTGATACGCAGACAAAAATCGGCAGAGGAAAGTGATCAATATCAAGTCTTTATAAGCATTGCGACGGAGCATGATTCTCGTCACAGGCAAAACCTCTCAGCGGCGTAGCAAGACATAATGAGCAGGTAGTAAGAAATTAGACTACAAAGAGTGAGATGGAGGATTTGATTGTCGCCGCGATGCGACATTCCGAAAACTCAATGCGGCTTAGAATACGGTTATACGACGGTGTTACCTTCCATATCTAGCTAGTTACCTATATAACTGTGACTTATAGGACGAATGATCTACTGTAGGCTATACCAAGTGGCTATCGGTGTTCATAAGGCGACAAGACTACTAACATCTGACTTGAAGCAAATAAAATGTGATATAAGTTGTCAGCAATGGCACGGGACCTCATCAACTGCTTTGTAAGAAATTGAGCATGAATACCCAGTCTCGGTAGGCAATCCACGTGTTCAATCTGCAGTAGAGCTCTTGGATAAGGGTGCTGTTTGCTTTTGCCTCAGTCAATTGAGGAGTGGATAATGATCTTTGTAAAATGGAGTGCTACAAGATGATAGCGCTTAGATATATAAGCGACCGATTTCACTGCAATTTTAGCCCCTCTCGAGAGGATAGATTAGGAGGCATCCCATAGCGACCGAATGGGAAGGTAAACAGGGATAAAAGGAAGGCGCAGTGGACAAAGGACAGGGGTGAGTGCCTAATCGTTTGCATGTTGACAATGATTGACTGCGCTTAAGTCTTGAAAGGCTTAGGGCTATAGGAAGTAAGAATCTTCGTGTCAATCCATCGCGAAGGATTATACGATCTCACCCAATGAAGGGGCGGATGGTAGGAAAATGTTAAATTGACCTATGAGAGGTGGGGCAAGAAGACGGATGTGGGTGACCTTGGCGTATCGGCATCATAAGACGGTTCTCAATCACTATCAGTACATTGAGAACTGTTTATTGTGTCAATTGGACTTTCAAAAGTCATATCTTATACTTAGATTGTTATAGTAAAAGTCAAGTTGATTGCACTTTATGTCTACTGTTTTGGCAATGACTTGTAAACAGAAGGATCCATACCTGCTGTGTACATATAAAGGTGGGAAGTGGCCACTTTGAGAAGAAGTGGCCGCTGTGCTTGTCTTGATTGTAGCTTGTTGTGATGACCTCCTGAATAAAACCACTTCCAACCCCGGCACCATGAGGTATATGAAAATTCTCCCTTCACTGCAATTTTAACCTCTCCCGAGAAGATGGACCTGGAGGCATCCAGAGCAACCAAAGGAGAAGGTTAACAGGGAATAAGAGCAGGGCGCAGCGGACACAGCCACAATGCAGGACCTCGCGCCCGCTCCCGCTCTGTCTCGCTTCACTGCATTTTTAACCTCTGTCAACTGGTTGTTAAGTTGCTGGGAGGATTATTAGTTTTCGCGTAGTAAGCATTGTTTGATCGTGTGCCTCGGCATATGAGCCCAAACAACGATACTTAACTATAGACATTGTGTGCATTTCGTGACGACAAACATGTATTCCGCAAGGAAAACCAGCACCTAAAGCTAGTAGGTATACAAGAAATGTCTGTTGTTTTATTTCGAAAATTGATTTGGCTATTGTGACTCTTGTCGCATTCTGCTATCAAAGGAACTCATGATGAGTCTTTTCCCTCTTGTCTCAGGTCGGCCGAGTCTAATAGGATGTATCGGAGCCAGATCCAGCGCTTCACTGCAAGTTCAACCTTTGCGGCGGAATGGAATTGGGACACATCTCATAATACAGATCAAAACCCAAATGCAAAAAGGTAACTACTCGGGGCTGGCTTGTGATAGTTGCCACACCAGTTTGCACTGCAACTTTAACCCCCACCGCGGTCATCCGCAAGTGCAGTGTCTATTGGACTATCTGGGATGAGCGTGCCTGTTGTGTCCGAGTCGCTGCGTTAGGCCACAACTGTCAGTACGAGATTGTACCTTGGAAATTTAAAAGGTCAACGAGACAACAGTGTGAGATTCACGGTCCGTTACTGTCCATGTCACAGTGCATACGAAGCTGTACGCCGTGCATGAAAGGTGGTCAGCAATCTGCTGATTATTGCATGTCGGCAGCCTCGATTTAAAACAAGCAGGGAATCCTCTCTGACAAAAGCAATTTATCTGCTTGCGTGACTCTGAATTAGAGATATATCTATAAGAGTTTGGATCGGAGCTTTATCAGTTAATACAGACCCTCAGGACTTGATTAAAGTGCTAGTGAGCCTATCGTGCAACTGAACTCCAAGCACAACCCCAAGGCCACTGAATAAAGTCACGTTCGCAACCGCAGCCACAATGCATACACTAATCCTGTTTTCTCTTCCGACCGACCAGTCAAATGACCCCAAGATGTCTCGTTGAAGTTGTGCAGCCAAACTGCAAAAGCCCAATACAACAATGCGCAAGGCAGCTTTTCTTGTACACGTAAGCAACTGGGCGAACTGCAGCAGAGCCTCATTGGGCTTGATTGAGGGGAGTTTGGGGGATGAGCTCATCCCGTTCTTGACCTAACAAAGCTAGCTCTGATTGACATTTCTTTTCCAACATCATCCCTGACGTTGTCACAAACATTTCTGACTTACCAGTATCTGTCTCAAAAGTTTCCAAGATCTAGCAAACATAGTCGCGACGACACATTAACAACCCTGGGCGTGTCGCGATGGCGTCATCAACCCCGCAGCAAGGCCAGGATGGCGCAGAACAAACCAGCCGTCCTCGGGACGATCGCGCCCCGTATCAAGAAGACCCTTCGGATGATGAGAAAGGGAAGAAGAAGACCCGCCAACGAGGACCACCTAGAAGACAGCATAAGAAACCAGCTAGACAGCGACGCGCACACTCAACCGACGACTACTACTATGACTACCCGGCCGAGACACAAGGTACTGGCCTAGGCCTCTACAGTCCTGGTACTCGCGGCTACGACACCTACTCTCCAAATGTCGGACCCTTTCAACAAGATGCAAGCCCATGGTATCCTTCACCGAGTCCCCAAACCCCGTCTTCGTATCCTACCAATTACCCCGGTTCATATCCGTTTCCCTCTGACCATTACAGCTACTTCCCTGGTCCTTCTAGGGCGCCACCTTACTCACAGCCAGGACCATACAGACCAGTTCCCAATAGCCGGCCCCCATTGGAATACGATGATATAGAGTTTTCAACGCCTGATGCCTACGACCCTCCGCCTCCACCTCCACCTCCGCCTGTGTACCCCGACAGAATGCCTAGACGACCCCAACCCCAACCGCTCGTGCCTAGACAGCCGGCCTCTGACCCCCCACCTGTCATGAGAGGGGCACTTCCAGAGCGACAGTCCAAGAAGAAGCCATCCAGTCGACGAAGAGACAGCGCCCCGCCATCGAGCGATCAAAAAACATTACAGGTTATGGGCCAAGTCTTGGATAGTCTGGATAACGTCCGAAGACAACTTGAGGACAGGAGCTCAGAAGTTCAATCTGACCCGGGAAGATTCTGGCCTCGATATCTGCCTGGGAGTGTAACGACAAGTCAGTATAGCCGAGACGAGACACGCGAGAAACAGGAACGAGATCATCTGGTAGGAATCATCGATCGATTGCTCGAAGATAGGGAGCGACAAGGCTATCGCAATCCCTTCTTGAGTTCGCAACGGAATGACATCGCCGCTATGATTGGCGGCAGTCTTGCCGGAGTGAGCGAGGGTGATATGAATAGAGCCCTGATCAGACATGGTGATGACAAGGAGATCAAGTCCAAGCTCGACACCATCCTTAACCTTCTCGTTGATAGGGGGATATACCCTCAACAGCCATTCCAGCGAGAGCACCAAGAACATAGAACAGGCCGCCAGGTTCAGCATGGAGACCCCACTGTCATCTCCATCACCTCATCGCGTGAACCCGATATAAGAAGACAGGTCTTACAGCGCCGTGCATCCGTCGCTCATCCCCCATCAAGCGGACGTCCTATCGTGCAGTACCAACCAGCACATACATCAAACCAATCACGCGTTCGGCAAAGAGTCACTAGACCTCCTGAGCCAGAGGACGAAGAGTTTGATGATCGGTTCGATGAGCAATACGATCTATTCGGAGGCTACGAAACACAAACACAAGACAGTCCCGTCCAAGAGAACCTCCGCGCCAGACGTCTAAGTATGTCTCGAGAAATAGACGGAAGTGAAGCAGCATCCGAACAACGCGGTAGAAGAATCGTAGTAAGTGGCGAGCAGAGAATGAGACCGAGATACTACGCCACTGTTGAAGATGAGGAGGAAGAGGAAGATGATGTAGTTCCGATTCCGACGCGATCGAGTGTTGCGCGCAGAGTGAGAGTTGAGGGAGATAAACAGGGAGAGAGACCAGTACCACATGTGCCTGATGCGCCCGTTTCTGTGGTGGGGCAGAGAAGAAGGGTTGTGCCGCGGGTGAGGTTTGATGGTGATTAGGTTGTATGAGATATGACGGCTTATGAGTTATGATGTCACGAGTAGCGCTATTAAGTAACATTACATAATATGAGTTCTTTATGCATCCTCTGTTGACATAGACGTCAAACTTCAAGCAGATCCCCAGGTCTATCCTCAGCTCTCCTCTTCTCTTCAGCCTTCGCCCTAAGCTTCCTAGTATTGTACGCCCTCTTCCAGAACTTCTTGTGTACATTATCTCGAATCGCTTCGTCATGGTACTGTAGGCCGGTTGGGAAGAATATTTGTACCATAGAGAGTCCGGCATTGGGTACCCATTTTTCCAATTCCATCAGAGCGCCATGGACACCCTTGGCGTATATCACCTTGCCTGTGTTCGAGGTATTTGGCTTGAATGGGTTCCATGTCTGCTTGGTGGATGGCTGTGCAGCTTCTGTGTCGGAGGGTTCAGTGAAGGTAGGCTGTACTGCTCTTAACCAATCCGGTGTACCGTCCTTCTCTGACATGGACGTGATCCACGAAGGGCTTGAGGTCGGCAAATGGGAACAGGGCTCATTTGCCGTTTCTCCCTGGGTATTTGTTGGACTCGATACCCAAGCCTCCAGGTCCGAAAGTTCCTGTCGGACTTGGTCTGGATCAACATTTGCATCTGCATCATCATTTCCTGAGCCCTGGTGGATGCCGATGATTGTCGGCGCTCGTTCGAATTTCGTTAGGTGGAAGTTGGAGGCAGCAGGATCTCTCGATATACCAGCTGCCAAAACATTATGTAGCATCCCGAGTCCTCCAATACCAATCAGAAACCACGTATGCTCTTTCAGGGCGGATATGGATACCAGTAGACAGATCCAGAGGATAGCCAGTAGAAGAGAAATCCAACGGGTCCCAGCGCGTGGTGTGGACATTCGCGTGGCTAGCCTTTCCAAGTCCAGTGACCCTGAGCATCCGATGAATACCATTATGTGCAAGTAGCCATTCCCGCGCGTGAGGCAAGTCACCTTTTCGCGGGTTAATAGACTGGGCGTGGCCCATTTCTCTTCATTCCATTGTGGCAGCGCAACTGTAATGAACACAAGACAAATGCCGACTAATGCGATGAGTAAAATAGTCCAGTCTCCGTACAAGAATCCTGGAATAGTTACTATGACAAGTTGAGTCGCCAGCGTGGCCCATCCAAGCCACCATATCATATCGCATGTCGGCGACTTGACAGGATTGAGATGAAACACGTCGATTCGTATAGACTCCGCACGACCTCCCTCACTGATAGGTCTTGGATCGACCATATGATGGATCTCATGGTCACGAAGAATCCGACCCAACACCCAAGACCGATTATCGCGAGTGAAGCCATTAGAACTATTGACTAAAATTGAAGGGCAATCGGTCGTCGGCATCAATCTCATGCTGCCTACAGCAGCGACAAGGTTGGTGAAGCCGTAGGTAGCCCAGCCGAATGAGAAAGCGACCGGTGCGATGTGAAAATGGGTTTTTGTACCAGGTATACGCAATTTATGACCGACGAGTTGGGTGATTGCTTTTTGAACGATGTCGCTTCCGATGAGGAGGAGAATGCTGAGGATGTCGCCTGGGTTGGCCCATTGTTTTGCCAGATCTTTCGTTGAACTGCTCATTTTGGCTGGCTGAGCACTAAAGTTACCCGGAAGCACAGCTGATCAGGAATATCTTTACAAAATTCTTTAAAACTTACTTCAAAATACTGGATATCTATTTATATTACGAATAATGTGTGATCAATAGCGATGTAGAATTGTCGTGGCCGACAAGTCGAAAATGCAAACGCATTGCCTCGGACTTGTTTACAGTGGCTATGTGCTGAACGTAGGATGCCCGTGCAGGTTGAAAATGCAGTGACAATTGTCTTGGGCCTTGAAATTCCGAGGTATACATACATCAGACCCTTGCCATCTTGTTAGTGCGGTACTGATATCGAAACACTACATGAGGGATGGTCAAAAGTACAGTACTAACACTCCGCGCCAGATCTACCGTTCCATGTTTGTGGAGACTTTCCTCCGCCTACGGCCCCCAGGTCAGTACCAGCCATTTTTGACAGCTGCCGTCCAATTACATGGATCACGCCCTACAATTGCTACACAACCAAGACAACGCACTGGTTGAAGGAGGATCAGGCCATGCTCAAATCCCGTTTATTTGGCTCAAAGCGTTCATTTCATGAGGCCGACACATCACGGTTGCCTAATTCTGGTGCCCGATAAAGCATTACTGCAACCCGCCTCGTCGATACAGCTTAACCTATTGGTTCTGTTGTTCTTTGCAGATGTCGGCTGACACATGGGGGACCTTTGAGCAGCGGGATTTACATTCAGCTTTGGTGGAGTCTTGTCATGTACTTGCGTGCCCTTTTTCACAATCACGGACTCTCCGGTTACAAAATGACAAAAGCCGCCCCGTTTTGCTTACCCTGTTCATGTCACTTTAGCTCTTTCCGTCAACGTAATGATGGTTTCCACTAATACCGCTGCTCAGAGCGCATCTGATCTGGAAGATGGTAAAACTCCTCAAGATTAGAGCTTTGCGCCTGTTTCCTGACCTAAATGACCAGCGCTCGATACTCTCTTCGGCCGTATACTCAAGCAACTCGCAGAGACAGACGTGTTCAGCAAGGCCGAAGCACCGAGTCTCTTTGTCGTGTATGCTCACGACAACAAAGCCTATGGCACTGCCAACGCTTCATGCGTGATAGAGCTTATCAAATGGCTTCATGATATCCGGTCTCGGACGGTTTCTGACCGAGCTCCACTTCCTCTACTCTATTCACGAACTGGAGGATCTGAGTCCGTCAGGAATATTCTCTCTAATCAATTCTGCTTACTTCCGGAGAAAGACGCCTCTAGTGAAGATGGCACAGTCAATCGTGTGGACAAAGTCATCGTTTGTGGAGCTGAAGTACTGCGACGATACTACCGTGACCCTTTCACAACTCCGTATCTCGAAGCGGTCAAGAAAGCCTACGAGGACGCGCAAACCAAGTCAACTCCCATGATGGCGACGGAAAAGGCTATCAGAAATGTAGTGGAAGCTCATTGCAAGAACCCTCGTTTTCACCATGTCATCACAGAGCTTGCATTTCTTGAGCTCCGAAGCACCCATCATAAGGAACGAAACAGTATCATACCACTTGCGCTTGACGAGGATCTGATGGGTTGGTTGCCATTCAGAGACAACTGCGATCTTGTTACAAAGCTCAAGTCTACCGCCAAACTTCATCGGCATCAGCTCTTCTTCAAGCTTTTGAATCAGATCTACAGCGAGGAGCATTGTTTGATCAACCATTACAAGGACTGCTACGACAGAACCGCCGATCAGCTACGAAGCATTTCGCGTGATATGGTCTGTCATGAAGTCGACAGAGAAATCAGCAAAACCCAACGAATCCTCGCTGACGTTGAGAACGCTGCTCTTCGAGGCCGACGACGAGATATGGATAAGATGGAGAGTACCAGAGCACACCATGAAACCATTCGCGACGTCAAGCAGGGCTTAAAGTCTATCACTGCTGATATCGAGGCGCGCTCACATGATAAAGCGTTCACTGACGTAGCCAATTGGATATCAGCCTCTCCATACTGGCTTCACCACCAATCGGTGTCAGACAAGGTGATGCCAGGCTCATGTTCATGGATCTCAAACCATCCAGACTATACAGACTGGCATGACTCAAAGACCTCTTTGACTCTACTTGTCCAAGGCGTTAGGGGCTGTGGAAAATCCTCTATGTTCTCGGTGGTGGTTGATCAGTTACGGCAGCAGCGTCAAGGCAAATTATCTGTCGCCTACTATTACTGCTCAAACACCATATCAGAGCCCGATCGCGCGAACCCAGATGCCATACTAAGAAGCATACTGTTCCAGGTGGCGGTCAACCGAGACAATGGTATCATCGATCCAGTCATCATCTCTGAGTATGGGAAATTAGACAATGGCGGCCCAAACTCGGTCAAACTAGGAGCTGCCAGCTGCTTGCGACTCCTCCAGCAACTCCAAATGAACAAGACAACCATCATAGCCCTGGATGCCATCGATGAGCTGGCAAAGCCTGACCGTGCAGAGCTGATTCAAGCTTTGGAACGCCTGGTAGAAGACTCGCAGGGTATCATCAAAGTTATTATAACAAGCCGCAATGACGTCCAGATCAAGAAGTTATTCCCGACTGCACTGACCATTGAGGTGTCACCTCAACTCAACTGCAGGGATATCGGGAGCTTTGTAGATATGAAGTTAGCTTCAGCTGTTCGCAGTCGGACTCTACTTCTGGGAAATGTATCGGAGATTCTACTAGGAAGGATACGCGAATCCTTACTAGCCGGCGCCCAAGAAATGTAATTGTACCTTTTTTGTTTCCATATCCCATATCGCTAATTTAGCTCAAGGTTTCTATGGGTTGAGCTTCAACTCGAGCTCCTGACACGAAAAGAAGCGGAGATGGATGTGGTCAAGGCTCTCGATGCCGGACTTGCTACAAATCTGGATCGCCTCTACGATGAGACCTTTAGATCACTCCAAGCCTTGGACGATACCGCAAAAGCCATGGTGAAATGTCTTTTCTGTTGGGTTCTATATGCAAAGTGCCCATTGACAATCGACGCCCTTAGCAATCTTCTCAGGCTACATCTCAGACATTCCCAGGAAGTCCGCCTACCCGATCTTTCGGCTGTTTGCCTGAACATGGTGGTCATCGATGCTGCGACGCAGACACTTCGCTTCTGTCACCCTTCAGTTCGCGACTACATGTGTGGTCAGGACATGTTCTCGGAGCCTATTGGCAATCGTCTGATAGCAGAAGCTTGTCTCAAACAGTGCTCTCAAGGCCCTGGTCCAGTTCCGCTCCATGCTTCAGTCCTGGATGCTATTTACGACCCTAGTGTATACGCAGGATTGTACTGGCCTCAACATCTAGCCGCATCTGAATCGGGTGAGAAACTACCTTCCACACTTTCTGGGCCTCTGAGAGACTTTGTCCAAGATGATGAAGAAGAAGGACAAGAAGAAGGACTAGGCTACGCCTTTGTCTGGTGGCTGGATTGGATCAGACATGTTATGAGGATTATTTCTCCATATCATCCACTAAAGATGACACACGAATGTATCTTGTCTGACAGTCGACCTTCTGCCACCTTCACAGCTGCTGTCTTCGGCTTAACAAGTCTAATGGATTTGCTCATTGATGAAGGCACAAATCTTGACATCAATGAGAAAGGCAGCACCGGCCATACACCGCTTTACCTTGCTTGTCTTTTCGGCAACAGCGCTGTAGCTACCAGTCTACTCAGCCTTGGCGCAGATGCAAATATCATATGCGGCAGCTTCGGTAACGCTTTACAAGCCGCCTCTTTCAGAGGATATGTTGATGTTGTTGAAGCCCTGTTGAACCATGGAGTTTCACCAAAGTCTAGTGCTTCACCTTTCAAAAATGCCCTTGACGCTGCATGCGAGGCCTCTCAAACCCGGGTGGCATTACTGCTGGTTACAAAGTCCTCATTGATCGAGACGGCGACAGAATACGACGAAGCACTCACAATGGTTACCGATGCTGCTCTTTTCAGCGTTGTCGAATACTTGACCAAGGCGTCTGTAGCACGGAGCTTCGGCCGACAGGCGGCCAACACTGAGCACGATGGTCGACTTGTTCTTGCTATGATCAAAAAGGGTCGCGTTGATAGCTTACGCTCTCTGTTGGCTTCTCAGCCAGCCATGAAGAACCGGATACCGGATGATGCAATTGCAATTGCTGCGCTGAGAGGACATGTCGATATGCTTGATCTTCTTCGTGATATCGGCTTAGATCTTGAAGCCGAGGGCAAGTATGGGTCACCACTACGAAGTGCAAGCTTACAGGGTGATCTTCATATTGTGAAACGCCTTCTCAAACTGGGAGCAAGCCCAACGGCAAAATGTTCGAAAGGCGATGCTCTCCAAGCGGCGTGTAGCCAAGGCCACATCGCCATAGTACAGCTTCTGATATCCTACAATGCCAATGTCAATCAACAAGGTCCTCCAAGGGGATCTCCAATCCAGGCAGCCGCTTGGTACGGTCATCAATCAGTGGTCGAACTACTCGTCGATGAGAACGCACAGATCTACTGCGAGACTTACAAGTTCAAAGATGCTCTACATGCCGCCGTGGAAGGTGGCCATGACGAAATTGCTTCATTCTTGCTGGAAAACCACCCGCCGCCTCCTGGCACAGTCTTACCCGCTGTGGCACGAGGCGATCACCGTGACAGGTTTTGGTTCTCCGAGCCTGGTCCAACAGAGCGGCGGCTTCGGGATGAAAGTCCACACCCTGAGGATACCGATGAGGAGGACGAAGTTGAAAACACTACAAAACCTGACGACGACCAACAACTAGACCCAGGCTTTGGTCAGGCTAGTCAGAATCCCTTAGCCCTTGCATCGAGTATTGGCAATATTGCTACAATACGACAAGAGCTACAAGCGAAGGAGGTCGATCAGGAAACCATCTCGGAAGCATTCGTCGTTGCTGCTGCAAACGGGAAACTTGAAGCTCTCAAGGTACTGATAGAGTATGGCCTAAGGCACGTTGAAGATATCACAAGTCCAAAGGAAGATAGCCTTATCGCTAGCTTGAGATACAAGCAAACAGAGTCATACGACTTGTTATTAGAATCACTAGGCGGAGGTGTTTCTGTAATTGCCTGGTGTCGGGCACTCAAAAATGCATCGAGTGTTGGGACTGAAAGCATCAAGAAAGTCATTGAACTGGATATCCTTCCTTGGACACGAGAGAGCGCCGAGGAGCTCGCCATGCCCCTTCGCTATGGGAACCCAGATCATGTCTACACGAATCCTGTTCCTGCTTGTGGAGATATAATCGAGGAGTTGTATTCTTCGGGGCGAAAGGAACCAGTGAACATGATATGGGACTGGCTTTTGGAGCGGGGGCCTAAGACACTGAAGGTGACTCACAAAGAATGGGAATCGCTGCTTCACGTTGCAGCACGTTATGCTGATGCTGAGGTCCTGGGTCCTTGTTGTGCATTGCAAGGAGAATGCTTCGACTCCCTATACCATCCCAAAGTATCTTCGGCAGAACTACTCAGTAGCGCTTGCAAGGGCAAGAATGATGCTACCTTTGGCCATTTGCTACACCTGGCTCGTCAAGAGTCATGTTCTGAGGAACAGGTTAAACCAGCTTATTTAGAAGCTTGTGCCCAAGGGTATATCCACGCTGTTTTGGAGTTGTGCAGGGACGATGGCGATCCATTCATTGACTTCGAGAACTTCAATCTAGGCATAGTCTCTGCATCCGGAGCTGGTCACGCGGAGTTGGTAGTCAAGATGATAAATCCCGCCGAAGACGAGAGCGTCATGAACACAATCGAAACTGCCTTGCTTAGCGCAGCTGGAGCTGGGAAGATTCAAGTCATCACTAAGATCCTCGAGGGTACAGAGATCAGGAGTGTAAATGATTTCGAGTATATCATGGATCGAACTTTGGTTACTGCTTGTGAGATGGGGCACTTGGACATCGTCGAATTGTGTGTTAATGAAGGCGCTGACGTTGACTCAACTGTCGCTAGGGCACCGTCTAGTGTGGTGCCAGCCTTCAGGGAAGATGAGCCCCAACTACGGCGTGGCAGCTTAGGAGCACGTCCTGTGTGGCTAGCACCTCCAATTGCTCACCGATACCCACGTCCGACACAGACAGACTTTCCAGGCCCGAGTTTGGTGGAAGAAGACGATGACGATACATGGGAAGACGATGGAGGGTCTATCGACGAGGACGAAGGCGTGGAGCAGGAAGAAGAAGACTTAACAGATGCACTCCAAGCCAGCATCCTAGCTTTCAGACGCATCCTTCGTCACGAAGGTATGCCTGGATTCGACTTTGATCCATCGGAGTGGGCCCCAAGAGCCATGCAGCAGTTGAGTGTGGTATTATTAATTGTGGAGAATGCTCCCAATCTCCATATTGACACCAAACTTCCCAATCATCCGCTACGGCTTGCAGTCGAGTTTGCAACTGATGAAGTTGTGAAAGGTTTGCTGGACAATGGCGCGGCTGATGGGTTCAGCTCTGACCAGTTGAGAGACCTAATGCTGGTGGCTGCTGAACGAAGGATCCTAATCGGCGCCCGTATCATTCTGGAGATTCTCACTTGCGATCGCCAATTAACCGTGCCAATCAATTATGACAATAAGGTACATCCCGCGATCCTGGAACTAATGCGATCGATTGTCGAGTCACTGTACGACCCATACGCAAGGAGGGATATCTTTTCCAAGAGCGGCATGATACCCTCTGAAAAGGTAGCAAAGGTTTACATGAACGGTGGATTACAGCAACTAGTCAGTGCCATATTCCGAAAACTACCTGGACAAACAGCAAAGGATGGTGTCTTTGGGGATGTCCTCCATGTAGCGGCTGCAGCTGGTGACCTGGCCACTGTGAAGCTACTCATCAAACATCACGTCGATGTCAATCACCTGAGACATTATTTCCATACGCCCCTTGGAGCGGCAGCAGAGTTTGGACACTGTCAGGTTCTCAAGGCTCTTTTGAGAGCCAAGGCACATGTTCATCCTAAGTGCATGGCACATGGACTTTTCGGTAACCAGGAACCGGCGATGAAGGCTATTGTAGGAGGTCAGACTCAGGCTTTGAATACACTGGCTGACGGTGGACTTGATCCCAATGTCGATGCTGGGGATACTTCGCTGCTGGTTTTTGCGGTTGAGTCCCAGATCGCGGCTATGGTGAAGGTCTTGCTCGGAGCTAGAGCCAAACCGGACGATCATCCTCTGGCCCTGGTCACTGCCGCTCATGATGCCGACTTGGAGATGGTAAGATATCTTCTCAACGCTGGAGCGAACCCGAATTCTCTTGCTATTTTTGGAAACACTGTTCATGAACAGCATCTTTGCAGTCCTCTCTACATAGCATGCGAGAATGGCCGGGCCGATGTTGTGGACCTGCTGTTGGAGCGAGGTGCTGACGCATCCGGAGATTCCGGAGATCGCGACGGCCTGCCTCTGGTTGTGGCAGCCCGTGTAGGTCATGTGGATATCGTCAAAGCTCTGTTGAGCAAGAGATGTTGGCCAACTCAACGATCAAGGGGTCTGGATGGACTCTGTCATAAAAATAAGAATGCGTTCGCACGTCAACTACAACTGAGAGATCACGAACTCCAGTATGGCGGACTGTCAACTCGCGGACCTCCAATTCAAGCCGAGAAGGCCAGTATTGAGTCAAATGGCGATGGCTTCCTGAATGCCATAGAGGCTGCATGTGCTGGAGAGCTTGGCATCCGAACAAGCTCACAAATTGTCCGGGCTCTTCTCGACACATTCAACGACCCGAAAACGAAACATGATGCATGCTTAGAGGCCTTGCAGCACGTTTCCAAAACACAGAACTCCCGCCTCTTTGAAGAGCTGGTGGACTTGGTTCCTCTTGACACTGCCATCCTGGAACTATCGTGTCGCTGTGGTTCAAAATCAGTCGTGGAAAGAATAGTCCACCATGAGAACATTCCCATGACTGATTTAAAGGCTCTACTTGGGATAGCCGTGGCTTATGAGCACACAGACCTAATCTTGTTCTTGGTTGAGGAGTGCATGCAGAAAGATTCCATCGACTTGATCAAACTGGCAGCCTCTATCTTGGAAGCTTACGCGTGGTCAACGGCGACCAAGCACAAGAGCATTACCAGTTGTGAGGAGACAGTCGAAAGCCTTTTAAGGCTACCTGAAGGGCTGTCTTCAAACCAAGAATACCTGGACCGAGCTCTCACCCTGGCTTGTTACATCGGCAGCGTCAAGGTCGCCAGCGCACTAATTCAACTTGGCGCAAGGCCCAACGCACAAGTAGAATTAACTCAACTTCAACCTGCTCATATCTCTTCACCACTACTGGCCTCCGTTACGGGCAATCATTCAGGCGTCCTGAAGGTACTTCTAAAGTGGCTCTCTCAGCACTTGAATGAAAGGGAACTACAACTGTTGGTAAGGCCGGTATTTCAAGACCATTATGAAGGTATGAAGCCAGCTCTGCTTCAAACCTTCTTTGACTTTGTTGTGGAATTTGCAGGGTTAGAGATGGAGAGTTAAAAGGTTTCTTTTTGCTTTTCTGCAAGGATTCTCTCTTTTTCGCCCTTCGTCTAGCAGATGGCCTGCAGCTTACTTTACAATGAAGGCAATTAGTGGCCTCCGCCCTGCGCTTACTCGTTCCACCTGGGACGCTATGCCCAGGCGCCAATGCTTTGCTTACTGGTATCATGTAGCATCGTGGTATTATAAATAGGTACATAACGTTATTACATCATGCCAAGATTGAACAACTATTATTCAGCCATCTCATGTACCGACCGGAATTTCCGTTCGCCTTCTTTTTACGTTATTAGCAATATCCCTACGGACTATAAATAGTCTTAATTATCCGGCCTTATTGATTGCCGAACTAGATGTAAGAACCTGTACAAAACGCATTCACAGTAATTAACCTCCAACACCATGGATCGTCCCAACAAAGCAATCTACCTCTACCAAACCTCCAAGGGAAACCATGAGATCCGCACCATCCAAGATCCCTACGTACCGAAGGATGCGCAGTCGCTAGTTGATGTGCATTACTCGGGCATCAACCCAGCTGACACGCGCCACGTCTACATGGACATGTCAAACTACGTGGCTGGCTACGAGTTTGCCGGAACCGTCAAACAAGTCGGCCCCAAGTCGCCATTCAAGATTGGCCAGGAGATCTTCGGTATCTCCGTCCCGTACAACAATCGGCCGAACTACCTGGGGGCGCACCAAAGCTTTCTTCTTGCTGAGGATTTCATGACATTTGCGCGGCCTGATCATCTTGATCCGGTTACAGCAGCTACACTTCTCGCTGGCGGCGGAACAGCTATGGACGGGCTTCTCAATGTCTTAGGTTATGGATTTGCACCTGCTGGTATTCCTGGCGATGATCCTAGGAATGTGCCGATTCTTATCTGGGGCGGTGCAGGTGGTGTCGGACAAGCTGCTGTTCAGCTTGCCAAAGCAGCCGGTTTCTTTCCCATCATCACTACTGCGTCTCAGAAGAACCATGATGCGATAAAACAGCTTGGAGCAAGTCATGTCTTTGACTATAAAAGCCCATCGGTCGTGCAAGATATTCGTGACCTGCTCAAGTCCGAAGGCTGGAGTTTGAAGACTGTTTTTGATGCCGTATCTACAGGCCTGGGTGTCTTCGACGGTCTGACTGAAGAGCAAGAGAAAGCCATCCAGGAGAAGTACGACCTGAGTTCTTCATCCATGGCTCGTCAATGTTGCGACCCCGACGTCCCGAGTAGCGACCTCCGGCTTACTTCTGTCCTACCTGTGAAGATGGATCCCAATTATGTCTTCTGTCTCAACTTTCGTCCTGTGGAGATCCTGGAAATCGGAGGTGAAGTGACCAAAGATGCCAAGGAGCAAGAGATGGCCAAATGGAAAGAGTGGCAGCCAAGGATTGAGAAGTGTATTGAGTGGTTGATTCAAAATCATGTGAAGTACTGGCAGCCACCTAGAACGAAGGTGGTCAAGGGTGTTGAGGAGGGATTGCAGGGGATTCAGGATGTTTGGCAAGGAAAGATGAGTCGTGAAAAGCTTGTTATTGATCACCGTGTTTAAGTAGTGCTGTTCCAGCTATTAAGGGAGCCTATCCAGCCCTGACTTACCCGTGCCTCCATTAGAACGAATATACTTCCACTTCGTGCACGATCCAATACCTCAAGTGACGATCGTCGTAGCATCATGGGTCTCGCACTCTGTCAGGTTGCGTCAAGTTCCCTTCCACCCCAAAGCTCCTGACGCTCCTACCTGCCTCCTCATGCACAACTCCGTAGCCAATCTTTACCTCACTTCCATTACCCAACGTGTGAAGATGTGAGGCTCTCGATGCCTCAATAATTGACGATGGTTTCATATCGCGCATTCTGCCTTCCTCCCAATAGGCATGCAGCCCAAGTAGGACCGCGGCAATTGCTAGCGCGATACTTGCTGCGTATACAGAGAGTAGCTGAGCTTTATCGTACTGGAACACGTTCATGTAGCGTGCTTTACGGCAAGGGTGGCCTTCTGCCGACGGGTCGGATTTGGAAACACCTGTTGGTTGACTGGTCGAAGCCCATGAGACCACACTAAAAGATGGATTTGAAAGTAGTGAGATAACCATATTCTCGTACATGCCTCTAATGGCGCGACTGAAGTTTCTGGGAGGCAAATAATTTATTCGTTCGACTAGTGGCGTTACTATGATTTTCGAATTGACATTGAAGTGCGGCATTGTCGTCGTTCCGTTCAAGAGGCGTCGGAGAGTGTAGCCGAGTGAATGGTAAGCTGCGGTCAACCTGTACTCCTCAACGTCCTTAGGCAATACGTAGTTTTGTTCCGGCACAGCAGTTGTCCGGTCTTTCAACCTTCTGTCCGGATCTAACTCTGGCGTCCAAGTTGTGTTAACCACCTTCCTGAGATATTCCCGTTTTAGGACCCTGTGCGACTGTATCTCCCCTACCCAGTCGAAGTGAACCGTGTAATTCACCTCCCAATGCTCGCAGCCAATAATCACTGGTGTATAGGCTTCGTACCAGTCTCCCTTGCCATGTTCCGGGGGCTGTGGCTTTGAGTAGTCATCAACAGTACAATAGCCGATCCACATGATAGGTTCTGTCCTAAATGCTCCTAGGTTCTTAGGGTATGGAGCCTTCTGCTTTGGTCGACCCCCAGGGGACGATATGATCTGTGGGTTGTCGTATTCGCCAATAGTGTTTTTTGCATAGTACGTCAAGTTGCCCATCGGTGCAAGCACAGTGGTGTTAAAAGGCGGTATTGCGTCTCCCAGATTTCGCACGGGAGAGTTTACCCCGGAGGCTATTTCCTGGCATCTATAGCCTGGGGCAACGAAATGCAAGACGTAGGAACAATTCCAACCCTGTGAGCAGATCTCAATACCAGACTCCTTCCGAACAAGCGGCTCATTGGCCAAAGCCACTCTCATAGCTGTCGTGGCATCCCATTGGACGCTGGGGGAGGTCCAGTAGTCGAAGTGGTCGGCATCATATTTCTCGATGTCATCATTTGGAAAGGTGCTGTTCCAAAGGGATACAGACATAAGATACTGTTTTTGTATGATCACAGGATCACGCCAATATACCCACTTCTCATTCGAAAAGTTCAAAGTCCGAATGTTCAGACATGTCCCGTTATTCTCCTTCATTTCACCCACGACAGACAGAGTCTCAGAGGTCAAAACCACTACTAGTGGAGTGATCCAACAGTACACAGCGATAAGACTCCCTATCTTGGCCTTCCTAATAGATGACCATGTCAACAAAGAGAAAATATCGGAATTGGCAGTGAATATTGAATCGACTGTTTCGAGGCGTGCCATTTTGTGGCGAAGGACTCGCCAGGCTCTTTGCTGGAAGGCCATGGCTGCTGCGGTACCAAGACTGGCCTTAGCGCAGAAGGAAAGGATGGTGCCGTAACGGAGCATCAGAGATTGGTTTATGGCCTCTCTACCTTCAAGCGCGAAATAGAACAGATGGTGGCCAAGAGCGAATACGGTGCCAATTACCACCAAAAGACACATGTTCCATGGTCTTGATCTGTACGTAGCCCAGAATTTGGTTAGATTGTGACACCTGCGCGTAGGCGATGCAAATAACGATGACCACATTCCCTTAGTTGTCGATGGATTCATGGAATCCTCCGAAACGGTTGCTGTGTAATTTTGAGTCTTCTGGTATGGCAAGAGCCTGATCTCGTCCGAGGGCAGCGTGGTATCATTATTTTCGTGGGGCGACATAGCGGATTTCACTTATGTTCAAAGATTCAGTTAACAAAAGAACAGGCACTCTCAGCTGAGGGGTCGAAAGGGCTTTATGTTAGCAATCGTTTGTGTCACCTCAGAGCCTCGTTTACTCTTTTCGCACAAGTCTGACTGTGTGTTGGCTCGATCTATTATTGGCATCCAGTACTGTCACTCAGCGACCTAGCGAGGACTTGGCATAAGCAACTGCGCTGACACCGTCAGAGCGCAAGGATGATCTGACATTCTAAGCCTTTGATTGATTGAGAAAAATTGGCTGACACGATTGGCATTTTTCGTAAAGAAGACAGCCCAACATTTAGGATACTAAGACCTGACATATTCCACCGTTTTTGGCTTGAATGCCTTGAGCATTGACAGTATGATATTTAACATCAGAGATATCGTCTGAACTTTCTGGCGCGACACTCTCATTACAATTGAAATTGGCAGTGCCTGTCAAGTGCTTTGAAGCTGAAAGCTCACCTGGCTACGGAGTACAACCCTTGTTAAATGTTGATCATCCACAGCGGAAGGTACCCGCGCGACGGAAGTTAACCATATCTTATCGTTATCAGCGATTACATCGTACAGCGCCTTGATTGGTTGCGCCTCGGCTCCATCGCCAGACGCCCGATTGTGGATGATCCGCTGTTCAGCAGTGGTATAGGTTAGGTTGACTTTGGTTGCAAGAGTTTTCTCTGACAATAAAGATATATCTCTCAAGCTCTACATTAGGATCCTACGTAAATCCTTACTTTAATACACTACATATCCTGTCTCTATCTCTTTAAAGCAGCAAATGCGAATCGTTAGGGCACAACTTCTTCAAAAGCTCCGTGTCCTGTGTTCGACAGCATTGTCATGATCATATTGCCAAAAACAATCCAGTTCCCACACTACGTTTGCCTAGTTCAAAACGGATCATAGCAGGGGGATCATCTGATCTTACAGAGACTTAGCATTCAATGGAACTTGGTTCCAGGACAACTTCGCTTTCTCGGGCTATTATAGAGCGACAGTAAAATATCCACCAATCCCGGACTAACCAACCTCGGAAATGATTTATGCTTAATCCTACCTCTCGGTCAATCGTCCCGATGATAAACAAATCAAACCCCCAACATGAGCCCATGCAACTCCCGTGAAATTCATCCCATCGGTAGATGATAGGTGGGGATATCGGATCTTACCCCAGATATGCACAACGCACGTTTTCGTCGGAGGTGAAACTTCCGATCGGCCCAAATTGGCATGTCGATATTGAGGATGTAACGAAAAGCAATCGCACTGCCAAGATGTAACATCCTTGATAGTAAGTCTTGGTAGAATCTCGTTGGCGGATTTGCGGATCATCATGAATCAAGCGCGCGAATTAAGGATGACTTGGCTCACTTGGCAGGAGTCGAGTCGGAGTATTTAAACACAGCTTTAATGCAATTGAAAGGAGTCTAGTAACACAAGACTCTTTCTTCCTCAAGAGAATCAAGATGTTCCGCCTCTCATCCATCATCACAGCGGCTATCGCCCTGGTCAGCGCCGTCAACGCCGCCTGTGGCGATGGCTCTCCCCAGGGTGTAGTCTCCGGCTCTGGCTCCTCCTTCACCGCCACCGTCAACGGCGCGAATGTCTACTCCGGCAGCGACTACCGTCTCGCCATCCAAACCGCCCTCGACCGCATCGGCGCCAACCAGCGCGTCACTGTCCGCGCCTCGGGCAGCATTGGAGCAAGCACCATCAGCATCACCAGCGGAAAGACGTTCGAGGTCTGCGGTACCATGAACGTTGTCTCCAGATCTGGTCGTGGAGCTATAGAGGTTATCAACCAGAATGATGTCAAGATTCCCTACCTCAAGATGACTGGTAGCCCCTACTTTGGCATGCGCTTCTCTGGTACTCGAAACCTTGCTCTTGGTGACATTACCATGAACCTGAGCGGCGGTCTTGGTATCCGCTTTGATCGCGATGCCAACTTCAACTATGGTGTCAGCATGGGTAACATCGTCGTCACCGGAGCTGGCAGCCACGCCGTCGAGGTCTGGAAGGTCGACGGTCTCACCATCACTTCCGTCAAGGCCAGAGACGTCGGCGAATGCGGTCTCCTCGTCCAAGAATCACGAAACGCCCGCATCGGTTACGTCGAGGGTATCAATGTCGCCAGAGGAACAGGCTACGCCACCCTACGTTTCGCTAACGAGAACGGAAAGCTAAACAACGTCTACACCACCACAAACATCTTCGTCGACAGAGTCTACTCTCGTGGCGGAGGTCGTGGCATCTTCTGTGTGTCACGGTCTGGTGCTGCTGAGATCAAGACCATTGATCTAGCCGATAACGGCAACAACGCCATTCTGATTGAGAACTGCTATAACATGGCCATTCGGGACGGTGTCATTAACGGTGGTGGCGAAGTCCGTGTTTCTGCTCGCAGCGAGTTCCCTAACACTAGTGGTATCTACGTCAAGGCTCAGGTCAACAACAACAGCGTTCGCGAGTCACCTTGTGCTGAGAACATCTACTGGGGTATCACTGGTAACGCTAGGAAGAACGTTTGCTAGATGACCATAGTCTGAATGAACCGAAGCTGTCGAGAGAGGGGAAAAAACATATGCTTTCTCGGGCTTTCTGGGGACACTGGCACTCCAGAATGGCGGTTATCTCTTGTAAATAATTCTCACATCAATTAAACATACACGCAACGACAAGACAGTCTATTGAGTCGATTCGTCTATAGCCTGATGCTATTAGATCAAAGTTTACTATTCACTCTTTTCTGTTGAGTTATTTGGCTTTGTTTTTCCAAATATGGCATCTAAACTGGCCAGTCTTCCACAGACCGACATTTTACCCCTGAGTAAAGTCTCCAAAGTTGATCGTTGCTCTTTCACTGATCGGTGCCTCCTTGAGCCCTGATAGAAAGCATCATGATCAAGCAATTATTTGGCTAGAAACAGTCGAGAACTGGATCTTCCAGGACCCGAATTTCAGCGAAGACAGTATTGCTCAAACAGACGATGACGGCCAGAATTCTGAAGTTCGCCAGAGCCTTGACATATTACAGGCTGCTTATGGTATACTTCTGCTCATGAATTGGGAGGGTGACACAAAGATGAGACTTGGAGCACGAAGAATACGGTTTCCTGACATCGTCTTCGCTTCCCGCACCCTGTATCCCTTCGCGATACCTGGAAAGAGGTGGAAGCATTCTTTGCTCCACGCAGCCTCCACGACCATTGGACATCATTCGGAGTACGAGAGGAGGTAATTCGTACCCTCTCATATACGTTCCTTCTTGACTCTGCATTCGTAATCTTCTACGATATGAGTCCCCGAATGGTAATTAATGAACTGCAATTTGGCCTCGCGGCTGCAGATGAGCACTTTAATGCTACAGATGCCGAGACATGGCTCATGCGCACCCAAACGGCGGCACAGAGGTCACTGGCGTGCAGCCAGGTCACGCTCTCTCAGTCTATTACCATGACTATGGGTGAGGACTTTGGTGCTAGTCGATGGGAGGTCTTTGGGACCATAAGCTGTCGAACTTGTTTGCTATTGCTAGTGGTAATTTGCACGAAAAAAAGCTAATAACGGCCTTACTGAAACATTCTAGCCTTCCACAATCTCATATACCAACGCCAGAATGGACCAGACCCAAGGTCAAGCTTGATCCTTGCCTATCAGATGAGGGCTAAGGAATTAGTTTCGGGTCTAGTCCAGTCATAACTTATTCTCAACCCCCGGCAACTATCTCTCCGTTGACTCAAACGAGTCTTGAAGAAATTCGGATTCTTTCTTCACGCAGATGAATATTGGTATCTCGCCAATATATTCTGTAGCCAATTCGAAAGTGGTGTTAATCTACACCGGTCTTTTGGCGATATTCCTTCCCAGCGATCTGGAGGATTATCAGATATGGGCAACATACATAGCCTAATCCTTCGCTTCCAGGATGCAGATCTTGCAGAGAAAGTTCTATCATGAACGAATCACTTATTCTTCTTCTCCAGCCTTTTGCTCTCGTGGGTATTATGAAGCCAGTCCAGCCAAGGCATCCCTCCGAAGTGGACGTCAAAACGCTCATGATGACGATCATGACGATAAGCTGCACCTCCAAAAAAGTCGAAGCCACTGTGAACAGTCGCAGTCTCAATAAGCTGCCAAGCGACAAAAGCCCACATGGTCAGGATGTGAGTTCTAAGCAGTATGGGTGGAAGGACGATGGGGATCGTGTTGGCTATGATATGCTCGATGGGATGGGCATACTGCGAGGCGAAGGAGACTGGTGCTGTGAACTTGTGGTGGATTTTGTGGACGCGACGATATAGGTATGGTACGTGAAACAGTCGATGGGAATAGTAGAAGAGGATCTCTCGAGAAACTAAGCAGATGGCAAAGTTGCTTACGAAACTCTTTGCAGATGGCAGTGATGCTGTGACCTGTAATGTTGATGGTATATTCCGCTGTGTCGCCAGAAACGCTAGGGATAGTTGCATTCCAATGACTATGAGTTGATTCCTCAAAGATATCAGGACAGAGTCTAGTATCTCAGAGGCTTTGGGCTGTTTTTGTGGAGGTTGTATCTTGTGTCTCGCTGCAAAACACGGAGCAACATGATCAAGGAGAACGAAAACGGCTGACGGAATCCACCAGAAGACGATTTGGACAAGACAGCTGCCCACGAACTCGATTGTAAAGGGATCATAGGTAGCGACTACGTTGGCCCAGAGTTGAGACATTTTGAACCTGGCTATGGTAGTTGATTGATGATTGAGCTGAAGGACCTCGAGATCGAGACGTAGATATACTTTGCTCAACGACTAACTCAATCGAGGAGGAGCTAATAAGAGGCGCTTTGATACCCCTCAATCTTTCAAGTCTAGTACTCATAAGGAAGTCGTCTCAAGAGCCTCTGTCTTCACTTTGCCCTTTTAAGTCTAACCTGTACAGTTTCATGCGGGGCCTCGGTTGGCTTGAGTGGCGTCATGGTCCAGGTGGCGATCCACGTGAATTATCCTGGCCCTGCCCGAGGCTCTGTTTCACAACCAGAGGACTATTGGTAATGACATGAACGGTCATTGGTAGAACCTGTGTAGTCTTGAACTGGCAGGCAGCTATATGAGAATCATGGCATGCTGATCGGGTCCCGCGGGTCTTATATCTTGCTAGATAACCACTCTGACCGAGTCACAAGTGCATGACTTTCGGCCACCTCAGCGCCGTTGTGTTTCCGAATACCTTCCGATCCACTAGACTGTTTCTAGAGACGTGCGATATCCGAGCAACTATTAACACCAGCCAGGTTTATGATACCCACTCGCCCTTCGACCGCCCTCTTCGTCCAGTAGGAACATCCCAACCAATACTCGACTTCTCAAACTTGAATGCAGGTGCCAGCACTCTGAAGTCCTCGTCCAATCCGTATTCCTCGCCACTCATGTCCCAGAAGTACTCAGGATGCTTGAATATCTCTGGGCGAATCTTCTGCAGCGACGGGTGTGTCTTTCCAACGAGCGCACTCGTATCATCGTAATGGCGAGGGCTGAACTGCGGGTCACGATTTCTAAGAGCCTTCTGCTGGTCCTCTGAGTATGAGCCGAGACGATAATACCAGATGTTGTACTGCGTCAGGCTAATGTCGATGTCAAAGGTGACGTCTTCTTGGGTGCGGGCTAATAATGCCCGAATGGCAGCCGCGGCTCCGACTAATCCTGTCTGATAGTCCGAGTTGGCTAGAGCAATGTCAGAAGTGAGATCTTGAGATGTACTATCACCGTGAACTTACGGAAAAGTGGGACAACAGCCTCGTCGAGACCAAGAAACTTGCCCTGTAAGTATGACAGCCCTACCGAACAATCGCTAATCTGCTGCCACCCCGAGCGGTACGACAGTGGCCCCCTGAAACCATAACAATTGTCCCTCATATAGATTAGACTTGGGCTCAACTCTCGTAAAGACTTGGAGTCAAAGCCCAGCTTCGCTAAGGCACTAGGACGGTATCCATCAACAAGAATATCAGCATCTTTGATAAGCTCAGAGAGTGTTTGCCGCCCCTCAATTGTCTTAAGATCGATGTCAACGTCTCTCTTGCCAGTCTGAAGATCCGGCATTGTTGCCGAATACTCTGGTAGCCTGCTGCAGGAGACACGGATGACATCGGCGCCGAGAACACTGAGGATCTTGGATACTGCTGGAGCTGCGATGACACGAGATAGTTCCAAGACTCTGATGCCAGTAAGTGGACTATAGCGACCAGTGTCTTTAGCTTCGGGCCAAGTCTTCTTCGGTGCTGGCACACGAGTCGATGTCCATAAGGGTTCTTGCGACATGATCTTACCATGTTCGCTTGCGAAGAACTCATCAGGCGTATAGCAAATCACACCGGCTTGCCCGTACTTGTCGTTGGCCACCTTTTCGATATCCTGAGAATCCCATTGTTCAACCCTTCTAGTAAAGGTCTCGAGGGCTTCTTCAGTGCTGACGTCACTGTCCTCAACACCCAACATCTCCATTGTGGGCAGAGCGTTCATAGATCCATGCAGATGATACCATCTTCCATCCTTGGTGCGATAAACATTTGTCGCATACCGCCTGATTGGCTTGCTCATCTGATGGAGATCCATTTTGGCAAGCTCTGCAAGCATTCTGCTGCTCTGCATAAAGTTCTTGCCTCCAATGGTGGGTAGTAGCACTGATTCAAGGAAGAGGATTGCAAGATCCGTGTTGATTTCAACATTCTGGTAATTGATGCCGTAGCGCTCGGCTGCGACTACATTTGCAGCTGTAGCTACGAGTGCATTGAGGGCTGCGCTCGACTCCGTGATCTTGAGAGGTGTGAGGATGAACGGTTGGTCATCTTCTCCTACAAACTTGACTTTCTCGGCGGCTTTAATGAAAGAGTCTGGAAGTTGTAACCTGGAATCCTGAAGGAGAACTTCATTCAGAATTCGAGCAGCTTCGGTGGAAATGGAGTAATGAGACATAGTATTGAGGAATGAGAGGCGACTTTTAAGGAGGGATGTTGCAGTTGCAAGGATTGGAATAAACTCAAGGTTGCTGCAGGTCAAGGGAACAGATATTTTCAATGCTACGTCTAACGTTACAACCGTGGATTTAAGTATTCCTTTCGGCTAAGTAAACCCGAGTATTGCCTCGACTTCCTTCCAAGTCAATGATATCTTTGCAATGCTTAGTGGGTCTTTCCGGAGTTCTTGGGCTTAGTTCGACTCCCGGAGTTTTGCACCACCGGAGTTCTGGTAGCGGACTTCGGGACACGGCAAACTGTTACACAGGGACAATGACATCCCAAACACAGAACGAGTGACTAGCATACTCGTTGACGGAGTACTGATTGCCGGTTATCTCGGATATGGAATTTTGAATCGCAACATCCGACGTTGCGGGGTGATATAAAGATAGCTTATACTCAACGCCTCTCAACCCTCTTCCTGGATCAGGACTTGGTGGCTATGCAACATAACACACTACTCCTTACTTCGTCGTGCCTATAGTTCAGAGACACAAAATCATCATGGCTTCTAACAGCGTATGGCGCGTTGGAGAATTCGGCAGCAGGCCTGTACGAGTGGCTAATTGTTCCGGTTACCATGGTAGGACAAGTCACACACAACCGAGACATTGCTGACCGATGATCTCATAGGAGATCCCGCTAGTGAGATGTACAAGCAGGCTACATTGGGTAATGTAGACTTTATAACTGGCGACTACCTCGCTGGTAAGCCTGGGATCTTGAAACTTGGATAGGATATGTGGCTTACAAGAATCAGAGGTGAACATGGCAAATGATGCGGAAGCATATGTGAAAGGACAACATCCAGGTTACGAGGCTACTGCATTGAAGGGTTTTGAACTTTCGATCGATGCTATCGCAGACAAGCGTATCAAAGTCGCCATCAATGGTGGAGCCCTTAATCCTGAAGGTCTCGCTGTGAAAGTAGCAGCTTTGGTAAGACTCTCTTGGAGCTTCTGTATTTAACGCTTGGGCTAAACGGTTGCCAGGTTGCCGAAAATGGTTATGATCTCAAGGTAGCCTATGTTTCCGGCGATAACGTGCTTCCCAAGGTCGACAAACACATGCCGCAAAACCGAGAAAACGCGTTGGCTCATCTTGATTCTCTGAATGACCATGTCACCCTCACTCCTGAGACTTACATGTTCGCCAAAGGTGGCGATGAACCTCGGGAAATAGTGTCTGCCAATGCTTATCTCGGTGCCCACGCCATATATGAAGCATTTCAACAGGGTGCCGACATCATCATATGCGGCCGAGCTTCTGATGCCAGCCCCGCCATCGCCTGCGCATGGTACTGGTGGAGATATGCGCTACTTTGGTAGGTTTGCATAAGTACTTAGCCATTCAAAATCCAGGGTTTAGCTTGGAGCTAGACTTGGGCGGCGGAGCAGAAGCTACATTCCATCCTGCCTATACCCATGATATACCATACTTCTGTGATAGTACACCACGCCAATGCTCTGTCGGGAAATGTGTCGCATGACCATTGACGGTTCGGGCTTCCAATACTCTCCCTGCCCCGCCTGCTGTCGTCGCCTCCAGGGAGACCCAGGTTACATTCCCCGCCCACGTGCCTAGGCTATCGCTACCGGTTCAAACCCCTCACTGACGTCGGCATTCGGAGTTAGTACACCGTCCTGAAATCAACTCTTTCTGATTTGTTGGGCCAAATGGACTAGGATATATATGGGCCTCTTGATAACCAGTACTAATCAATTGACGCGTAACATTGCTCTGGCAGACGAGCTGAGAGCTGCCTGTTCCCCTGGGAATGCGATTTATGTCCGCTGTACACTATACTATATTGTGTTACTGGATAGTACTAGTATTTCTGTTATGTGTTATCTTTTCCTTTAGGATATCTAAGATAGTTGCGTAATTTGACCATCCTATATTATGATGTTGTTACTGTTGACAGTTTCCCCGCGTCTGAGGGACTCGCGTCGTCTAACCAATCAACATCTCAGGAGTAAAGATGGAATAATATGCCGGCAAACCCCGCTCTAATCTCATGTAGTGCTAGACCAGTGGTGTACCAGATAACGGCCTAAACCCGGCTTCCGCTACCCATTGAGGCTTAATATATATTACACTATTTTTAAAAGCTTCTTAATCTTTATTATTTTCCGAGTTCTACTACCTTGTTCCTTATCTCCTTGAGACCATATCATCCTCGTCATTAATAACCACCAGCCTGTGGGCAGGCATGAAATAGCTGTATCCGGATCTCTTAGCCTGGCCAATCCAGAGTAGAGTATCCTTGCTTGGTAGACAAGTCAGTTCAGGATTGTTGTGAAGCTCTGCGATGAAACGTTGCCAGTTGATTCGCCGGACAGCGGTGTGTAGAACCTCCTGCAGTTCTACACCCTGCTCGGGCAGGATCGAGTCTAGTATGTCATTGACAACACTTTGTGTGTCCATAATGTCCGCCCATCCTTGCAAGCCCTCCATAGTAGGTCTCACCTGAAGCCTTTTGGTGATATCCACAAGCTGATTGACCATGTGATCCGACTCGGGCTCAGCGTGCGAGTCATCAGGTCCGTATCCAGGAACCGGCATCGGCTTATGGATAGTTACCGGCAGTTGAAGCTGCGAAGCCACGGCCCGTAGGAATCTCTCAGCAGCCCACTTAGAGGCCACATAGCCGTCAGAACCATCGTTAGGCAGTGTCGGACTGCTTGGTAGGCTCTGGTCGATATTGTAAATTTTGGGACCTTCCTTATCCCCGTAAATGCGGACAGACCCGGAAGATATGAAATGGAAAGGGATTCTTCTGGAGAGAGCGAGCCGAGCAAGTTCCTTGATTGAGTTGGTGTTTGCGGGGCGCAACACTTCGTAATCGTCCCAGAAGGATCGGTTGGCACCAGAGTGGAGGATGATATCCGAGTCGCGAGATAGCTGGCTGAACTCGTCTTTGCTGAGACCAAGGTCAATTTCTCCGAGGTCGCCTGTGTAGATGACGATCTTCTCGGATGCTTTTCTTAATGAATCGACATCTGACTCGCGGCGTACAAGGCAGAACACCTTTGCGATTTGTACCGATTGAACAAGGGCGGGCACAAGATGCCTACCAAGATACCCAGTAGCACCTGTGAGTAGAACGTTTAGTCCCGTGCCTAGAACTCGTGGAGATGTCTTGACTAGCGGCATAGGAAACTCCTCGCTCCAGGTATCGGGAACGGCGGTTTCAGCTGCCCAGTCAATCTTTGTAGACAAGGTAGCTTCGATGATAGCAGTCATGTCACTGAGCTTTCCCGCATTCATCAGCTCGACCAGCTTCGGGGCAGCCGAGAATCTCTCCTTGATCAGTCTATGAAGCTTGACAAGCAGTAGAGAGCTACCACCAACATGGAAAAAGTTGGACTCGGGAGTAATAGCTGTTGTGGGCGTGAAAGGCAACACACTTCGCCAAAGCTCCTCTAACTTCGCTTCTACTGGCGTCATCTCACGCCCATTGGCCAGATCTAGCTCAGTGAAAGAAGGCTCATCCAAAGGTAGAGCTTTGACAGCTGCCCGATCAAACTTGGAGTGCACAGTTACAGGTAACTGATCCAGGGCGACGATGATAGCGGGTCTCATATAGTCAGGAACCTGAAGCTTCGCTTGGAGCCCAGCAAGATACTCAGCTCGTCCGGCCTCAGGGTGGTCACGCGAGAAGACGACATGTGCAGCTAAAAACTCTGCGCCTTCACCTTCACGTAGAGTAACAACGGCGTGCTTCAACGATCCATGGGAAGATTCAAGGATAATTGTTTCGATCTCGGTAAGTTCCACGCACCCTCAATGGTACCCATGTTGAAGGCTTGCTCTGAACTGCCAATGTTGTGGCGCGGGAATTTGTTTTGATCAAGGATCTTTTGGTTCCGACACTGGCGTGCTTGAAGTAGCGCAGAGCGCATCTGAGACATTATGTCTGCAGGTCCTATAAAATGACCTTGGAGTTGTTAGCAGCTGTGTCCGGAGACACTGGGATTACATACCGTCAGCTCCAAGAGTTACTCGGACGTCACCCCTAAATGAGAGGGGCTGTCCGAGGGAAAGGTGCCCCTCAACTTCTGGCGCTGCCGCAACGTAGATGTTGGCATCCGAAAGGATCTTGGCGTCAGACGCAGAAGCCTGTGTTCCATGACCAATGATGATATCGGACTTGAGTAGCCCGTAGTCCCTAAGAAGTTCAGGAACAGATTGCAAGCCTGGCGCGGCTTGTAAGTCTTTGAACGTACGTAGTTGAGTTGATGTCTCCACTTACCAAATATACGATTCTTGCAATAGTGCGTTGTGAAAAGCTTTATGCCCAGACTCCGAGCTTTGTCCCAAATCTGGATGATTCTATCTTTGGGAAGGAACCACATATCGAAGCCAAAACCAAGGCTGACACGTCCATCGCCGAAAGGTTGAGAATTGGCCAAGGATTCAAGTTGCTCAAAGGCCCACGTTGGCAAGATATCAGGGTATGGAACCAGGGGGTACCAGGACTTGTACCTCACCATAAGTGAATAACAGTAGATACTTCGTATGCCCGAGTGCGCTGTAGCCGCAATAGCTTCGGTAACTAAGAGAAAGTTAGTAACTTGTGAGGAGTGAAGAACATGTTTGTTTACCATGTTCCGGCGAGTTTGTCATATGCGCATGGTCCACCACAGTAGTCGTTCCTGCATCGATAGACTCGAGACAGCCTCCAAGCTGACCCCAGTAGATGTCTCTTGGCTCAAAGTTGAAGCTTTGCAGGCCTCCAGAATAGATATAATCAAGAAGCGTATGATCTGCATGTCGAGCCTTGAGCTGTGTCATCCAGATATGGTTGTGGGTATCGATCATGCCTGGAGAAATTATTTTGTTTGAGCAATCGACTACCTCCGCGCCCTTGGGGGGTTCAATGTCCTTATCAATTTGGACGATCTTGTTGTCTTTGATCAAGACATCCGTGTTTGGTAGTGGAATGATGTGATCATCTTTCTGGTGCTCAAGAACGATCCCTCCCTTCAACAGAATAGAAGTCATGACTGCGAAGTTTTAGTGAGGAGAAAAGTCAATTTCACAGATTCGGTAGAACAGGTAATCACTTACATATACTCTTGGAATTTTCAAGACCTCGTCTATATAGTTATTACGGTTAATATCATACGCTATTAGTGTTAATGCATGTCCTCAGTCAGTGACTGAGTGAGTGGGGAGCCTTGTCAGCTATTTATACCAGCGTTACCGCTCGCCCAAGAAACATAAACTGTATCATCTACAAAGAAGTTCGAATAAACAGGAGAATTCATTGTTTCCTGATTCTCACAGCCTATCTGTCATAATGATCTCTAACAACAAACCTTTCAAGGTCCTCATTGTTGGCGGAGGAGTAGCAGGCCTTACCTTGGCGAACATGCTCGAGCGTTTCAACATTGATTATCTTATCCTCGAAGGACATGGAGACATTGCTCCAGCCGTCGGAGCTAGTATTGGTATGTTTCCTAATGGGTTGCGAATACTTGACCAAATCGACCTCTATGAGCCACTTGAGAAGTTGATGGGCTCTTTCGAAGAGACACAATCAACAAGGGACATGAAGGGAAGGCCCATTCTGAGTATACCCAGATTTCAGGACCACGTCAGGCTGAGACATGGGTATCCACTGATGTTCTTCGATCGGCAATATCTTTTGAAGGTGTTGCATGAGCGGTTGAGGTACAAACAGCGGGTACTTCTCAATCACAAAGTTGTCGATGTGCATCTCGTCGACGATGGGGTTGAGGTAAGTACAGCTGACAATCAGCGTTTTGAAGGATCCATTTTGGTGGGAGCCGACGGCGTTCATAGTATTGTGCGGCGTCACATGTTTCGACTTGGACATCAACGTGACCCGGAAGCATTCCCTGCAGACTCGTCCAACAAGCAAGAATGTCATTATCTTTGTAGCTACGGAATTGCCCGAAACGTTCCTGGCTGGGTGCAAGGCGACCAATGCACGGTCCTTGGGAACGGGTGTTCTCAGCTGGTGGTTTCTGGTCCCGAGAACAAAACCTACTGGTTTTTCTTTTCCAAACTTCCTACAGCAAGATACGGCAGTGAGATTCCCACCTGCACTAAGGCAATGGAAGCAGCCTTTGCGAAGAAATATGCAAATGTCACGATAACAGAGAAAGTCACCTTCGGCCAAGTATTTGCCCACCGCATATCTTCAACCTTGACGCCAATTCACGAGTATGTGTTGGGCAAGTGGTTCTTCGACCGGATCATCTGTCTCGGAGATTCAGTCCATAAACCAAATCCAATTGGTGGACAAGGCGGGAATGGTGCCATCGAATCAGCGGCAGAGCTTATCAACGCTTTGATGACGAAGAAAGCTTCATTGGGGAGTCTTGAAGTGATGAACACCCTGGACATACAGAATGTCTTTAGTGACATGCAATCGAAGCGGCACGAGAGAGCGAAGCGGATTGTGTTTGCCTCCCGACTACAACAATCTCTTGTAGCGTACGAAAAGCCAGGGCTTTCAAAATTTGTTTGGCGGATTTTTGTACCTCTCAAGGGCGATGAAGCATCTTTGGGTTTGTTCGGACTCACTCTTGCTGGGGCATCGAGGCTCGAAAGACTCGAGCTCAAGGCTAGACCACGGGCCATACCATATAGGGACGAACTCCCCGCGCCCCCATTGACCAGAGTTCTCATCGTCCGGTTGGCGTTTGTCGTCTCGATGCTATACCTCTTTCACATGGCCCGAAAGATACCAGCTACCTCGCAAGATAACACCACTCATATGGGTCTGCAACTTGTCACCCCAGTGGTAATCTACGTGCTGGAAGGATATAGATTAGGCAATGGCGGTACTCCCCTTGCCCTGCCAAGTTTATTCCTACTCGCCGTATATTTTCAAGGCCTACACCGGGTGGCACCAATTTACGCTATACTTCACGCTTTTATGAGTCTCGATCTATCCACTGGCCGATATGTCCAACCTGAAGTCATCTTCTCACTGTTAGTGGCCCTGGTTGTCTTACTGGTCGCAAGCGCATGTTCCACTTCGGATCATAAAACATGGGGAGCTATTACTCACGGTGTACCGCAGACCACGGCTGCAATCACTTTTTTTCTATCATATGGGTTGCAAAATTGGATACAAAGAAGCTTGTCTCGAACTGCGCAAGGCGAATTCGCCTTTGAAAGGTATAAGGGCAACGACCTGGGCCTTCTTAAGCTCACATATGCTTGTGTCGGATCTATCCAGGCAGCGTTTCATATCCGTCTGGTCGTCTTGCCAATGCTCGAAACTACTACACCAAGCAGCCTCTGGTGGGTTTTAGGGCGTGAACCGGTTCCAATGCCAGTGCTAGAAATATCTGGATATCTGTCTGAAATGGTGTTCTTCCTCAGCAACTTATACTCCATCTGGAACTTACGGCGACTGGGAAACATCACGACAAATCAACTTCTCCTTGCCAGTCTAGTTTATGCTGGGGGCCAGTTTGCAGTGGGCAGTAGAGCAGCTTGGATGGGTGTTTGGTATTGGCGAGAAATTGTTTTTGCAAAGTTGGTGGTTTGCGATCCTTAGTATTAGATATGATCTAATCATTTTGTAATAACAGCCTGTGAGTTTCACATTGAGGCTGGAGACACGTAGATTTCGTGTCCAGGCACGCGCATGAACGCAACCAAAACGAAGTCTGCTAAAACTAGCGTCCTGCTTTACATACTTAAAGAAATAAAGTATATTATTTAGCTTAATAGTAAAGGAACTAGCTAATAGTGGATTAAAATCTAGTTTTTAATTTTCTTTACTTAGGTAAAAAATAACATTCTTTAAGATATCTATAAAGTGGTATATTGTTAGGTTGGTATTATGATAGGGTAAGTTTCTTTTTCCACTGTGTGCTATGACACTTGCGTAGTCTGACCAATCAATATGTCAGGAACGAAGATGAAATAATATTCCGATGAACCCCGCTTTAATCTCACGCGCATCAGGACGCGCCCTTCTCCCATCCCTCCATCCCTCAAAGAAGGCTCTCGAAGAAGAAAGGAAGGCTGATCAATTAAAAATGTCCCGTCTCGAGAGATTACCACCAGAAGTTCTGCACGAGGTATCTATCGCCTGCTCATGAAATGGTTGCTCAAGTGCTGAGATTCTAGGTATTTCGGTACGTGCACGATGGCTTCGACCGGCATAAATGGGGCGGCTATGACCCGCCCTTAGGGTATCACGAACTACAAGGCGCAAACCTGCGACAAAATTTGTGTGCTCTGCGTCTAGTCAATCAACAGTTCCATGAGTTGGTAGACCCAATCCTTTTCCAGCATGTCTTCGTCAGTTCTGCCACGGGCATAGCGCGTCTGGACCAGATATCCAAGAATCCCAACCTACGTCGTTATGTGCGTCGCCTGGAGCTCTGCGTCATCCGCCAAAAGATAAATCACTTTGTGGACTACAGGCCTAATCACGAAACCAAAGATAAGGACTTGATTTATCTGGGCCGTCTAGCTATCATGATTCACACGGCATTGCCCAAATTCCCCGGCCTCAAAGTGTTGAAGCTTGACTTTGAGGACATACCTTATAGCTTTGAACGAGAAGTGGACGTATTGGGGAGCCTAAGTTGCTGTTTCAAGCAAGATACGGAGAACCTGTTTGAGTCCCTCGCTACAGCCCTTTGCAGATCGCAGCTTGATAAGCTAGAGGAGCTGGATATCGCGCTGCCTTTGGCACACGACTTTGGACATTTTCTACACGATGAGTCTGACCCAGAGTGGTGTTCAAAAAAGACATTCTTTGAGAAGCTCAAGCGTCTTCGAGTGGTCTACGGGCAATGTACGGAGGATGGCGAAGGCCTCGAGTTTCGCTACGAACAGCCGAACTATCAGTATGACAAATATGTCCAACAGCTACTCCCTCTTGCAAAGAACATCGAATCTCTAGACGTGAAGGGTTCCGATATTCTTAGAGTAACTCCGGCATCGGTTTCAAAATATCATTTGAGAGAGCTACAGCTGGACAGCATCTCTATATCAGGAAAGACCCTGGCAACGCTGTTCAAGCAGTCCCCAGAAATCCGCGAGGTTATCCTCAGCGGCATTTATCTCGAGGCCGACACATGGGAAGAACCGTTCAAAGTACTAAGCGAGTCCCCTATCACATTTCTCTACATCGAAACATGTGGCTACTCAGGTGAAGGAGAAAGCGGAGAATATGCTCCTGAGATGATACGTTTCGTAACGGCTCCTGATGAAAGCTACATCGCATCTTTACGTCCAGAAGACCACGCAGCTCTCGAGGCTATTTTCAAACGCATTCATGAGAACATGCGCAAGATAAATGGAGATACCTATGATGAGGTAGCAGCTAACTTGCTCAGAAAATGGCAGAAGGATAACATCCTGCGGAAGATGACGTCTGCAGGGGCTTTTGTCGCTGAAGTGCTTGCTAGACAGAGGGAGGAGGAAGGTTTGAGTGACTTTGGGTCATCGGGGGCTTCTATTGCGTCTTATCTCGACACATTGGACCGCCGTGCCCAGTGGGAGGCTGGGATCTATCCTTCTGATTCAGATTCTTCCGACGATGATTCTGTTCGGGATTATTCTTTAGATGGCTCTTTGGACAGTTGCTTGGACGACTCTCTGGACGATTCCCAGGATGAATCTTTGGATGATGACTCGTCAGGTGATCCATCTGATTCATCTGATGACGGCCTTTGAGAATTGTCGGCTCCATTCAATTAGTACAAGCGTCCTGACAAAGGAATGCGAGAAAGTTGCCAAAACCCACGGTCACTATTAGGCAGATTACAGTGACTTCGGTTCTATTCGGGTTTGCGACAGCAACTGTCACTCCCTGATGTGAATGCAGAACCACGGTGGGAATAGTTTGCTCATCTTGTCAGCTTGATTTATGTTTGCTGGAAACACAAGCAATATAATTGACTGGGCATTTCGATCGTTGTTTGTCTCTCACTCTCCTGCCTAATTCTCGTCAAAATGAATCCTATAATCCGATGTCCTGAAATTCTTGATCAATCATCCATCCCACTTTGATCTCAACCTTTCACTATTCAGATCAGCGTCCGAGCCAACAGCAATGTCGGAGCCATCTTCCTCGATTATGAAGCGCCCTCGTGCTTCTAGCCGAGACAATACAACCAATCTTCAGCATGATAACTATACAGTCGCGTGGATTTCCGCTCTGCCACTGGAAATGACAGCAGCCGAGGCCATGCTCGACACTATTCATGCGCCCCTATCGCGACACCCTCAAGACAGCAACTCGTATACCCTAGGAAGCATTAATGGACACAATGTGGTCATGGCATGTTTACCCAAGGGCCAGTATGGCACTAACAATGCCGCAACGGTAGCAAGCCACCTGACCAGAAGCTTCCTCAACATCCAATACCGTTTGATGGTAGGCATTGGAGGAGGCGCCTCTGGTAGCGCTGATGTACGACTTGGTGATGTTGTCGTTAGTACCGAAGTACTACAGTATGATCTGGGCAAGGCTATGCCAGATGATTAGTTCCAGCGGATTGCGTATCCTATCCGTCCTCCTCAGTCGTTGATGACTGTTGTCTCGAAGCTACAAGCCAGTCACAGCAGAGGCACAAACCACTTCCTCACGATCATCGGGGACAGCGCTGCCGTAATACCACATTACGCCCCCCAAGATTGCCAGACTGACTATTCCGCAAGGATTACGTCCCTCCCGTTACTTCAAAGGACTGTGGCGATTGCGACCAGGCGAAGGTAGTTGCTCGCGATGCACGCCAGAATCTTGATCTGGTTATTTACTTTGGGCGAATTGCGTCCGGCAACCAAGTCATTAAGGATGTATATACACGTGATGATCTCTCTAGAAAGCTAGGCTGCACCTGCTTTGAAATGGAAGCCGCTGGAATGATGGACAGCTTACCTTGCCTTGCTATTTGTGGTGTCTGCGACTACTCTGACTCTTGCAAGAACAAGGAGTGGCAAGAGTATGCGGCCCTAGTGGTGGCAGTATATGCCAAAGACCTTTTGCTAGCTATGCTACCCTAACTTCCTACTGGAAGCAAACGAAGAAAGAATTAAGAGTCTAAGGTCCTTGACACTGAAGCCAGGGAGTGTCTCAAAGCACTTTTCGTTACAGATCCGGCTCAGGACCGCGAAGACATTCTTGACGCCAAAGGCTAGATTTGCCAAGGCACTTGTGAATGGGTCTTATTGATAGAGGAATTCAAGACCTGGGAATAGAACCCTCCTCATTTGCTGTGGATATCTGCACCCCCAGGTGTTGGCAAAACCTCCTTGTCTAGCTATCTATCCACGTATTTTGAAGCCGTTTCCGCTAAGCAATCCGACGTAACAACCATCTATTTCTTCTGCGACAACAAAACTGACACTAGAAACACTGCCGTGAACATTCTGCGAGGGCTTATATACTAAATGATCGTACATAAGCGCGAACTAGTAAAAGTGATGATGCCAGTATGGGATCAGAGATTATCTTAGCTGTTTGAGAGCAAATCATTCGGAGTTCTATGGAAGGTCTTCGAAGGGATGATTGAGAAGCCCAACTTTCGCACTGTATACTGCGTGATTGATGCTCTTGATGAGTGCGAGCCTGACTCGTTGAGGCAGCTCCTGACCAAATTTGAACAACTGAGTGATCCCGACAATACCTCGCCCAAGAAAGTTAGATTAATTTGCCTCAGCAGACGGTCTCCTGAGAGAATACCCGAATCTCTTGACCTATTCACCAAGATCGAACTGGATATGATGCCAGCTGGGAAAGCAGATGTGGAACGGTTCATTGCTGAAAGGGTCTCTACTCTCGCTCGGGAGAAAAGAATGACCGGAAGACTCAAGGCTCGCGTCGAAGAGGTGTTGCAACGCAAGTCCGAAGGAAAATTCCTTTGGGTGAGCTTCATGGCACAAGAACTAGAACAGAAGAGGTTACAGGAAATTGAGACGTCATTGAATGGCCTGCCTGCAGGCCTAGATGCAATATACGACAGGATCCTATCACAAATCGACCGCAGCAAATGGGATACTGTTAAAAGAATGTTGGAATGGATACTCGTTGCCACCAGGCCACTCAGAGTACCAGAGTTATGCGACGCGGCCTGTGTGACGCCGACGGAGTTCTTGACTCGAGGAGAGGTCTGCCGCGAATTGATCAAGTCATGTAGCCATTTGTTACAGATCACGAAAGGAGAAGAACTGTTCGTAGGTGGCCAAAACTCTTGGGCAGATGAAAAAAGGCCTTGGAGGTCGGCACGTGAGGTGGAAACTCTCAGCAACATGTTTTGGTCACTATCTGTCACATTCCTCCACCAAAGTGCAAAAGACCATTACATCAAAACGATTGATCCTGAGCGGAACGAAGGAGATTCCGCACCATTGGCCAGACTTCATGGATCTGTGCCAGATCAGCTGACTTGGTCCTTTTGTGATATAAGCTGTGCTCCTCCAGAGGAAACCTACAACCTGACTGCGGACCGTCCACTGGCCTCGTACATGACTACAAGCTGGCATCCCTATCTTGAAGAGGCAGATGACATTGGTGAGGTCATTAAACAGAACAGCTCGTTCTTTGGTGAAGCGTCACAATCGCGAATAACATGCGGAATGCTTACGCAAGAAGATAATTCGAGGTTTCAATTTTATGACTCATTTGATGAGTCTGTTGCGCCTCTGTTGCATCTCTGTTGCATCTGGCCTGTTGCATCTGGCCTGTTTCCTAAATCTGGAGAAGTTAGTAAAATGGTGTCTAGACGACGGGCAACAAACAGATATCAATGAGTCCTGGGGAGAGGAGCGTCGTACACCTCTACAAGTCGCCACCGCCGAGGGAAACCAAAATATTATCAACATCCTCCTTGATGCGAATGCTGATGTACTCGTAAAAGACAACCGCGATGAGAACGCGCTCTTTTACGCAATCCGGACAGGAAGAATTGATATCAACGCGAAGGACCAAAAAGGCTATAACGCCTGCTCTGCAGCGGTGCAGGCTTTCGAATCACCGGAAACCAAATTACAGACGTTGCTCGAGATGGGGTGTGACCCAAATCAGCCAGACTATCAAGGCAGAATAGCTCTCCATTACTCTGCCATGAAACCGTATTCGCTTATGAGATTCGAATCATTCAGTCGCGTTGTGTGGCTCTTGCTTTCCCAGAACGGTTCGCAGGTGAACCAGGTTTGTCACAAGGGCTGGACAGTCTTACATTATCTCGCGGACAGTTTTAAACATTATTTTGACAGCCGCAGGTTCCTTTTCGGAGATTTCGTCCGCCAGTCACTAGTTTATCTCCTAGATAGAGGGGTAGACCGACACATTGTGGATGTGAATGGGGTGTGTGCTCTTTCAAATTGTAGAAACCAGTATTTTGCAGGATCATGCACATATAAGAGAGCCTTGCTGGGAGGTCTATGTGTCTACAGCCAAGGAGATGATTGTAGTACTTCAGGACTACTGTACAGCACCTGATCAACCTAGATCGAAGGTTGAAGAATCCTTCAAAGAAAGTCTCAATTCTTTGAGGAAACCTTTTTATGAACAAACGAATGGTGACGAGGGCCGTGTGGCCTTTTTGATATGGATGGGGAAGGGGCTTAATAACTAAGCTATTAGAAGATAAGTAGATTTAGTAATTATTATAAGATTCACTTTATAAGTTATAAAATATAACTATAGACTAGGTCTTTATTGGTATTAAAGTTTAAAAAGTATAATTACTCTTATATTAATTTGATCCATATATTATGGACTTATACCTTAGAAAAACGTAAAAGAAAAAGAAAATAGTTAACGAGGGCTGGTAGACGTAAGGCCGTTTGATCTATAGGTAACCTTTCTTCGCTCGTCCCACTAGCAACAGAGGGAGACAAAAAAACAACATAACATAGATGCCATGGACCGACACCTCATAGCGCCATCCATCTCTTGGCGCGACAAATCATGGTCGAGATGTTGTCAATGACCGCAAAGTCCGTGGAAGGAGGGATGCATCCACAAAGCATTACAACATGGAACTCAAGTTCGGTGTGCTCACTGGGGTTGAGATGAGCAGGTGGTTTTAGTAGGCTTTGGGCTATAGTCTGCTGTGCTTGAGGTGATGGGTATGCCATTGTCAACGATGTGGGTGAAAGTGGCCGCAATCAGAAAGGGAAATAGTTTTATGCAGGTCTAATGTTGTGCGGAGGGTGATTGTGGTTCAGTAAGACTATGTGGCTGGCTCTAACTTGGCGGCTTCGATAGAACGTCTAAAAGAGGACTGAAAGCAGACGCTGCCATGGGTTGCACAAATCAAAATGAACAATTTCCGTCGTTCCTTGAACTCTTTGATAATAGTGTGAACCTGGCTGCGCGTCTGGAGGACCACCCTGGTAAGGGTTACTGCTCAAAATGTTCGAATGCTAGACTGCATCTGTTTATTTGTCGCAGAAATGTGGTCAGATTTCCCAGTTAACAAGAGGTTGCTTCTCTCTTCGACAAAGTCAGTCTTCCTGTCGTCAAACCCTATGATCCATGACATGCGTGCGTTGTCATACTGTTGTATCATATCATGACACAATCTCCCTGGAAACCCAGAAGTCGTGGACTCTGTGAGGCTGAGCAACGTTTTGATGGACCGGGAGTAAGCGGTAAAGACCTGACTAGGTCATTTACGGAAATAGCCGAGTGTCTTTCCGCCAACTTTAAGCTGGGCTTCTCTGCTGTGCAGGGATCTGAATCCATCGCATGTAGAATGAGTCGTCACCATCGTATGAAAACATGTCATGTTAGTGGGGCACGACTGACGGTGCTATAGCAACGATTCTTCGAAAGAAGAAACCATTTGAAGTTGCTGACGATAGTTTCTAGGCAACGACTAAATCTTCAGACTATTTTAACCGGCCAATATCGCGCTCAATATTCACCATTGCATCTCTCATAACATCACCTTCAAAGCAATTCAAAATCTGCAACAACTACCATCAAAATGGTCAAGACAACTTTCCTCGCTTCCTCTCTCCTCGCTTTCGCAGCCGCAGCCCAATCCTTACGATTCACGGGCCCCAGCACATCAGAAGCTCTGGACATAACGACGGAAATCAACATCACATGGGGAAAAGGCAACTCATCAGAAGAGCACGATCTCCCACCCAAATTCACCCTAGAATGGTTCACTCACCCCGTCAAGAATCAAAGCATTGGGTCCGAGATTCAGACTGACCTCGATGTTTCTGACGGTGAATACAAATGGAAACCCAGCACGAGTACTATCAACATGCTTAAGCCGTTTTGGAATGAACTCTACGATAATAAGTTCGAGTTCCAAGCCGTCTTTTACAATGAGACGGATCCGACTTTGACTTTGAAAACGGTCTCTAGTGGAAAGTACGCCGTTATTGGCTTGAAAGACGCAAGAAGTGGAGGAGAGACAGTTGGGCTTCCATGGGGAGTTTTAGCTGGTGGTCTGGCGACAGTGGGCATGATGCTTGTTTGATGAATTATGGTTGTTAGATAGAAATTTTAATGAAGAACTCGAATGCATGAAAGTTAAGCGCAAGCCATATCTTAAGAAATGGGCCTATCCGCAACCTTTCCATCTCGAACAAATTCGGTGATCCAACCAATCGTCATCTTGCTCCGCTTCGTATCGGCAAAGTTTTCATGATCCCCAACCAAATGTTCTTTGTACCAGGGGTCTTCCTTTATCTTCTTGTAGTCATCAATGCTCTTAAACACTACTTGGCTGAAACAATCGTAGTCTGCAATGTTGGCCATCTGGGGATCCATCAACTGGTACATCAATTCCCGAGTTTCTGAGTTATTGTGAATCTGTATTTGAGTTTCAGTATTCTGAGTAAAACTGGTGTCTCCGAAACTCACCATAGTCCATCGTCTGATGCCGTATTTGGCCATGAGGTCTTTCGTCATGGGAGCCGATATGTTGATCATATGATCCCTGTATTGTTCCTCACTAAGATCCGATCGGCGGTAGCCAAGGATAGTCAAGCATAGTAACTGGTTCTGGGTACCACTGGGGCACAGGGGATTTGGGTCAGGCGCTGCCATTATTCAGAGCTAAGGTATTGGATAAATTGCTGCTGTACAGTGAAAGTTCTAGTGCAGCGTGGAATCAGTCTCTTTTTTGGCATATTCCAAGAGTCGAGACGTTTTCTTATTTTCGTATATGACCCGGCACTCGGCTGTCGTAGAACATACCTTTCGGCCTTCGCTGTTCGGTGGAAACGACAAATGAGCCAAGATGTTGACAATGTTGGCTGTCGGGTCTCGGGTTTCGGGCTTCACTTGCACGGCCAAGACCCGACCACCGAGTGGATGAAGTGCAAGCAACAACGCCATGTTAGGGAGTGGCAATATGAATACTATCGTATTGACTATTCAGTGTTGCAATATGATATAGTACTAATTAAAAATAGTGAATTAAAAGTTTAGGTGATTTAAAATGACGCTTTACCCTTCTATGTGACAGTCTACCAGAAACCAGAACCTGATCCCTCGTCGTATACGAAAAGCCACCTTCCCGTCCTGAGCAAGCTTTTTCAACACCTCTTCCATGAAAGGCTCCAGACCCTTCTCCCTGACAATCTCACTCAAGTGGCTACCATGGATTCTGTGGACGAGTTCCTTGACGGTTACCCCAGATATTCCTTTCAGAGCATGCAGACACCGCTCCTCCCGCCGACGCTTCGTACTGATTTCCGCTTCAATCTTACCTGGTAGATCCGGGATGACTTCCCCGTGAGCTGGATAGCCGATTCTACAATGTTGACTCTTCATCGTATTTAGAGTACGCATGTAAGTAGCGAGGTCTTCGACTGCGCTAGTCCCGTGGCCCAGGATGTTATCGCCTGTGAACATGGCATTTTCTTCTTCGAGAACAAAGCAGACGTGATCGTGAGAATGGCCTGGTCCGTGGACAGCGCGGACGGTTGCACCTTCGACACTAAATATCTGTTCGTCTGTGATAGATCTTTGGTCCTTTGCAGGACTGTGTTTATAAATATGGCCAGCAAGCGTTGGGTACATGCGAATTAGATCGGGCACTCCACCAGTGTGATCACCATGCCAATGTGTGAGCATGACCATCGATAAACTGAAGGAACCCTTGTCGAGGGTTGACTCCACTAGATCTGCCCATTTCGGTATCCCCTGCCCGGTGTCGATGATAAGTCTTTGCTTGCCAGTCCCGATAATATAGGTGTTCGTGCCTTGAAGAGTAAACTGAGGTTCAGATGCGTCAATAGTTGGACGAACCATAGGAAAGTGAAGCGTTCACAACTAACCTTTCCTGTATTTTGACCCAGTATTCTGATCACTCGAGGGCTCAATTGCTGCACATCAGGTAGTCGGGGCAGTCGTGCTTGTTGACTCTGGAGGTAGTCCTCGAAGACAGACACATTCAACGCCTTATTTATCTGCTTGTAGCCTCCAGTGCCCATTGTGATTTCGATTGAATATTTGGATCACATCTACGGAAGTTGAGCAAGAGGTTGGCGTCGTCGAGGCTATTGACGATTCACAGCTGTCGGGTTTCGGGGTTCGGGCTACTGAAACAGGCTGGAGGGGTAAGTCAAGATAGCCTACTATACACGGCGTAATGATAACGCAGAATGATAATAGCAGGCTCCTGACGTTAATCTACACAATTGATCTCTCAGTATTTCCATCCACTTCTGGGACAAAAGTCGCAAGCCAAACTCAAGATGGAAACACGAAAACCTGACAAGCCGCGAGTCGTCGCTTTCAGTAATGAGTTTCCTTCCGACTCCCCGGAATCCCTACTCCGATCCCTTTATCGCAACAGTAAACTCAGAAATCACCATCATCTTGCTCGTTTCCTTGACGAAGCAACTACGGCTGTCCGCCATGAAGTTGTCGATTTACCGCCCGAAATGCGTAAACTCGTTCCTTCTTTCGACTCAGTGCATACCCTGGCCACGGACAAGGTTCTCAGGCGGGGAGTATTGGGAAGCTCGATCGATGGAGTCTTGCTCTGCGTTCTGCAGATTGGGTCTTCCATCAAGTATTACAATCTTTGATGAAGCGAGGCGCATAACATTGCTGACAGGTATTACAGTTATCGTGAAGCTACCCTTTCTGGCTTCGACATTACCCAGTCTGAGGATACCGTTCTTGTAGGGCTAGGGATCGGGTTGCTTGCGGCCGCCGCCCTGGCCACAGCGCCGGATATTGGATCACTCCCGGCTCTGGGGGCTGAAGCGGTACGAATTGCCTTTCGTCTAGGCGTTTTCGTGTCTGAAGTTTCTCAAAATATCGAACCCTTGAATGAAGATAGTCAGTTCGAGTCTTGGGCTTATGTTGTCCATGGAGTGGCAGCCGAAGAAGTCCAGCAAGAACTAGACGCGATGTATTCTCAATTAGTAAGTGAGACAGAAAGTGGAAATGCGACGAGAGCTGACACGGTTGTAAAAGCCAATCCCAGAAATAGGTAGAATCTTCATTAGCGCAAAAAGTGAGAATTCTGTCACTGTAAGCGGGCCGCCTTCGCGACTGAAGGAGATCTTCCGCACCTCAGCTTTCTTCTGCTGTCACAAGTCTGTCGCTTTGCCTGTTTTTGGTGGTCTTTGTCATGCTGCCCATGTTTACTCGGCAAAGGATGCTACGCATATTGTCGGCCCACCCCAGCGTCGTGTGTCCTATTCTCCTCAGATACCAGTACTGTCGACCAGCACGGGCTTGCCTTTCACTGCTCAAGCCACTAGCCAACTGTTTCAGCAGGTCGTCACTGAGATATTGACACAGACAATTACCTGGAGCAATGTGGTTCAACAAGTTACAGAGAGGTTCCGTGACTGCTCTAATCCAGACGCCGACATCTTTATCTTTGGACCTAGTCGGGATACGCGAGACATCACGACTGGTTGGACTTCCGCAGTTCCAAACATCAACATCAATTTAGTGGATGTCATCGATTCGCTCAAGGGTTTGGAAAGTCCCGAAGGAAAGTCCAGAGCACCAAGTCGATCCAAGATTGCAATCGTCGGCATGTCCTGTAGACTGCCAGGTGGTGCGACTGATACCCAGAAGTTTTGGGATATTCTGCACCAAGGCCTTGACGTCCATCGCCTTATTCCAAAAGACCGCTTCGACGTCAACACCCACTATGATCCAGAAGGTAAGGCCGTAAACGCCAGCCACACGCCATATGGATGTTTCATCGAAGACCCGGGTCTTTTTGATGCGCCATTTTTTAACATCTCGCCACGCGAGGCCGAGCAAACCGACCCAATGCAGAGATTGATGCTGATCACGGCTTATGAAGCTCTTGAGAGAGCAGGCTTTGTTCTCGGTCGCACGCCTTCCGCTGAGAAAGATCGTGTTGGGACATGGTACGGTCAGGCTAGCGATGACTATAGGGAAGTCAACACTGCCCAAAACATCAGCACATATTTTATTCCTGGCGGCTGTCGCGCGTTTGGGCCTGGCCGGATCAACTACTTCTTCAAATTCTCTGGGCCGAGCTTTAGCTGCGATACTGCCTGTTCTTCGAGTTTGGCTGCTATTCAAGCTGCTTGTACAGCTCTTTGGGGCGGCGAAGTCGATACAGTTGTTGCTGGAGGTTCCAATGTTGTGACCAATTCGGACGCCTTCTCGGGCCTTAGCCATGGACATTTCCTTACTAAAACGCCTAATGCTTGTAAGACTTGGGATGCAGATGCTGATGGATACTGCCGCGCTGACGGAGTTGTCTCTTTTGTGCTGAAACGTCTTGAAGACGCTGAGGCGGACAATGACAATATTCTCGGATTGATACTAGGAGCAGGGACAAACCATTCGGCCGACGCTGTTTCAATTACCCATCCCCATGCTCCAACTCAATCTTTATTATACCGGAAGGTACTGGACCAAGCTGGTGTGGATCCTTTGGATGTGAGTTACATCGAAGCTCACGGCACGGGGACACAGGCTGGCGACATCCAGGAGGTCACTTCCATTAAAGACGTGTTTTCGCCACTCGAGCGTCGAAGAAGTCAAAAATATCCTTTGTACATGGGCGCTGTCAAGTCCAATGTCGGTCACGGTGAGGCTGTCGCGGGCGCTACTGCGCTGCTTAAGGTCCTCCTCATGTTTGAGCACCAGTCGATCCCACCACACGTCGGCATCAGGACAGAGCTTAATCCCAAGTTGTCAAGAATCATGCATCAGAGTAATCTTCACATAACTTTCCAAGACACTCCATGGACTCGAACAGTGGATAGAAAGCGCGTCGCCTTGGTTAATAGCTTCAGTGCAGCAGGGGGCAATACGTCTCTTGTGTTGGAAGAAGGTCCAGTCCAGGCTAACAGGAACCTGGATCCTCGAGCAATGGGAAGTCATGCGATCGCACTCTCAGCTAAGTGCAAGAAGTCACTAAAGGGTAACATGACGCGAATGCTTGACTACTTGGAGAGGAACCCCTCTATTTCGCTCGCAGATCTGGCCTATACTACCACAGCTCGTAGACAGCATTACAACTACAGGACTGTGACTCACGCTGCGGATAGAGAGGATTTGCGGAGACAGCTAGCTGGAAGTATTGAGAGTGTGGACGTCCATGTGCCAATTCAGACCAGCTCAATTCCCTCAGTAGCATTCACCTTCACAGGACAAGGCGCGGCCAACAAATCACCGAATTTCGAGCTGTACCACCTTTCACCTGTTTTCCGCTCACAACTTGACACTCTCGATTCCATTACCCAACAGCTTGGTTTCCCCTCGTTTATTCCATCAATCGATGGCAGCCACGACAAGAACTATGATCACGGCACTGTCGTCTCGCAAATCGCGCTCACATGTATCCAGATTGCGCAGGCCAAGTACTGGGAGACTCTGAGTATCAAACCTGACGTTGTCCTCGGCCATAGTCTGGGCGAGTACGCAGCTCTCTGCGTCGCTGGTGTTTTATCTGCCAGTGATGCCATTTACCTTGTCGGGTCGCGAGCGAAGTTGCTAGACGAGAGATGTGAGAAAGGATCACATGGAATGCTGGCAGTACGGGCATCAGTGGACAGGACAAAGGAAGTGATCAAAGCTCTTGGTGTCGAATATGACATTGCTTGCATTAATGGCCCCGAGGCAACTGTCCTCAGTGCTACTTGTGAAGAGATGGAAAGCATTGAAACGGCGTTGAGAGATAAACGGTTACACTGCACACCACTACGTATCTTATACGCCTTCCACTCAAACCAGACTGAACCAATTCTCGACGATTTTGAGAGTTTCGCCAAGGCCAGTACGATCTTCCGAGAACCGAAGATCCCAATCATCTCGCCTTTGCTTGCCAAAGTCATTTGCGACGACAAAACGATTAACAGCACATACGTACGACGAGCGACGAGAGAAACCTGCAACTTTGAAGCCGCTCTTCGTACCGCGCTATCGATGTCTATGGTTGACAAAGACACCTTGTGGATCGAGCTGGGCCCTCATTCAGTCAATACAAACTTCATCAAAGCCATTGCAGGCCCCTCTTGTGTTGCGGTTCCGACTTTCCGGCGAGACGAAAATAACTGGGAGACTATCTCTCATAGTCTTGGTACGCTACATTGCGCTGGCCTTGAGATAGATTGGAGCGAGTTCCATCGTCCCTTTCAGACTTGTCTCAGACTTGTGGACCTTCCGACGTATTGTTGGAATAACAAGAATTATTGGATTCAGTATAATGGTAACTGGGCACTTACCAAGGGTAACACATTCTACGACAAGAAAGGGTCTGTTGCTCCAGTTTCCTCCTTTTCGACGTCCCTTGTTCAAACTATCGTTGATGAAGAGTTTTCTGGTGCATCTGCTATGGTGACGATGGAGTCGGATCTTATGTCGTCAGATTTCCTGGAGGCAGCGCGCGGTCACAGCATGAACGGTCATGCTGTAGTGACATCTGTAAGTTGAGTCTTGTTTACTAGCCTGTAGCCTGTCTAACCTGGTGCTAGTCTATCCACGCCGATATTGCGTACACATTGGGCGAATACGTAACCAAGCAGCTTGGATCTCCTTTGAAGTCCGAAAGTCTAAGCATCAAAAATTTGCAGGTCGTCAAAGGACTAGTAGTCCATAACAACACAGCGAAATCGCAATTCATTCGCGTCGTGGCTCGAACAAGTGATATTGAATCTGGGGTCAGTCTGGGGTGGTATAACATTGCCAGCATTGGCTCACTTGAATCTGAACCTTTCGCGACCGCCACTGTCGTCTGCCATGAGGCGCCAGCGACTCTTCAATCCTGGACATCCATCTCTCATCTCATCGAGAGCCGCATCAATACGCTCGAAGACATGGCCAATCGTGGTCTGGCAACCCGATTTTCGCGAAACATGGCCTATACGCTCTTCGCCCACAGCCTGGTCACTTACTCAGAGAAGTATCGGGGTATGCAATCCGTCGTCATGCATGAACTGGAAGGATTTGCACACGTCAAGCTCTGTACCGAAACGAAGGGCGTTTGGACCATACCACCACATTTCATAGACAGTGTGGCCCATCTAGCTGGATTTATCATGAATGTTTCGGACTCTCATGACATGACCACCCAGTTCTGCGTCACATCTGGCTGGGAGTCAATGTGCTTCGCTGAGCCGCTGAACGCTGGCGCAGAGCTTGTGTCGTATGTCAAAATGATACCTTGCAAGAATGAAAAGGACGTCTTCCTTGGGGATGTCTATGTCATGAGTGAGGGCGCGATAGTTGGTAAGGTGGGTGGGATACGGTTCAAGAGATATCCTCGGATTTTGCTTGATCGCTTCTTCTCGCCTCCGGACCCCAAGAGCAATGAGCCACCCGTCAACAATGTTTTTCAAGATGTTCCATCGACACACAAGGCGAACCAGGTCCCCTTGACCCCTCCTGAGAGATCTACCAACAGCACTCAAAGTTCACTGACTAGGTCTCACAAATCACCAAACACTATCTCACTCAGTAACAGCGCATCAATCCAGCCTGAGACGCCATCGTCGGGTGAAAGTAGCAGCCCCTTGGCCAAGGCCATTGCCATCATCTCCGATCAGATGGGAATTCCTATCTCGGAATTACAAGATGACTGCAACTTCGCAGATATTGGTGTAGACAGCCTTATGTCGCTGGTCCTGGCAGAGCAGTTCCGTGTGGAGCTTGGCATTACGGTAAATAGCAGCCATTTTCTGGAGTACCCGAACCTAGGGGCTCTGAAGACCTGGCTTTGGGAGTATTGTGCCTAAAGTCTGCGATGATTATTTATCACTGGAACTTACATGGCTCTCCACGTCGAATGCATTAGTTGCAAGTGGCAGAGGGTGAAATATGGGACGGAAAACAGGTCAACCTTAAATAGTGCCAAGTAAACCTTTATTTACATGCGTTGAAGTCTTTTAACCAACTTTCTCGAGACTCCAAGGACTTGTTCATGTAGACCGTTCAATAGGCCACCAACCGGTGAAACGGGCAGTGGATTAATGTCTATTCTGTCATCTGACGTGGCTTGCTTACCTGTCGATTTGGAGGAGTCGTGGTTTCTGAGTTGTTCGGAAAGCTGGCTAATCAAGATTTGTAGTGCCGTGAATTTCGAAAGGAAGTGTTGGATCATAAGTCGTTTCCCGTTGTCACTCTGACATTCAATATCGGTCAGTGTAGGAGGTAGCATAGACCGATAGGTTTCAGTATCACCAGTGGCGTTGATAACAGTTGCATTTATAGCTGCGACATACCATGCCTGGATCCTTGAAATGAGCAGTGATGAGAGAAGGATGAAGTTGCTGTCAGTTGAACAGGAACAGTGGAATATCCCTCCCAGTTCTTCCAATGACCTTTCCATTTCATCGTATGTGTCTCGAAGTCTGGAATACTCCAGATAGGAGCAGCTTGCGGTCCAGATGTCCGAAGGGTCCACTGACAACGTTGTCAAGAACTTCAAAACACGGATAGTGCAGTTACAGCTGCCGGTAGGTATAGTATTAATGACTCTTGGTGAGCCGAGACTGTGATGGCACGGGGCTGGAGTGATTGCATGTGAAGCTACACTCGTGACTGAAGCCTCAACTTGACTCTCAGGCAAAGAGAATCCGGTGTCGCATGACATCCATTCGACTTCCGTTCCGGGGTCAAAGGCACTGATATCGATACTGTTGTTGCCCCAACTATGAAGGGTACTATCTTCACCAGCCCGATCTTTATGAGACGACAATCCTTGATCGTTTTTGATCAAGTCAGAAGCAGCTCCATCATGCCCCGAGATTGGACCCAATGCTGGATCCCACTCTAGCAAAGCCGGAAGATCCAATAAATAGTCGGCAGTCTTCGGTATTCGAGATGATGGAAACCACTCAGACCACTGTTGCTCATGCGACTCACTCGTCTCGGTTGGGACAGCAGTGGATGGTGTTATGACCGAATCAGCCGGAGTCGGCAAGTGGTCTGAAGACTCCGCAGACGCTCCAGCTTTAACAGCTGACCGTCTTTCCTTTCGTGATTTGCGCCTCTCTTCATTGGAAATGATGTTTCTCACACGCTTGGAAGTACGATAGACACATGACTTGGACTTCTTGGCACAATAGGCGCAAGATGGCTTTTCTTGTGTGCATTTGATCTTGGCGGCGGAGCAGACATCGCAGCTCCTTCGAAGTTTCGTCTCATATCGCTGTTCTTGAGTACCAATGTTGCTTTTGGGGCACATAGCTATTAGGTTCGAGTCGGTAAGATTTTGGAGCATCTACTAAAGGAAGTTTGACAAAGAGAAGCACGTTTGCGGTGGTTGTCGCGACACTCCCACCATGAGCAGCGTCATCCTTTGTCACGCCACCGGTACCAGAGAGCAGTCCTACATTATTGCTGTTGGTTCAGGACTTATCATTCTTACATGCAATCAGCATAAAGGCTATGCAATGAACAAGCAGGCTCTCGTAATATGCAGTTGAGAATGGTTGAAATGGTAAACTCAAAGACACGCTACAGCCAATAGTGCGCGGGATTACGGAAGCGAGCCGTCGATCAAGGTTAAATATAGCGCATCCCCTTATCAAGCCGCCAATCGGAGCATGTTTGTTAGCGGGAGTTTGCGACTGAGACGCAGGATTACGGCGCTGTACGATTGCTTCCAGCGGGCTAACATCGTTGGTCGTCCGAATGTCACCTCTTACGTCTATCAGCCGTGTCTTCGAGTCCATTAACTTTGAGAGGCGACACTATAGTATTAGAAAGTTGTTCTACCAATTTACATGAGACGGCAGAGTACAGCTGTTCACAAACACACAAGTCAACGCCATCTCAGCAGCAACTGCGAACGTCCTCTGCAGAGGATACCCCACGCTGTGATGCACATTCAGGCACTATTGATGCACCACGACAAACAACCAACAAACTCACGGCCCAGACCTGACCAGTTGGTTGGCCACGAACAAACAGAACAGCGATCCACGTGCTGCAAACCCCTCATCAGCTGCACATGTACCGCGGGAGTCCGTCAGATCTGGGAATGTCCGTCGCGACTGTGTGTTTGGCTCTCTTGTCAGCGAATTAATTCCCTCGCAATTCTATTTCAATAACCTGTTTCGTCGCCTGTAGCTCAATCTAAAGGACCATAACGAAGATTCGGAACAAAGTCAGCATGGACCTTTTCTTTGACATGATCAGGTATCTCAGCCATTGCCTCCACACCTTCAAGAAGCACAATCTGTTGTCCAGCCTGCAACCGAGCGTCAGCAATAGCACAAGCATGATTTCAATGGCAGCTTACCCCAAAGTGATGAATCATATGACAATGCAACATACTCGCAGCAGGAAACGTAATCTCATACCGAATAGCAGTCCAGTCCCCAGTAGCATTCCCCAATCGACATCCATCGCGTATTGGGGGGTTCTGCAAATTAAAGTTGTCTCCTTCACCTGCATCGATAGCGTCTTGAACACTTGCCCAAGGAAATCCACCGTGTCCTGTTCCGATGATCCACGCTTTGTGATTGTGTTTGTGGAAAGGATGTTGAGTTGTGACGTTGGCGCCGTTCTCGAAGATGATGTCTACGACGGATCCGTTTAAGAGGGTGTTTTGGGAACCCAGCGTAGTGCTTCCTCTGGAGTCGTCTTCCCATAGAAGAGGTGGGAGCTGTTGGCGGAATGCTTGGTGGGAACCTAGACCCAGGGACCAAGATGATGGGCCCGTCATGTTGATGAAAAGCTTCACTGTCTGGTCGGCAGCTGCTGGGGGCGGTCTGGAGGGGTATGGGGCTAGTTTCATCTCGTCCATTGCTTTGAGCTTTGGTGATATGAGACTGCCATTCAGATGCACCCAGGGTTTTGACTCGGGGACCGTCGAAACCTTTTGGTGATTGTGGTAACGAAGAATCCCAAGACCTTGGATGACTTGTTCTGTTCGAAGCGATGTGAGACGAATAGCGTAGTCTCCCGGTTTCTGATTCAGATGCACCAGTATACTATCAACCCGTGTTAACCATCGTCACCTATATACGACTGGAACACATACCTTATGCGCTCACCAAGGTTGCAATTGGCAGCATGTACTTTTTGAGGGTGTACAAACTCGCCATCAGCCGCAACAACATAAAATTCATGTTCATCCACACTGATCTGAAGCTCATGATGCGCACCAGAGTGGATAAAGTTGATCCATACCCATTCTTCTCCTTCCTCCGCCGTGACAACTTCAATCTCTCCATCCGTCGGTTCACAAATTTGCGAATTGGCGTAAAGTTCCTGCTTCGCTTGCGTCTTGCAGCCGAGGGAGTTTCGTCCCGGTCCACCAACTTGTTCAATCAACTCTTTGGAGTGACAATACGTTCGGCCTTTCCCGTTCAAGACAATAGAGTTACTGCACCACGGAACGATACCCGTGTCGCGGTACATGATGAGTAGTATATCCATTGGCTCGGCGTTCCAGTCGCTTATGACAATATGTCGAGGGTTCGTCTCGGCGCGCTGCATCGCCTGCACATCTGCTGGTGACGATGACATTGCCTTGTACGGCCTGGGTCTCCAAGCAGCCGGTTCTATCCATATTGGACCGCGTTGTCCGTCGGCAAAGGCAGGACCGAAATGGCCGTGATAGAAGTAACTTCCGTACTGTTGCTGTACGGTGAACTGGTACGTGTAGTTGTCACGAGGTTGGATAGAGAACTGTGTTACGCCAGGGACGCCATCGTTCCAGGGTCTGTCGACTTGATAGATACCATGCCTCAATCGACGTGTTAGTCTTTCTTCAGGAACAGATGTTGAGTTTTCAGTGACCTACCAATGCATGGTAGTCTCAGTTGCCAATTGGTTATTGACAAATATTTCGACCTCTTCTCCCTCGACAGCTGTTATCAAGGGACCTGGTGTCTGTCCATTGATAGCAAAAATAGGTCGACCATGGCCATCTGCCGCACTCCACTGGCTAGTGATGGTAAAGTTGTATCTGCGCAAAGCACTCGCAGCATTGCTCAGCACCAAGAGGGAAAGTGCTAGACTTTGGATCATTCGAGGCATCTCCGCTCGGGATTGAGAAAAGGTCTCTGCACGTTATTCTCGGGCGATGATCAGGCACTTTTCCCCAGCATGGGCATGATTGTTATATACAAAGTACATCCGAGGTCCCTTCCTGTACGTGTGTCTCCGCGAAACAAGACAAGGATGTTAGCTTGATAATCAACTACCGAGCCCAAGGGTCCGAAGTTCGTCTATGCACTTCGGTAGGCAAGCGAGGGGCCGACGATCCGGGGCTCTTTGATCGCCGTTGCTTCCCCGAGGCCGCCATACCTGTGATTCGTTTCAACTAACCCACGGAACAACCTCTTACTAGTAATCCTCATGCGATAGTAAATCAGAAACGCAATTTTTAAGATCGAGACTTTATCATTGGTACGACTAATGAAGACGTGGTGAGCACGGATAAGAAAAATGATAAGCGACGAGTCGACTGAGCGTCCTCCATGCAAGACGCGACTCAACAAAGGAGTGATCAGACAGTCTCGCTTCCTTTCTTCCAGGATCAAACGGCATAGATCCTCCGACTCCCCGCAGTCCGACCAATAACGTTTGACGAAATACCTTGCAACTTTGCACGGGGCCACGTATACGCCAGGGCAAAAAGCTTAATATGTGGTCCCTTAAACCAGATCTCTTCCATATATGGACTATCGTTCCGCAGACTTGACCTCTTTGCATGAACTGGGTTGTTCAGCAACGCGGATCTGCTTGGTCTGAGACATATCACCGGACACTAGATGTTAACCGAAACCCGTAGTCTTCCTTCAGCGCCCGCAGGTGAAGTTGAGGCTGTAGCGAAAGCCTCGGCATGTGTGTTTCGTAACATGCCTGCAATTGCCGTGCGGCGTTCAGTCAGCTATGTCGGCTCGGGAGTTGAAAGAGTAGTGTTGGAGGATAGTGTTTATAAGCATGGGTCGTTCTGGCTCGTAGCAAGGACCTTAGTTTGACAGAAGCAACAATGGAGTCCAAGCAGACTTTCTTACCAAACGGTACACGGCACACTACTTCTCGCAATGCGTGGTTGTTCACAGCTGTCCTGATATCCTCTTCTCTACTTTGGGCCTTCTGGCACCAAGACATACACCATGTCTTTCCGAACTGGGCAGATCGACCAGATGAGTCTGCCCGTTTAGTCAGGAAGTACCATCTCCAAACTGGTGTACGGTGGATGAACCCAGGTACGTTGACATTGTGTTTGTCGTGTTAGGAGACTAATTGAGTCAGATGGCGGTCGATGGAGAGTTATGTTTACTTGTAACGGCCAATCTCCCTGTCCAGTTCTGTATGCTGAAGAAGGCGATATCGTCGAGTTGACCTTGAAGAGTGATATTTATGCGCAGTCTTCCATTCACTTGTACGTTGACTTTCATGCGCGATAGCTTGGGACTAATACTAATATTCTACAAGGTCTGGTATCGGACACAAACAGTAATGGATCCTGAAAGCCAACGGTGGTGTCTCAACTAACGGAATCATGATAGGTCATGGAATGATGGGACGGCGGGTCTGTCACAAGTAAGTTATTTAAAGCACGGCTTTTAAATCACATTGTCTAATGCTCTTCAGTTTCCCACCCTCCCTAGAAGTAATTGGACAAACGCCTACGACACGTCAGGTTCATGGGGACTGAATTGGTTCATCGATCACACTACCACCGCATCAGCTGATGTAAGCTAGTCATCCCGTCTCCGTCGTAACAGTCACTGACTTCCATCACAAGGGCATCGCTGGAGCTGTTTACGTAGCTCCTTCTCCAGACCGCCCTCGTCCATACCATCTCATCACAAACAACACTCTAGAACTTCGTCAAATTCGTGAAGCCGAACGCGACACCCGTCACGTCATTATTCAGAATCATCAGCATCGTGACTCGGTTTGGAAGTTACTCCGTATGAGAGCCGAAGGGTCAGAGTATTACTGTTATGATTCGATTCTGGTCAACGGTATGAGCATTCGCAAAGTGTAGTCTTGAGATTGCTGATTTGGCTGCGATAGGCAAAGGTCGAGTGCATTGTCGCCAGCCAGGGTTCGACCATCTGAATGGTCATGCACTAGATCAGAAGGGGTGTATTCAGCCACCTGGTCTACCAGATGAGACGTGTACGCCAAGCTCGGCGGACTATGAGGTTCATACCCCCACATTGAGGCCAACTAATTTACGAATCTCGCGGCTAATAGGAAGAATAGGTCATCGAAACTCAAGGACGGAAGTACATGATGTTGAATCTCATCAACCTAGGTTTTGAACACTCGGTCAAACTCTCCATTGATCATCACAAGATCATCCTCATAGCCAACAATGGTGGCTTTGTATATCCTGAAGAAGCAGACGTAATACTCTCATCACGATGAATGCTTTGGACGGCTTTGTTGACTATTTACAGGTTGTGTACATTCCGGACCCCAGTCGTGTGACTGTCCTGGTCAAGCTTGATGCTGAGCCAGATGACTACGCCATTCGGATATCTTCAACCAGTGAACTGCAGAACCTTCATGGCTATGCGATCTTGAGGTATCGGGTATGCTTCCTCTAAACACGTGAGGTGAACCGATCTGACATGCTTGTAGTCAAAACGTCCGCCTCAATATGGGGAGGCTATGACACTACCCCCAACTGCGCCAAAGGACATATGCCTTCTACCAGACGGTAACACCCACTCAAGCTGCACCACCGCTGACGGACAATTCGCCCCTCCCTACCCAGCCAATCCACCACCGTCACCCAGCAGGGACCATCAAGCACGAGCAGACTTTACCTTCCGACTAGCAGCAGACTCACAACCTTCTAAAACAGAGCTAGTACCAGAGTACTTCCTCAACGGCAAGCCATGGCAACTATTTCATGGTTCCATGATGCCTCTTCTTTTCCACGCAGCAAACGAAACATTTGATAAACCTGTTATCAGCAACTTGCCACTCGGATCAGTGGTGGACCTAATCATTGAGAATCGATTAAACGAGACTATATCCTTTTACAAGCATGGTGAACCTTCGTGGCTTCTCGGGTCGAACGTACACAAGGTATTCCCTGGAAGTAGCGTAGAAGATGCCAGGAAGCATCTGAACTTGCACGATCCGGCTCTTGTGATCGTTCATGATCTGCCAGCGCTGGGATGGAGCGTGTTGAGGTTCAAGGTGACGTCTCAAACAGCGACTATGCTCCATGCTGCAAAGCTGCGATATTTTGCTGTAAGTCGATATCTTGTCTGTCGCGTCGTCTATTACTAATATAGAATATCAGTTGGGTATGACGGTACCTATCTTAGAAGGGATTACTGTGGACACACCATTAAAGATTCCTGAGCGTGCGGCTAAGAGACCTCATGTTGACTTTAAGCCTGCTCATGATGGAGTTTTTGGGTGATTGAACGGGTAATCGGACATTGGTGAATCGAAGTCAATGGATAAGTCGATGCTAAAATGTATCGCGGTATGGACTAAACATGGTCGACGCAGGAAAAGGCACCAGCAATATGGAGATAAAGCTATGCTATCGTAATGAACCATCTTACGGGCTTATCTTTGAACGCGTGAGTGGCCCAACCTACTCAACACCATACATCACGGTGTCGTTATGTCTGTACGCCTTCGAAAATCCGCCTCTCATAAATTCTAAATTAACTGTGATCGAGGTCTAACTCAATATTGCTGAATTACCATCGTGCTATCGCAATTGCGAACATGTAGACAGTCGCAAAAATAACACGCTCCAGGGTATGATCCCAACGCGATTGGAAACGTGCTGTCCTTGCGCTGGAACTCTTTTCACTTACAGTGGAGTATCGTTACTTTTAGGGGATGTTTTGCGAGGCCAGTCCACTAAATGTTAGATGATGCGCATCCACTATGTTGCAGATCATAATTACTTTCCGATCGATAACATGGCAGCCTCATCAGTTCCCCGAAGCATACGAGTATTCTTATCTTTGCATGAGATTGTCTCCTATTTTATGTCGCGAGGCTGTTGTTTTATGGAAGATTAACAATACGACGGGAAAACACCGTCGCGTTTTGACGGTTGAATTAATTTATAGTGGACTGCCACTGTAGCTGATCGCTAAATTTGACAGCCCTTCGAACTGGGGAGGCCTGTACCATTCCAACGGCTTTGATGATGGAGCACGGCAACCTCATTCAATTCTCCGATACTCGTACGAGAAAGAGCCAGACAAGATATCGTATTGATATTCCGGTCAATCTTCTCCGCAACGGGCCACAAGCGATGATCAGTGCGATGACAGACACAGACGAAAGCTGAGTCTGAAGATGAGACCAGAAAGTGAGAACAGGCGTCGTATACTTTCCGCGTTTATAAATGAAACCGACTGCCCTGTTTTTACGAGTGTTTCATAGGTAGTGGAGGATAAGCATATTTCCTGTCGCCCACCTCCCGGAAATCCTGTCCATGCTCGGGTTGACTTCCATGATCCACCTGCTTCAGGTGCCTTGTTTGTCGCACTGACGCTATCACCAACGTACTGGAAATATTGCTCAGCTAGAACTTGATCAGTCTAATCCAAGATCAACCATCGGCAAATTCCAAGAATAGGCTGTCTCGTTAATCGCATTCCTAACCTCATTGACGTCTAATGCACCTTGGCACACCGGTAAATAAGCTTGGCTACTCTATTCCAAGGTCAATCCCTTTGAAACACCCGCTCCACAAAACCCGGTCTCCTTTAATCCCAAAGCCAACCCTGAACGTTGCAGTTTCAGCATGACATTACTGCCGAGTTTCCACGGAACAAGCAACGAGGCGAATATTCCGCCAGTAACAGCTCTTCGTCTCTCAAGGATGAATGTTTCAAGTTGACAGCTTCATTGATAGGACCATAATTCTCTGCTGTTTCTGGAAGAAATGATTATGGAGAGAGTGGATTGACGATTGGAATAAATATGCCAAGGCGCGCCACCTCTTGTTTGTCGATTCTCTATTCCACTCTTTCCCTATCCATTCGTTCTTTCTTGTTTTTATCTTATCTATACACTCTTTTTTTCTTTCTTCCAAGATGAAGTCCCTTTCCATCCTCTCCGTGGCCATCGCCGCGCTGGTCTCCAACGTCTCCGCCGCCGGTGTCCAAGGCACCGCTGAGGGTTTCGCCGCCGAAGTCACCGGCGGAGGCAACGCCGAGGGCGCCTACCCCAAGTCCACCGACGAGCTGGTCTCCATGCTCGGTGACAGCACCACCCGCGTCATCTTCCTCGACCAGGAGTTCGACTTCACCGGTACCGAGGGAACCGCCTCCGAGCAGGGCTGCGCTCCTTGGGGTACTGGTGCTGGTTGCCAGCTTGCTATCAACAAGGATGACTGGTGCAACAACTACCAAGCCGAGAGCCCCAAGGCTGATGTTACCTACGATAAGGCTGGCCTGAACCCTATCACTGTCAACTCTGACAAGTCCATTGTTGGTATCGGTGCCAACGGTGTTATCAAGGGTAAGGGTCTGTACATCAAGGGGGCCAAGAACATCATCATTCAGAACATCCACATCACTGAGCTTAACCCTCAGTACGTTTGGGGTGGTGATGCCATTCAAATTGATGGCTCTGATCTTATCTGGATTGACCACGTTACTACCTCCAACATCGGCCGCCAGCACATTGTCCTTGGAACCAGCGCTACCAACCGTGTCTCCATCACCAACAACCACATCAACGGTGAAAGCCAGTGGTCTGCTACTTGTGACGGTCACCAGTACTGGTCCATGTACTTCACCGGCTCCAGCGACGTAAGTTAACATCCAAAAATTCAATGCAACACAGAGACTAATAACAGAGCAGATGGTCACCCTGAAGAACAACTACATCTACAAGACCTCTGGCCGTGCCCCCAAGGTTTCCGGCAACACCGTCCTCCACGCCGTCAACAACTACTGGCAGGGTAACTCCGGCCACGCCTTCGAGACCAGCGACCAGGCCAAGATCCTCGCCGAGGGTAACCTCTTCCAGGACGTCAAGGCCGCCATTGAGGAGGGTTCCACCGGTGCCATTTTCGCCGCCCCCGATGCTTCCGCCAACGCTGCCTGCTCCAACGGTGTCGGTCACGTCTGCGAGGTTAACAAGTACGACAACTCTGGTTCTATCTCCGGTTCCGACTCTAGCTTCTTCAGCACCTTCGGCGGTAAGGGCGCTGAGGCTAAGCCTGCTTCTGACCTTACTGGTCTTGCTTCCAGCGCTGGTTTCGGTACTATCTGAGTACGTGGGGATTAAGGGTATTTCGCTTTCGATGTATATAATCTCGAAATTTCGAGCTTCTACCTAGAGAAAGGTATATAAAATGAGAAAATAGAGACTTCATCCTGAAGATGTTGCTACCAAAAA